TTGTATATCTTTGATGTTTTTGAATTGTTTCTAATTCCTTACTTTTTTTGTTTTTTTGAGGTTTATATTTATTTATTCTAATTGAATGATATATTCTAAAAATATTACTTTTTATATTCCAAACTTATGTTTCAATAATTTGAATCCCAAATCTACTTTTCTGAATATTTTAAATATTTTCAATATATATCTTTTATATTCCTTTTCTTTTTAAAAGAAGATTAGAATATTATTTAGATAACAGATTACAAATAAATTGAACTCTTTAAATATTTTGTTATTCTGTTATTGATATATAATTAATGTATTAATTAGATTAAATAATATAATTATATATTCTTATAAATTTAATAATAATATAAAGGTTATTTTTTATTTGTAATCCTTTTTTATTTATATCAAATTGAAAATATTTTTTTAATTTAATTTTGTATAAATTATAACTTTATTCAATTTATTTCTAAATTCTTAGGTTTTTAATATTGAATATATATCTTTAGTTGTTTTATTATTAATTTGATAATAATCTTTACAAAATCAATTATTTAAATTATCTTTCTTGAATATTAATAATACATTAAATATACAAAAGGATTTAGATTTCCTAATCTAATTCTTTTTTTTAATTTTAATTCTATATTCTTCTTATACTTTTATAATACTAGGATTATATAATCTTAATTTCTTGATAAAGGATATAAATTCCTTTTTGAAATTGATTTTGTAATCCCAAAACTTATACTCTAATAAGGTCTTCAAATCTTATAAATTTTCGAAAAACTTAATGAATCTTTTATATTATACTAGAATTCCTTTTTTATTGATTCTATCAATCAATAAAGGATTTATTATTGTTATAATATAATATCCAATCTCTCTAAAAATCTATTCTTTCGAATCATATAATTATTTGTTATTACAATTATAACAATCGAATATTAGAGTATCTTTTATCCAATCAATATTTGAATTATATTTTTTAATTTGTAAAGTATTAAGAACAATTATATATCTGTTTAATAGTATTAAATCCATTTTGATTTATTTAGTATATTCATCTAATATAATCATTTTGATAACACTGATTTCTTTATATACTCAATCATCAATTTTAGTTTTCTTTCTTTCTAATAATATTAATTAATAAAAATTCTATTTTAATTCTATAGAATTTTTATTTTTCTTAATAAAGTTGGGATTTATAAATATATTTATAATTCCAAAATCAATCAAAATATTCATTTATTGATTCTTTATTTTAATTTCTACAATTAACTATTCGATTCCTATAATACTATTGAATTCTAATAATAACATTTCAATAATTTATTCTTTAATAAAAAAATTCAATTATTCCTATTAATATTTCTTTATACTCAATAATCAATAAAGTATAATAAATAGTAATTCTATTGATTCTATTTGAAAATTTCAATAATAATCACGATTTAATACTTTTTTATCATTTCTATCGATCTTTCATTAGATATAATAAATTCTAACTTATAATAAGATATTCTATATCTTTTCAATTTTTAGATTATATTTGTTATATTCTTATATTTCATTAAAAGATAAAGAATCTATATTTGTATATATTTTCTAATATTATTTACTTTAATATTTTCTTTAAATATTATATAATAAACATCATTATATATCATTATATAAAATACTAATAAAGTAAAATAATTATAAATTTTATATTCCTTTATAAAATCTAATTTCTTCTTTCTATAATAATACTAAATACATTTTTTATTTAAATAACTGATTAAATATTATAACTTATTTTCTCGAAATAGATAATAAAATTCAATTAGTTGTTGATTTTTTTGGAGTTCTTTAATTAGTTTTTTATTTTCTAATTCGAAATCTTCTGAGAATTCTCCCTTATAATCGATATTATTTTTAATACTAATTCTAAGATTTTGATTATTAATACCTAATTCCTTTAGTTACTCAAAATTGAATTGAAGTAAATCTTTTTCTACTAATCCTATTTCCCTCGAACTTCCTTCTAAAATCCTTACTTCTTAAAAACCTTATCTTTTATTCTCAAATTTTATATATTTTCTATTTCTTATAATAAATGATTTCTTCTTTTGAAAACAATCTCAAAATATATATTTATTTTTCTTATAAATATAATATAAATTATTCTTTTTATATTTCCTCTTCTTATTAATATTTAAATTATTTGACTTTATATAATATCATTCAACACCATCCAATTCTATTAGATCATCGATATTATAATATCTATTCTAATAATAAAGTTTTTGAAACTTCTTGCTTTCCTAAATAATTCCTTTCTTCTTTATTCATCGTTTATAAAATCAATTATCAATGAAAATAAAAATTTCGATTAATTCGAAAAGATTAAATAATTTCAAAATTCTTATTAGTTCATTTTCGATAATGTTTTTCAATCCTTTATAAAATTATAATTTTAGATAATTATCATTCTATATAATACACTCAATATATTATTGAAATTTGATAATATAAATTATAACTAATTTGATCTATCTAAATTGTTATAATATTCTTTCAATTATATAATTAGGATCTATTTCCTCAAATACCTTATCGAATTCTTATCTGAATGATTCATAATTGAAAAAGAAACAATAAATTTCAGATTTCATATTCTTATTTAATTAATTATCAATAATTTTGATTATTAAATTATTAAAAAATGATTCAATTCAATTGAATATAATTCTTCGAAAAAAGAAGATCAATTATAAAATCCTTTATATAAAAATCAAGAAAAATTATTTATTAAAAGTATAATAAAGATCAATTTGTATAATAAAAACTTGATATTTATTATAATCTTTATAGAATAAATCAGAAATGGATATTTGAATTGTTTATTTATATTCTATTATTATAATGATTTATACTAAAATCCTAATTGAATTAAAGAGAAATAATTCGATAAATTGTTAATTGAAAGTTATTGTATTATATATAATTTAATTATAACAATACTCAAAATGTAACAATTTAATCGAAATAATAATTATTTGAAATCTTATATAATTGATAATTATAAATTAAGATTAATAATTATTGATTATCTATTCGAAAATGAATATGTTATTAAATCAATTGAAATATTATAAGAAAATTGAAATTATAGATTAAATACATAAAGGTTTTTAACTAATCAATTATATAATCTTCTATAATTAAATATAAAAGAAAAGCTTTTTGTTTCTTCTTTTTACAATCTTCAATCTTCTATATATATACATTTGAACCTATATAACATCAACCCCAAAACCATTGTAAACCCTATTTTATCTATAAGTGATGTATTATAATGTAATCTAATTCAACTTTCTCTTCCAATTCCCTCCTCACAACATACTATCGGGATACATGTATCTCGACCTACCACTTTTACAATATAAATAAACTAATTGATAATTAAATTAAATATAAAACTTCTAAATTATAAAACTATTCTGATTATATATATTAATAAATATAAAAGAACTTTATAAAACTTTTGAAGTTTTTAAAACTTTTTATTATATAATTAGAATTAGATTATATATCCGAGCTTACTAAAAATGAGGAGATTATATGAAACAATTACTATATAAATTTATATACAATCCGTTTTGCTTTTCAAAAAGGTTCAAGCTTATACAGACAGGTTGATTGTTGTCTCTCAACATACTATAATCTTAATCATAAATCATAATACCTGCGCCCCCTGGACCTCTAACATTTCGAGACAGTCTAATAAAAATTTAAGTTTTAAAAAGTTTATAATAAATTTAAATATTAAATATATATATTAGAGTGCAGATAGAATATCGATTTGTTTTTGATAATTAAAAATTTAATATTATTATTATTATTATTATTATTATTAACTTGAGTTGAATAAATAAAGTTGAATTAAATAAATATAATTGATTTGAATGATTTAAATGATTTTAATTGAATTGTGAATTAAGTTGATGATAAGTTCCAAGTCAGATTTACCTGAGGTTATAAACCTTATACCAAGCTTTTTGTTAGATTTATTTACCGGGGTATTTACCGGGGTATTTTAGACCAATCAGATTGCTAGGATCGCGACTCATTTAAACAAGTTTCTTATTTTCTATCACCTACTAAGTAAACCTCGTATACAACAAGATTATAATATCGGCAAGCTGATAATAATTCTTCAATTATAGATTTTAAGAAATATAATTAATCTTGTTTATTCAGCTCTTATAAGACTCTTGTATATCATATCACTCACTAGGTAAACTTTGTATACAATAAGGTTATAGTGTCGGCAAGTTGATAATAAAATAAATAAAATAAATAAAATAAATAAAATAGATAAAATAGATAAAATAGATAAAATAGATAAAATAGATAAAATAGATAAAATAAATAAAATAAATAAAATAAATAAAATAAATAAAATAAATAAAATAAATAAAATAAATAAAATAAATAAAATAAATAAAATAAATAAAATAAATAAAATAAATAAAATAAATAAAATAAATAAAATAAATAAAATAAATAAGTATTTTATATGATTTAATGAACGAACAGCTGTGTGCAAGTACTGTATTGATAATTTTTCAAGACACGACATGTATCCGTTGAGGATCACTGTAGTCCACCTTTTGTGAGAGCCGACTATTAACGATGTATGTGAATGAATCCTTGATCCAACATATACAAGTGCATACTCACAACTGCTTCTACGTCCAATTTCATTCATCCAAGTCGGCTATTGCCCACTACTTACACAACAGGTAACCTTCCCCTACAGTGGCTTGGTGCGCCTCGACCGCATGTCGTGTAACTTATGTAATCTACTATTTCCAAGGCTTTATAATATATATGATTGTACCATAATATCTCATGTAAATGAAGGCGTTATAGCCACACATTGCATTCTCTACGGTATCAAGATATTTTAGTGTAAAGTAATGAGGGGTCAACGACTTGGGCGTTTCTTGGATGCTGAATAAGTAGGATATAGAGATTCCGAGGAGGGAGATTAGGGAAAGCATGGAAGAAAGAAAAGTCTCTATAAAGAACCTTAGGGCATTCCTCAAATTCAAATGAAAATGTTGTCCTATTATTTATTGTTGCACAAATGAAACTACCTACTTCGCGCTCTGATATATACTCTTCCAAACTACCACCAACAAAAATTGACATATGCTTAGGTTACTGTTCATATAAGAGGTAGTGATACGGACAAGCAATATCAACATGTATCTCCCTCCTATCGCCTATCTGCTCCTCAGCCCCATTATCTTCATCATCTCAGGCGCTCCAATCAGCACCTACAACAGCCTATCACCAGCTGTGTCAACAGCAACAGCATCAGCATCATCTACCTCTACCTCTACCTCCTCCAGCACCGTGATAAAAATCACCAAACTTACACCGTTCTACTGGGTCGCTACCTTCTCCTCCGAAGGCTTCCTTTCATCCAACTCATCATCGACCCAGTCCCTTCCAATAAACCTGCAAAACAACGCCTTCTTCACCTCCTTCTATGCTCTTTGCGACGAAATTCTCTCATCTAGCTCTCTGAAAGTGGTAGTTTTCACCTCATCTTCAGAATACTTCTTCTCCACCCACGTCGATCTCGTGAATCCCCTCTCCGGGCATCTATGGCCGGGTTCACCAAAGTACTGGGATTGCATTAGCCGCCTCGCAAACTCCAATGTGCTGACGGTGGCGGCTATAAGGGGAATTGCGTACAATGCGGGCGCGGAGATTGCGGCTGTGATGGATGTAAGGTTTGCAAGTAAGGAGAAAGGGGTGCTTGCACAGTTGGAGGTTGGGTTTGGTAGGTATTTTATGAGTTACTTGCATTTGACCACTAGCGAGGTATAATGATGTATCGATGCTTACTGGCCTTTGTAGGAGGTAATCCTGGCGGTGGAGGGATTGAAATGCTCTCTCGTCTAGCGGGCCGGAGCCGCACACTCGAGGTTGTACTAGGTTCTGATCGTATCGATGCTGATACGGCAGCTCTTTATGGATGTAAGATATTCAAACCCCATGATTTTTGCTTCATGGGCCTTTTTGTAGTCCCAAACGGAGGTTATCATGCGTGGATGCCACTAACAAGATTCGAAGGGATAAACCGTGCAATCCCAGACTCAGAATTCGACTTTTTCGTCGACAACTTTGCACGCCGCGTAGCAGGTTGGGATCATTTTGCCATAGCCGCATCTAAGAAGCTCATAAATGAGCGTTCGGGATTTCCCACCGCTGTTCAGCAGCAAGGGAGCTTCAACTCGTTCTTGGCAGATGTAGCCCAGGGCGCGGTGCCTGCGAGATTGAAGGCTATGTCTGATGCAGGGTTGCAGAGAGATTTGGATTTTGAGATCAATTTGCATGAGGAGGAATTGAGGTTTGTGGGGGACGGGCCTTGGAATGTTTAGCTGCAATGAGATGTGATCTAATTGGAGTTCTGGTGGGTATCGGGGCGGGTGTATATGTTTGTCCGGATGGAGGGTCGATGGGTACTTTTCATTACGTATACGTCCGCATTGTTTGAGTACCAAGGGCTTCATGCTACGGAATCTCGAAGAAAGTAATATGAGTTCTTACCTAGAGGATAATGGGCTCCGCCAAGAGACCGGCTATCCGAAGTTTCCCAATAGTTACTTTTCCTCACTGTGATTTTGAAAATTTATTATTATCGGCTTGCCAATACCAAAACCTTGCTGTATGTGTAGTGTATTACAATTTACCCAATATAGATTGTAGAAAATGAAAAACTTGTTTAAATAAATTGCGATTCTGATAATCTAATTGATTTAAAATACCTTAATAAATAATCTAACAAAAAGCTTGATATAATTCTTATAATCTCAAACAAATCTGATTTAGAATTATTTTTAATTTTATTGAAATAATTCAACTTTAAAATCATTCAATTTTATTTATTTTATTAAATTGAATAAATAGAATTAAATTAAATAAATAAAATTGAATGATTTTAATAAAGTTCAATTAAATTATTTCAAAATTGAATAATTTTAATAGAATTAAATGATTTCAATAAAATTAAAAAAAGTTTCAAATCAAATTTATTTGAGATTATAAAATTTATTTATCAAGATATTTATTAGAGTATTTACCGGGGTGTTTTAAACTAATCAGATTATCAAGATCGCAACTTACTTAAACAAGTTTTTTATTTTTTATAATCTATATCAAATAAATTATAATACACTATATATACAATAAGATTTTGATATCGACAAGTCGATAATAAATTTAAAAATGATTCAAAATACATTATCAATTATTTTATTTAAATCTTTAAATAATAATATATAAAGTTAATTAGATTATATAAAGAATAATTTATAATCAAAATTTTTATTAATATTTATAATTTATCTTTTATATAAACTAAATGATTATAAAATATCAACTATAAATATTAAAATTTTGAAATTAAATCTATTTTATAAAATGAAATCAATCATCTTAAGACAAGATATATATCCCTTTGCCCACCCCAAAGGACACCCAATTTATCTATGTTCTACAAAATCACTATAGATCATTGATGTTGAAGCAAACCTCAGCAGGGATCGGGGAAAGGGTTTAGAATCTGTATCTCTAGCCGTGTACCGTGATTATGGGAACCACCATAGTATGATGGAATTTTGGTTGCTAGTCTAAAGAATCTGTGAGTACAAAATTGATTGCCCATAGGCTCAGATTTTGGAGCTTCGGAATAATCGAATCACAACAGTGCGCACCATGAACATTTCGAAAACGTGTGATTGAGGCGCAAACATTGGTAAAAGCTCCCAAATTATGAAACGGACCTTCTTATTGTTTTAAGGTTCCTAGTCCACCCTCTCTCTCATTTTACATTCCCAATCTACACGACAAAACTACCGAGTCCTTTCAATACCAATGTGAGCAAGACATAAGATTCAAACATATATCAAATACTGCCCATCAACACTTGGATACTAAATACGAACCTCTGGACCAATGAATAGCTTAAAGAAACTATAGCCCACCAATTTGGAGGAATTGGTCGAGGAGGCAGCCAGGGTGTTCGCCAGAGATGGAATTGGAGATATTTGATGAAGGAAGTAGAGACTTTATATAATGTATCTGAAACTAGAAATTATTTAATTTGGAATTTATTACAATTATTATACCAACAAATTTAATAAAATTCAATCAATATATAATCTATATTTATTGAAAGAGAATAGGGGCTGGAGCAGATAGAGCAGCTCGACACCGCCAGTATGGAAGGTTGGGGTGGGGGCAAAATAGGTGTAAGTGTGGTTAAAGTTTGGAGGATTGGTTGGGAGAATATGAAGCTTCGATATTTGAAGCCGCCTTAGTGTTTCGGTCATGCTCATCGAAGATCAATGATGGCAAGGAAAAGAAAGGAAAGGGAAGAAAGAATTAGTAGAAGGCTAAACCAAGTGAATCACAGCGAAGTACCTATATGGGACCATCTAAATAAATCTGCAATTACCAAATCATAATCAAGAGTCGAAATAGTGATTACGTGAATGGTCACTAGACCATGGAACAAAAGAAAATGGTAGAAGAAGTCATCAATTGGAGCTTAGAGACAGTCGATTTAATCCAGTGTAAAGATTTGTAATTGCAATTTGAAGATTATGGTTAAGCTCATCTGAGTAAAGTGTCGCCAGTAATGATACTGTTGTAAAGCAACACGATGCAGTCCACAACCATGCAGGAGCAACCCTGTGATTTTTGCATTTCAGCTATGACGATCTCCCGCATCTGTTGGCATGGAAGTTTGATGTAATTATGCAGCCTCCAAGCTTCTCTGGTCGTGGCACGATTGGGCATTTTGTTACTTGGTTTTGGATGGACGGATGATGTAGAAGAAACCTCATTATGGCCTGCTGCTAATACAGCTCATCGAACATGATGCTGGCTTCAGACAAATCCGAATTTAGTAAGGTTAGACAGCTGTGAAGTGCTAGCCTCGAGCAGCCGGAATTTAAACAGTTTGGAGTGATGATAGTGCGTATTCATCAACCTTGAAGGCTTTTTGACTCCGCTATGGTCTTCCCTCTGCGTAGATTGTGCGTTCGCTTTTTGGACAGGACACTATGGACGGCGAGGATACTTCGATAGATATTTAACGGATCTATGGAATCTGCAGAGGTTGAGGGACTGAAGGACAGAAGGACAGATTATTCCCATCCTTCAAGATTCAAGATGTCGCAAGGAATCGTATTCGTAGCGCGCGGGCCATACCGTGACCTTATTATTAAGGAGGAGGGTAAGCGTCATTGTGCTTTACGTTTCGACATTTGCGCACGAAGAGGATCTGTTAATCGTGAATTTTGGCTGGTTACTGCCGGTCGGAGTATGTTGTGTTGTGGCTGGTTATTAGGATAGTCTTGGAGAATCTGTTGCGCCAAGACGAAGAGGTCGGGGATGGCTGTGTGCGCCATGTTCCGCAAGGTGGAAAAAGATACTAATCCTCCCCAGGTTATTTTGAGGAAACAGTAGTCATACGAAAGCGATAATCTCCCCTTTGTCACAGCCTTGTCAAACTGACCGTAAAATTTAGGTCACATCTCTATGAATGTATGAATGCAAAGTCGTCGTAATCAATGTACTTGGTCCGCTTCCGTCACGCCACATGCCAGATCGATCGTGCACGTGTGGTGAAAGGGACCCAACTTTGAGCATTGTGGCTAGCAAAGAGAAGAAGCTTGCCCTCATAAAAAATTTCGATGTTAGAATCCTTTGGATTTCAGTATTCGTGCAAATAATCATATGTTAGCACACCAGCATAATGGTTGGAAGGATTAGAGATCTCGCATTTGAGATGCTCAAGAAATCAAGGTCCAGATGGTAAATAAATCCAGGAATGTCAAAAGGGATGAAATGATGAAAATTGATCAGATCAACATTCTTGCTGGTGCGAATCATTGGCTGTGGAAGTTTAACGTCGTATTGTTTTATCCCGACGAAACCGGAACTGGGAAAATGGCACCACACCCGAGAATGAGGATATGAATGAGGATATTTAATTGATGGTCAATTATTCGAAGAGATGTGATATTGATTGAAATCCTTCGTTGTACAGTAATTTGTACTGACTCTCTTGTCGGTTGGAGTCGTGGGGGAAGCAATACTAGCACATAACAATCATTATTGAGCATTCCTTGGGAGAATTCATACTTCTTGGCTAAAAGTGGCAATTTTTAGAAATAGATTCAGTGAGCCTTTTCGATGAGAGCCAGTCGCCAAGTAGGGAAATGAGTGTCTCCTGGAAAAGAAAAAGATGTTTTCCAGGTTCATACCATGTTTCGGCGCATCCATTATCAAATCGTTCAAGTGGTTGGATGAGACGGAACCCAAGAATTCTTAATTCCTAGACCCCCGAGCCCCGTCTAACCTCATCTGTGTGACCAGAGCATCAAATTCGATGTATACCAGAAGATCGTATCGTTGTCATTACAGCGCTATCATTCTATTATTCGAGCTTGACGCTGGAGAGTCTCAGATATTTTGCGCTTATTAAATTCCTTGGTAAAATGAATGGATGGAGGGATGGAGGAATGAATGAATAAATAAATAAATAAATAAACAACTAAATGAGTAAATACATGAATAACATTTATCAATGATTCAAAAATGTTGGACAGAAATAACTTAGTCCGTAGTCGAGTACGAACTCAGCGTTTTATCCCTTGTTATGCTTTACATTTCATTGGCACCTCAAACAATCCATCCTCAACAACATAGAGCAGCACAGCACACACCCCCGGAAAATATCGCTTTGTAAATTCTTTCATACAACCTTTGACCCAAAGTGGAAAGAGTCCGAAGATTCCAAAACTCAAAGCAATTGAGTGCTCTGTTATCAATCAAATCTCCATCTCTACCTCAATATTTCAATTTCAATCTCAACATCTCTACTCCGTACTCCGCAGACAATTGATTGGCAGGAAAGCTAAGAACCACGGAGTCTGAGAGAAGGTGGTGTTGGATCAAGAGAACAAGGAAGAAGCAGAGACACCCCGGTCAAAAGGTACTAAGAAGTTCTTCCGACCTTCCGATACGAGACTATCAGAAAAAAGACCTCTACCCAGAACCATCCAAGGATTCTCCATTATTCAATTATTACCCACTTTGCTACACTTTCTGAAGTTGCTGTCTCCACCAAGTTTATCTTCCTTTCTCTCACTACTTGTCTAATAACTTATACCACCGCCATACCTCTACTTTTTCTCTAGAGATATACAACAAAACCCAACCTGTCTTTCGTTTCCATCCACGCATCGGAGCTGGAGAGGTATTCTGCTAGACCTACCACCGTCGCTGTTTAATGAGAAAATGATCAATTGATGAATAACCGAACATGATACCTGATAGTTATAGCTACAATCCTCTAAGTCGTGGTTGATTATAACTTGATATCCTTTTGGCAGCGGAGATCGAATCTTCGGACGAATTACCTCTGACCAGCAATTCACTACTTTTTCGCAAACACCGTCACGATATCCTATAGCACCACAAGCTCGACCATTGATCTACGTCATAAATCCACAAACGTATCTAGATTGAAGAAAGACAGAAAGGCACATTCGAAGACGTTGACTCTTTTGGTCTATTGGGTTGGAGCTTAGGGGCACGAACCTACGTTGAAGAGTTCCCAGAGTCCGTTGATCACAGGACTTTCAATCGCAATAAAGAATAAATATCGGACTTACTCGTTTCGATCTAACATTTTCCAACGCCTACCTCGCTGCGCGGTTCGCATATACCCATATCCTCAAAGATCCGCTATTTTAATAATTAATATAACCATTTCGACAATGGCGCGAAAGCACCCTGTAATGGCACTATGGTCCACCGCATTGTGCTCTTCTCTCGCCATCCTTAGTACAATCTCGCCGGCCTCTGCGACTTCAAGTGCTGCATATGTGACAGGGACAAACTCTGCGGGAGAGACAGTTCAGCTACTTGACAGTCGAACACCGGCTTTGTTCACAGGAAACTTTGGAGATTGCATGGGTGGACAGAGTTTAATCAATGTTACGACATTCGACGCGGCTTACTATGCCGATAATATGACCGTTTTATTTCATCTAGCTGGTAACACGAATTTACAGAATGAGTCGGTAATGAGTAGGTTTTCCTCGAAAGATGATTGGTAGGAAGCTGGCTGACCTTGAAATTAGTACATATTGGTGTGCAAGCTTGTAGGTAGAATGATCTTTTATGAAGATGTGATACTAATGTTTGACTCAGATGGAGAGGATAGATTTGATCTGACCTTCAATCCATGTAACGCGAATTTCGCAAGGTGTGCAAGATCTCTTTTAATACCATGACTTGACTAACCGAGTACAGTCTATGTCCCATGAATAGCAGCAAACCAATCAATGGCGAAGCTATTATTCCAGTATCTGCATCTGATGTGTCGGGAATTCCTGCTATAGCTTTGGTGATCCCGGATTTTGAAGGCTCTGCTACTCTACGGGTATTTTCGAACAGTACACAAACGGAGATTGCTTGCTTCCAAGCTGTCATGAGGAATGGCGCATCATTTTCCCACCCGGCTGCTGTCAGCTCAGTCTTGGGAATATTCACAGCCATTGCAGTATTCTCTTCGTTTGCCACGGCCATATACGGAGCTAGCGTACCGCATATTAGAACCCACTACGCCCACTCTTTGTCAGTCTTGGTTGTGTTCGAAGTGTTTCAATCAATTTTCCTCTCTGGAGCTTTATCGGTGGACTGGCCCAGTGTTTTGCCGGCATTCTGGAGTAATTTTGCTTGGTCGGCAGGGCTGATTTATACCCCATCCATGATCAAGTCAGTTAATAGCTTTACTGGAGTATCCGGGAACTCGAGTCAAGTCGGCGGTGCGGGGTCTTCTACCATTAACAATAACGGTGGGCTGCAACAACAAATTTATGGACGTTCTTTAAAAAAGTTGCAAGAGTTTAGCCATTGGTCCAAAATGGCAAGAGGAAATGAGATGGTCAAGAGAATAGGGTCATTGACAAAACGTGCGACCAGCGACAATTCGACTAAAGGATATGACTGGAATGGAACTCCCGTTAGAGCTGGATTGCCACTACCTGGAACCTGGTCCAATTTCACAGGAACTCTCGCAGGTGTTGATATTCCGGCACAGGATACTTTCTTGGTTGGATTTTTATGGTACCTGATCTTAATTGTTATTCTTGTTGCCTCCGTGATTGCCTTCAAGTTTATCTTGGAAGCGTTGAGCAAGATGAAATGGATGAAGGAAGATAGGCTCGTGTTGTTCAGGAAGAACTGGGTTAAATTCGCTGGCCTCATTGTTCTACGATCGATGCTCATTGCATTCTTCATGATAATGACCTTGTCCCTTTACCAATTTTCCTCCGGGGGTACAACAGGCATCATCGCCATTGCAGCCATCATCTTCATAATATTCTTCTTCGGAATTCTTGCTCTTGCCTTCTACGCTTGCTACTTCAGGCTCAGATTTGGCAATTACGCCTCGTCTCCCGATCGAATACACTTTCAACGAAAGAAAGTGATGAAATTTCTCCCATGGTACGGGGCTATAAGAGAGAGTAGAATGGAAGAAGGCGATAAAGCAAAATCCTCCGCTTCAATGTCTTTCTTCCGAGTGCATTATATTGACCAGGATAAGGAGAGACAAAGTGTACACCAGGATGAGGAATACACTGAACGGTTTGGTTGGCTCTCGGCTCGCTATAGAAGAACCCGTTGGTGGTTTTTTGCATTTTGGGTTGTTTACCAATTTGTCAGAGCTTGTTTTCTTGGAGGTGCTCGGGCTAACCCGGCTGCACAAGTATTCGGCAACCTTGTCGTTGAGATCATAGCCTTCATTGCTATGATTTGGCTCAATCCCTTCGAGGGCGCCCGTAATACAGCTTTGGCAGTTTACATGCTTGGAATCAGTAAGGTTGCCACTGCAGGTCTATCGGTCGCATTCCTACCACGATACAATGTTGCACGCATTCCGACCACGGTTATTGGTGTTATCATTATCGTCATCCAAGGGTTCCTAACTATTGGCTTGCTCATACTTATCGTTCTCGGGGCCATTTCAAGCTACATGTCCATCATGCGCAATCGCGAGGAGTTCAGACCACGTCACCTACAAAATATTCGAACGAAATATTTCCACCACCTGGAACTAAAGGCCGTTGATCTTCCGCCACCACCACCACAGGAGCCTGAAGAGCCAAAGGAACCATATTTCAGTGTAACTCAAGTTCGCCGAGCTCCTAAGATCGAAGACGAGGATATCGTGCCGGAGATGCCGGAGATGAGAGGAAATCGAGATCCGAGTACGTCACAGCACTCGTTACCAACGGCTGGTCGAAGCAGAGCCGCTAGTATGCGCAGCCAAAATTCAGGTTATGGCAACGTCCCATATGGAGCTCGAGTCCATCGAGCAAGTTGGAGTTCCAAGGACTTCCAAAACTGGCAGCAGGACGAAATCACCAGAAGCGATTCTCCATTCAATGCACCATCGAGACGGACGAGTGCGCATCGTACTGCTAATAATTCTCTTTCTATGGCTCCGCTTGTACGTCCGAAGATGTCACAAACAAGCTTAAGGCCCAATACGCCGAAAAAAGAGAAAACTGCTCAATATGCGGATCAGAGGGTGGGCAATGCAAGTTAAGCGGAAGTAATTCTGTTACGAATTTATGAAAGGTGAACATGGGAAAATGAACAACTGCAGGGGTGTAGTTGAGGCGTCTGGCGTATAGCCTTCATCACAATGTATATTGATGAAGGTTTACTGTTGAATTTATGGATTTTGCATTCTAGCTAGTACCATGGAAGGATTATAGACCTTGCATTTGTTGAAATATAAAGGCATAGGCATTGGTATAGCATGGTATGGATGGAGTTATGGGGATTACAGCGAGTCAATATCTATCCTTGTGAGTTACAGCTCTGAGCGAGTTCATTCAATTCACGAAAATAGCAACAAATTTTCTATTCAATGACTTTATTATTCTTGGATCTGGTGCTTTGATCTTCTTTGGTAAAACTTTGTGTTGAAAATATCATCTCTCATTTCTTCCAAATATTTCATTTTTAACATTTTCACTCTTCACGTGGGCTTTTTCGTATCTTCACCTTTTCAAGCGAAAGGAATGATCAAACAAGGAGTGCGACTTCCTCTCTTAGAAATTATGTCAATTTGAAAACAGAATTTCTCACGAAATTTCCTCTCTACATCTCATTACTACAATTATTACTCTCAATTACTCTTTCTCCTTTGTATTTTTCACCCACGCTGCATCTGTACTTTTCCTGTATTTAGTACTCCTTCAGACGACTTCCTCTTTCGGATGACAATTATCGAAGTATTGAAAGCCAGTGGCGGTTTTATGCACGTGCTGCTCATTCACAATCCGTCGCAATTCACGCTCAGTAAAGTCAATTAAGTTTACTGGATTGAGAAAAATGTTTTACAGTCATGAAAGTACGTCTTCTATATACGCTCAACTCTTCCCTCCATAATTTCCCATTTTCAAGCATTGCTTTTCTGTCGTATTACACAGACTTTTTATAATTCTTTCCTAAAATCACCTCTAGTTCTCACGTCTCGGAAACATGGTGTCGCAACAGTCTGGCTCGTTGCGACCCTAGGCAGCAAATCATCTACTAAGAAAATCACTCGGAAAGCCATTCTCGATGTTGATGTCAAGAAAGCCTGTAATACGATCCTCGAACCTGACGCGCCTATGGCATTGCGTTTGCAGAGCAATTTGTTGTACGGCGTCAGTAGGGTCTACGGTCAGCAAGTGGGATATGTTTTGAGTGATACTATCCATGTTGAGCAGGGTCTGAGGAGTTTGGGAAAGAAATTGGTGGGAAGTTTGGACTTCAACGGTGTGAAAGTCAAGTGAGTTTTGTGTAGTGGGGAGCAGAGTCACCATGAGCGAAGCTGATTTTGTTGAAAACAAGACCAGCTCAATTGATGCTAATGGATGATCCCGCATTTGACCCTGACATGCCACTCCCAGGTCTGTTTCCAAATTACGATGTCAATATCGACGCCGATGATTTGCAAAACCGGGATTCACAACTTTCATTATCGATCGATTCACAACGTGGACGGAGTACCTCCATTTCTTCTTCTCAAGGCGCTTCAATCCTGGGTCTCAATATATCTTCGAGTCTCAGTGCAGGTGGCTACCAGCTCCCTTTCAGTGATCCATTTATCAAGTCATCTGCACAGAAATCCGGCGCACATGGGAATGAGTTTGAAGGTGAAGCTATCTTGTTTGAAGATAATGATATTTTTGAGTTTGATCAGGATGGGGAAATTAGGGATTTCACCGCTCAAGATATTGCGTCTCGAAGAGCAGCAAGTACAAGTGCGGCGCCAAGGTTTGGTAATGATTCAGCTGCCAGTGCAAGAGTTCGTAAGGAGCATGACGATGCTAGAGCGCAAGCTGGAGATCATGGCCGTATATACAATGAAGATGACATGAATATGGTGTTTGGCGATGATGATGAGCGCCTGATGTTACCGGATGCAGAACCTTTCGCGGCCTTTATGGGTGGTTCTGTACCTGCCCCTGGTCGTGAGCAGTCAATTTCACAGCCGGGAGATTCGTCATCTGAAAGCGCAGCTGCACCTTCGCGTCCTCGAAAACCGAAGATTAAGAAACAGCTCCCTATTGATCAAACTCAAGAGCTGAAGAATTCGGATCTCTCAATCTGGCAAAGAGAGTATGTCAGTACTCAAGATGGTCTCAGTGCAGCAAAGTTGATAACCAAGGGACAAACATTGGCCAAGAAAAATGCTCTCATGTTCGTCATTGGAAACGGTCTCAATGGTGCTGGCATTGGTATTGGATCAGCAAAGCTTCCAGGCCCTTTAAGCATATTTTCAGGTGATGCACTTCTTGCGAAGATCACAGGACGAGTGTTTGGTCCTACAAAACGTCAAGCAGACTCTGAGAGAGATGAAAATGTTCCTAGCAAACGACTTCGCCATTCTTCCGATGAAGAACTTCCCCGTGGTTTCGGCGGTGATAACGATTTCGCTATTCGAGTTGATGATGAACCACTCGGCACTCCGGTTGAGGTGGAAAGGGGAAGAGATGCGGCAGATACATTGGCGGATTATCCAAGCAGCGCAATGATGCCTTGGAATTTATCTGCCAGCCAGAGAGCTCGCTCATCAAGTATACGCCCCTCTGCTTCGCTTAGGCCCGGTGGCAGAGGAGTTTCTGCCAGTCCCTTGGTGGGAAGAGGTATTATTATACCCGGTGGGGGCGATTTAGACAAGTTCTCTTCAGAGCAAGATGTCATTATGTATGGAAGAAGTGATGATATTAGTACTAATTTAGGTGGGGGAAGCGGTGATGGCAGGGACGTCGAAGAATGGGCAGGTGACGACCAAGAGAAAAGTGATTTCGAAATGTTTGGACCAGCCGCAAATGTGGACACCCAGACGGCAGGACAAAGCCAGTGGGTTAGAAGTATCATGGATAGCGAGAGCGAGAATTTCCTCGATTTTGTCAGGACATCGATCGAAGAAAGGATTGGCGAGGATGAAGATGTCTTTGGTGAACATGGAAAGTTGAAGGATAGGAAAGTGGGATTCGAAGAGCTGTTCGATCCGGAAATAAACAGTGAGGTTGTAGCAGCTCAGGCGTTCTTACATATATTGACTTTGGCCACGAAAGGAAGAATTTGGGTTGATCAAGACGAGAGTGAGAGCCTGGATGCAGGTGGAAATGGATTGGGTGGAGAAATTTGGTTAGGGTGTCTGTAGTACTACTGTGAAAGAACATGGTGTTCGCCAATTCGAGCCTCGAAGAAACATGATACGGTTGGGTGGATAGGAAAAATTGTGCTAGGTATTCGCCCTTTGTAAACATCTTACGGTAGGGATATGAAAGATATTAAATCAATGGCATGGGAAAGGGGGTATGGTTTATGGTTGCTACAGTTTGCTATATTGGCGGATGTTTACGAGGTACTTGTGAGAGATGAGTTATAATTGACCAATCACGTAGAGATGGAAAGAAAGGATATGTGACATTCGCTTAAATTACATTTGCTTGCAGAATCTATCAAAAAATAGGAAGAAATACATCGATGAATAATGATATGCAGATGCATAAAAGTGACCACAGTTTCTTACGATATCGTGAGCCATAAAACGTAGATAGTGCTAATGATACAAGAGTGCTAAAGGAATTGTGTGAAATAATGTTGAACAACAAGGACACTTCGGTAAGAGCGTGAACACATCGCATACTGCCTTCAGCTTTTCTCCTTAAGGCAGAATCTCTACCCCTCGCCAATCCCAACATCGCCCCCTACTCTCGATCCCTTTAGTCGTTGCAACATCCCACATCTTCTCCACCGCAAACTCCGGACTGAACAACTTCCCCTCCTTAACACCACCCCAAAAATCCTTGGACAAGCCCGTCTTTACCGTCCCGGGGTGATAGGAAATAGCCAATGCATTATCCCCATGTCTCATTTTGAGGAAATTGTCAAACGTCTTCGTTAGTGAATTAACAGCGGCTTTCGAAGCTCTATAACTATACCAGCCTCCGAGTGTGTTATCTGATGTGGAGCCGACTCGTGCGGACATGTTGAGCCAGACGGAGTGAGGAGGCAGGTTTTCGGTGCGAGGGAATGAGGGGAGATCTAAGCGTTTTGGAGGGAGAAAGGGAGAAAAGTGCTTGGTAAGGAGCAGGGGACCGATCGTGTTAACGGCGAATGTGTGTTGGATTTGAGATTGATCTAATTGAGCGGGTGATTTTTCAGGGTAAAGAATACCGGGGATGGAGAATGCGAGACGCAGATGGTGCGTTGAAGGAGGGAAGAGAGATGAGCATTTTTCAGCGGCGCTCGAAATGGTAGATTCGTCTTGTGGGTGTTAGGGATTTGTAATTGAGATTTGTGTTTTTGGAAAAGCGATTGGTCACTTACTTGTGACATCAACCTCTAATACCGTCAACCTCTTAGGATCAACATCTAAATCGGTCAAAATAGACCTTTTAGTTCCCTCGACATCCTTTCTTGAAGTTGCTACGACGGGAAGCTGTGTATTCTGAAGAAGATGACGAGTTAGATAGAAACCTATTCCTCGGTTTGCAGGACAAACTAATGACCATGCCATTTCTTTTTTCTTCAATTGTTTGTGGTATTGTGAAGATGTGGATGGATGTGGATGGATGTGGAAGAAAGTCGTCCGGGGAATGTAGGAAAATATGGTGCTCTGTTTAATACACAAACTTTGACAGCATCATTGATTTATTTGGGAAGAGACATCCTTGCAAGCGCCGGGTGTGGCCTTGACTGGATTTATACTTTCGCATCGGGAGGTCGATCCTTCAAAGTCGATGGATTGCACTTTAGATCGGGATTGGGGTGTGTGGGGTTTACATAGATAGTCTGCTAGCAGGAAATGATTTTCCAAGTTCGAAGGGACGTGGAAAAAAGGGGATGTGAGTGTTCTAGCGAGGTCAAAGAAAATTGCGATTCTAGAATCACAAGGATGATAAGAGCTCATTATATAGTTATGTCTCCAAACCATCGTAGAAACCTTTTTTTTTAAACACGCTGAAGCAAAGTAATAAATGTTTCTTTCCATCCCCACACCACCATGCATGCGATCATTTGTCGTTGTTGGCCAGCCCAAAATATAGATTATATTATAATAGTAACAAAGATGAGATATCTTTCGACCATCTATCACAAAGCGACATCCTGAAAGCTAGCATTTCCCGGTGTCTGATTCCCGGAAATGTTCTCGCTCGATTTGGTCAAATCATCCGCTGATACCCCGAATGGCGCTGCAGGTCGAAGAGCAAGTTTCTGTTGCTCTACATCTGAGGCTCGGGATTTTTGCTCTTCAGGTACAGCTGTCTTTTCTGTCCCATGTTTTTCTTTTCCTCCTTCCGAGTCGCTCTCGGAACCTTCTTCTTCTTGCTCCTTCTCTCTCCTTCCTTTATCTTCTTTAGGTGTATCTTTTGCAGGTGGAGTAGGAGGAACAGTTTGACCATTCGTACCGTTTGTGTTTGTGGGCGGGGGTGAATTAGGTGGAGTTGCTACCTGCTCTTTTCGTGGTTCAGCGTGTGCTGGTTGCGGCGGAGGTGCGTTCGAAACTACTTGTCTCTGTTTTGGATCTGCATCAAGATAATATTGCCTAACACCCACAATTCTTCCGCCTCTCTCACAACCCTCAACCCATTCCGGCCTTACAACTGGAATATTCATCTCAACAGCTTTCTCCCAAGCTATACCTCTTCCCTCTGTGGTCACAAAGTGTGTTGTGTCGATTCTCACGGTATCTGCTATCTTTGCCCCGATCCTCTCAACTGCCTTAACAAGACTCTCCTTCAATGCAGCAGGTAAAACACCAGGAGTAACCGTGATACCACTTAGATCCGTCATCTTGTGCGTCTTCACAACCACCCTCTCACTACTAAAAGTCCCAGCACTTGTTCTCAGTACCAGATGAAACGAATATTCCGTATCGACCGCCAAACCACTAATCTTCGTGCTCAGCATCTGAGTGGGCCTTGGGATGTTTCCAGCCTTTTGTCCATTGCGGAAAAGGGAGAGGGAGATGACATCTGCGGTTGCCAACTCAATAGGATCCCATTCTAAGACAACGGAAGTTTGTGTTGCATTGCGACAACGAAGGACCGGTGCAGACGGTTCTGATGCACCAAAGGAATTGAAAATAGAGTCTTGAAGAGCTAGGAATGACTTTTGGGATTTTTCCTCCGAGATAAGGTTTCGTGCAACGGTGATATCGACGATGCTACCAGAGGTGATGTTGGGTGGGAGAAGAATAGATGGGAATTCAATCTATGGGGGGTATTGTTAGTTATGGAGGTTGAGAGAAATGGCATGTGCAATGACCAAGTTGTGTGTGTACGCATGAACAGTCAATTGAATCACGGCCGGAACCGTATTTATTCAAATGAATAACTTACAAGTCGTTTATCTTGAGTTAATAAGACAGCCACTCCGGCATCAACTTTACCCACGGTGAGTGAAATCAACATGGCGAAAAGGATTCAGCTCTTTTAATTTGTGTGCCAAAGGAGAAGGGAAATCTTTCAAGATACGTTGCGACAGCTTTGCGATTGCGATCTTCCAAAGGTTTAGCCTGGAAGAGCTTCAATGTGAGCTCAGGCGGCGCTAATTGGCTGAATTTTAGTACATGACCGCAAGCTGATGAAACATGAAGTAATACCTTATACATTTTTGAGGAAAAATATAAGTAAAATACAGTTAAACATTGATATTAACATTTTATGTGTATATTAATATGTATATTAACATGAAGGCTTATCTTTACATAGGTCTAGTATCATAGAATAGCAAAATGAAGTTAGTTTGATCTGTTGAAGTAAGTTGCCAATATGTAGCTTTTATATTTTTGGAATGTAGTCTTTGTAACTAACTACTATTCAATGTTTATTTCTATTTATATATTTTCATTTTTGATGAATGCTCAGCCCACCAAATACCTTGTTCTTCTTGAAGGGTTTCTTTTGTGGTGATTTTACTGTTGAACCATTCTCTCCTCCCCTCATCATATTTCCCATCTGGTATCTTTTCATATCATTGACTCCCTTGCCTGGTTGATTGAAATTCTGATTTGGATTTGTTTGGCGGCTTCCGAGCTCCTGCCTAGACTTTCGTATCATTGTGGCCACAGCCATCTCAGCTTGTTCTTGCAAAACATCCATCTTAGCAGTCAAAGAACTTTCTTTGGTAGATATTATCATCGTACCAATTAAATCCTCGTTCTTTTTGTTCCTTCCTATGTCATTAGATACCTTTCTCCCTGACAAGTCATAACCATGCTTCTTCAAGGCCTCTGTCATTGCAGTTCTGACCCTTCGTACCATATGGGTTCGTATAACTTTCTTGTTTCCTCCATTAAGTTTCGCACAATAAATAGAGATCCATAATGGAGAGGTTTTATTGGCAAGAAGGTACTTAATGCGATAATGGTCCGGATTGTAACTTTTTAACAGCGCTGGAGCTTGATGAAAGGAATAGCCGTGTCGAGGAGACAGCTTATAAGAAAAACACTGATCACTCCCAGCTACACCTTTCAAAGATCCATAAGCTAGAGCATCTGCTGATATGAGTTCGCCAGAGCGCATCATTTGCGAGAACTTGGCCTCTACAGCAATGGCAGCTCTTGAAGCCATTTGTGGAATGGATGTTTGAATTTGAGGCGATATTCTTCGTAAGAATCATCAACTACCAACTCATATCGTGCTTTGTTTTTATGTGGTTGGGAAGATTGTGCAGGCTCGAATGAGGCGACAGTGACGGTAGTATTCGTGATAATAATGGTCTGCTCTTAATTCATGTTGTGCTGTGTTGTGCTGTGCTGTGCTATCCTGTATTGTATTTTCGCCAGTCGTTATTGTTCTAGATTCAATCAACAAGTGCATCAGCGATGGAGCCGTAACAAAGCGAAGCCATTTGATCAGTTCGGACCGGAACTCTTTATTAGCGTGCCTGCCTAGGTGTAGGTGCTGAGTGGGCTTATAACCCCACTCACTACTAGTACTAGTTAGTGATCATAGTTATGACACTACCAACTTTAGTCTACCTATTCCTCCAGTCCAAAAAGAAATAATCAATTGCTACTTAAATCGCCTCTTCTTCCTTCTTTCTTCCTCCTTCCTTCTTCATCCACTTCCACAACCAAAAAAATAATCATCGCAAACCACAAAACTTTCCAAAGCAAGGCCCAATACAAAATTCAACAGTAAAGTAAAAACACCAGTCAATATGCCTAAGAATAAGGGAAAGGTAAGACACCGTCGCATTTTCTTTTTTTATATTAAAAATATTCCACCCCACAATCTTGATTCAGGCTGACACGATTGCGGAAAATAGGGAGGAAAGAACAGGCGTCGTGGGAAGAACGAGAACGACAACGAGAAGCGTGAATTAACATTCAAGGAAGAAGGTCAAGGTAATATACCCTCTATCTTTTACTCCCTACAGCTGCTCTCCTGTCTATCTCTCCTGACCGCTTCAACTCCAAAGCGTTTGCATCGCACACACACAACTAACCAGCTATCCTTTCACAGAATATGCCCAAGTCATCAAGATGCTCGGAAACGGTCGTCTAGAAGCTCTCTGCTTCGACGGTACCAGACGTCTCGCACATATTCGAGGAAAGCTCAGAAAGAAGGTCTGGATTAACCAAGGAGACATCATCCTCCTCTCCCTCCGTGACTACCAAGACGAGAAGGGAGACGTCATTCTCAAGTACAGCGCCGATGAAGCCAGAAGTTTGAAAGCCTATGGAGAATTACCTGAGAGCGCAAAGATCAACGAGACCGATACTTACGGACAAGGCGAGGATGGAGATTGCAACTTCGAGTTCGATGACGATAGGGATAGTGGTAGTGACTCGGATGACGCTGCCGATGGAGGAAAGGGCAAGGAGATCGATATCGATGATATCTAAATCCTCCAGAGGTTGATGTGGTCCCCTCCACGAAGGTTGACTATGGTGGTTAGGGGGATGGAAAGAAAGACTGTCTTCTCTCTCAATCTCGTTGGATTTGGTCATTGTTTCACTCGCTGGATCCCGAGAACCTCGACAGGCATTTTTCCTTCTAGATCTTCATTTTGACTGGCGATATGTATATAGTGGGAGAGACGTTATACACATATTGGCCAGCGTTTTCCTTTCCATTCCTGCATAGCGTAGACTGTAGGCTATCTGAATATCAATAAAAAGTTATCTCATTTTGAATTTTTTTATCTGTGATCCATGATTTGAATTAATATTTCATCAAACTGTCTAGACCCGTTGAATGCACAATCTCATGTCTAATGCGTAATATTTCAGATTTTTATGTTCTTGATTGATTTGACTAAAACTCTTCATACTTGAGCTGCCATTTTCTCTATGCCATCCACGTTGTCCTGCAGCGGCCAATTTTGACTCGTAATAATTTGACTAAATGCCACCCTTAACTTGGCCATGGCACAATATACACCAAACTTCATTCCGTTCTTGTTTCAATCAATCTCCCTAAACTAAAGCAACCAATCGCACCACTGACCATCTACCAATCATCATCTTCCGCTTCGTCATCTGATCAAAAGTTAGCAGAGGACACAGAATCAAGATTATATACAGAGACTCACCACTAGCACTAACTTTCTGTTTTCTCTTGTTTAAAGCGGCTGCCAATGCATCTGCCAACCCTCCTCCGCCTCCAGAAGATGCACCAGCTGGAGGAAGTCCGCTGCCTGCAGGTCCTGTATCTGCTCCCGGGACTGTGGCTGCACTTCTGTCTCTAATTTGTGATCGGTCAACTTTCTTGAGAGCTCCGATACCACCAGCTTTTTGAATATTTGCCATTAAGTCGGCGCGGTCACCAGTAGTTTTGGGTGGCGCTGGAACACTTGAAGCATAGCCAGAATCGCGGTTTGGAGGTGGTGGTGGAGGAGGAGCTGGCGGACCATTTCCTGGCGGTGGTGGAGGTGGTGGAGGCCCGCCAAACGATGGCATAGGTGGTGGAGGTGGGGGAGGTGGAGGTGGGGAGGTGGAGGTGGCCCTCAAATGAAGGTGGTGGCCCGGGGGTGGAGGTGGAGCAGCAGACGATGGTACAGGAGGGGCTGCTGATTGAGGTAGGGGCGGCGGTGGTGGAGCACCCATCTGAGGCAAAGGGGTGGAGGGTGCGGTGTCTCGGAGGTAAAGGTACAGGACGAGTAGAAGCAGGGGCAATGGCGGCGCGCTCGGAGATGCTGGAGTTTTCGGTGGTAAGGAGGGGGAATGTGTGCAGGTGGTATAGCATGGGCACTATTCGATTGATGGATATCTCTAGGAGGTGGCGGTGGAACGGGGCCTCGTTGCGGAGTAGGGGGTGGCGCTGTTGTTCTCGTCCCAGTGAAAGGGGGAGGGACTCCATATCTCGAACCTGATTCCCCTGGTTCGTAATCTTCAATAGGTGTTTTCGCAGGCCTTGGCGGCGGAGGTGGCCCGGGGTTAGAAGAAGCATGTGCCCGAGAAGGTGCCCTATCGTTGGTATGCGCAAACTTGCCAGCATCAGCGATTGGTGGTGGAGCTGCAAATCTAGGGGGTGGAGGTCCTCTGGGAGGTGAAGGCTCTCTTGGGGGTGTTGGTTCTCGAGGGATATCTGCTTTAGATCGCCGTGGTGCGGGAGGTGGAGGTGGAGCCCCTCGCCCATGACCGGCCGTGGAACTTTGAGGACTATCGGAACGTGTTCGAGGGGCCGCGGGAGGTGGAGGTGGGGGAGGGGCTTTATTTCTTTGATTTTCAATGCCACTGGGCGCGGGTGTTATGCCTTGCTGAGATTGTTGATCTAGAATATATTCGGCAATAAAATCTTGGTTATCTCTAATCATATCGTCTGTAATCCCCATCTGCCTCAAGTCCTCGCCCCATGTTTCTCGCCAATGAGGATCAATCGCTTCCAAAGCTGCATACTCAGGCTGCCCTGATTTGAAGCTTCCGCCCGAGTGCCCGTGGTTTTGTGGTGGATGCGCTGGTTGTGAGGGCGGAAGGACATAGCTTGGGGAATCGGGAGGAGTAGGTTGTATCGATGGAGCGGAAGAATGTCGGTGTCCACTAAAGATTCCTCCAAGGAGACTATGTTTATGAACTGGAGCTGCATCACCAAAAGGATTGGCTTTTGTAGCTTTACTAGCATTCTTCTCCCGATCATTCATTTTCTTCATAAACGTTTTAGCTTCCTTCTCGTCCACGAAGGATAATCCAGCCAGACATTCTTCTGTTTCGAAGGTGTGAAAGAATGTTCTATCCTGATTATATGACCATGTATCATATATCTCCTGATCCCATATAACTCCTCTATTCGCAGACTATAGTACAGGAAGTCAGCTTTTTTTAGTCGATAAAATATCGCGACAAGATGGAGGGGAACCACTAACTGAAACATCGACGAGTTTTATCCAGTAGGTATTTCCAACAAGATCGTTCGCAAGCACTGCTGCTCCTTGTAAACCAGTGTATGTCCATTTATGACGATCAGGGTAAGCAACGTATAGACGGGCCACCGCTACAGCCTGTATTTTGTTCGAGGCCTTTGGTACCATGCGTTTGACCGTCTCTTTATCATCATCCGACAGTATCGAAGGCATTTTTCAGGCTTTTGAGGTATCTCCCGGCCCCGATAGACTTTTCCGCTCTAGGTAGTATCTGTCTTGCTCCTATGATTTGCACTTTGGTAAGAGTTTTGGAAATAGCGTTCGATTGTGTGGAAGATTGCTCTCGTGTTGGTCGCACTTCTCGCACTTCTCACACTTCTCACAAGCATTGGAAAGTAGGGATGATTGTGAAATGATTCGTTTCCTATCGCAATGACTTGACTCGATGTAGGGGCCTGGACCAAAAAGTAAAGCGAATGGTACTGGTCCCTTAGGTAGCCAAATTCTGCGGCGATTATTATTATGTGCTTATATTCACAATGATTTGAACGGTCAACGTCCAGTTAAGTTGGGCACAGACAGATCATTGAGGGTAATTGCTGCTGCTACACATTAAAGGCCAAGAAATTCAGCCACCGGTCGGGGCAGAGCCACGAAATGCTCCGAATGTCAAAGAAACAAAATTGGGGGCAGCATCTCACAATTCCACCCCGGTCCTGTTAATTATTAACCTTGCTTAGGTACCTTTATGAAAGTACGAATGCGAACTCCTTTCATACTCACTTCTGTAACGCGCGTACTGGCCAAAGCCATCTTAACCTAGCATATCCTTTCAAATCACCCAACACGATATCACCACTTGAGTAGGTGAATACTTGTATATGCAGATTTAGAGGTTGGTATGCTCAATAAGATGCCAGCGACCCCGTGACTGGTGATAAGATCTTACATTGATGATCGTTATCATGGAGTAACCGACTTGCTATGAAAGTGGTGCGGAAGGGATTTAATCACTCTTGCTTATGCGGATATCAACATGCACAGCAGGCAATGCGCATTGGTATATTCGATAAAGATAGAAGTTTCATTTCCTTGCTAATCATATATATGCCAGAATGTATTCATCACCATCCGCTTCCTTGACCATCCGACCTACGAACGCCAGCCATCCATGGGCCCTCGATTCATTACATTTCGTTCGAAATGATCGTATAGTTCGTGTAAAGTTCTTAAAGTCTATTGAATTAGTTTAGTCTATCAGACAGAGTAGAACAGGCATACTGGAGAGCTTTACTTGTTCAAAGCAGCAGCCTTTGCTTGACGGTCCGCCTTTGAGCCTTCTTGCTCCGGCATACTTTCAGGGATAACAGGCCCTGGGTTTGCCTCGTGATGACGGAACTGAACTTTATCTGCCTTCACTTCACCTTGATCATGAATAGGATGGTCGCTGGCATGGCTATCGGTTTTCGAGGATGAGTTCTTCATAACGTGCTCAGTTGCGGCACCTGCACTTGATTCGTGCTGGTGAGTTTCGTCTGGACCAGTTGGCATGATGTTAGGAATATTGTTTCTTTTGAGTAGATTTGTGCGTTGTATATTGTAGATTGGCAGTTTGTAGAATTAGATTAGATTATTGTTCAGAGACCGAGTCAACTTTAATAGGATTCTTTCAATCTCTATATAAGTCATATTGCCCCTCATGACGTAGGCGCCGTTCGAAGACCACGGGATGGTCTCTGGCTTTCTAAGTTGTAGCTTTAACCACCAATAACTTGGTAATATTTTTCAGGATTTCAACAAGGTGGTGTATTGAATTAACCATTAAAATCACGTTATTTCCCCAGACTTTAATTACCTAAAGCAAAGCTAATCCGAACACTCGAAAGTAGGGTGCATGCGGAGTTATCGTACGTGCTACTGAAAACATAACTTCTGACATCGTGTGTGGTTCGCGTCAACTTGCAAAATGATCAGCACGCCATGATTTCTCCAAAATGTCTTCATTAAACGGTGAACAGCAACCCGTGAAGCTGTCACTACCATTGGTAAATTATTCCATGTAGCTCCTCGTGCGCGAGATGCTAATAGACTGCAGAAATACCAACAAGAGATATTTCAAGAGCTTCGACAAAAGGATGAACTTGTCGTCCTTGCTCGCGGTCTCGGCCTTTTAAGACTTGTTACGAACCTCCTCCACTCATATGATGCGGCGGGAAACAATCTCATAATATTGATTGGTGCAGATGATAGAGAGAATGGATGGATTGGAGAGGCATTGGCTGAGCATGCTGCCATTAGCATGGCTCTCAAAGCGCGGGGTCTTTCGGTCGTCAATACGGATCTCATGAGCGTCGGCACAAGAGAAAAGATGTATGCACAAGGAGGGATATTTAGTATTACATCTAGGATTCTTGTTGTTGATCTTTTGACCAATCTATTGGATCCAGAAACTATTACAGGCGTGGTGGTCCTACATGCAGATAAGGTTGTAGCTACATCACTGGAGGCGTTCATACTTCGGATCTACAGACAGAAAAATAAGGCTGGATTCCTCAAGGCCTTTTCGGACAACCCGGAACCACTTGCTACAGGATTCTCGCCACTGTCGACTATGATGCGAAATCTGTTCCTCCGTAACGTCTCGATATGGCCAAGGTTCCATATAAATGTTGCGCAAGCTTTGGAAGGCAAGAAAAAGGCGGAGGTGATTGAACTCGAAGTGTCAATGTCTGATTCCATGCGAGATATCCAGAATGCCGTAATGGAATGCGTAGAGGTTAGTATCGGAGAATTGAAGAAATCGAACTCTGGATTAGATATGGATGACTGGAACGTCGACAGTGCTCTGCATAAACAATTCGATATGGTCATTCGCAGGCAGCTTGATCCAGTATGGCATCGAGTCAGTTGGAAGACGAAGCAGATTGTCAATGACTTGACCGTTCTGAGAGGGATGCTACATTCTTTACTAACGTACGATGCGGTTTCATTCAATCGTCATTTAGATATGATCCTTGCTGCGCACCAACCTCCCGCAGGATCTACGAGGCAAAACCAATCCCCTTGGCTATTTCTTGATGCGGCACACACCGTGTTTGATACCGCAAAGAGACGGGTATATACCGGTAAGGCGGCACGAACGGAGGATGTTGATTCTTTAAAGCCAGTGCTAGAAGAGCAGCCAAAATGGGCAGTACTCGCTGAAGTGCTAGATGAAATTGATCGAGACCTCTATTTCAACCACGTCCCAGTGGATGATTCGAATGGCACGATCTTGATCATGTGTACAGATTCTGCCCAATGCTGGCAACTGCGGGAATATCTTCAAAGTATGAACGCTCGTCCGGATACGGATGAGGATAATGTGGATGGAGAACAGGAGCCATCGGCGGAAATTATGATGAGGCGGAAACTGCGCAGCTACTTGGAGTGGAAGAAAAAGTTTGCCAAAATCAGCGCGGCTCTTTTCAACGAAAATCAAAATGCACTAAACGGTACTAGTAACACAAACAATGTCACGAATAACCCCCGAGGTAGGGCTCCGACAAATAAAAGGAGGAGAGTGAGAGGTGGTGCTCCGAGCTCAGGATCCACACGTGCTACAAATGGCAGCCTACAAGCTGCAGAAGATAAGCCTCTCGAGGTTGCTGAACTGGTGTCAGAGATAAAACCCACAGAAGTGGAGGCATTACAGAAGGCAGAAGTCATTGCAGATCCTCTTGACAATATGGAAGATTACTATCAGCTTTATGAAATGAAGGATCTCGTAGTTGTTCACGCCTATGATGGGGATTTGGATGAGCATATTCTCGAAGAGGTAAAACCGCGGTACATTATCATGTACGAGCCCGACACATCTTTTGTTCGTCGGGTAGAAGTTTATCGATCTTCACACAACGATCGAAATGTCCGAGTGTACTTTCTTTACTATGGTGGATCGGTAGAGGAACAACGTTACCTGTCATCAACTCGCCGGGAAAAAGATGCCTTTACCAAGCTTATTAAGGAGAAGGCTAATATGTCTGTTGTACTGACCCTCGATGCGCATGGTATTGAAGATCCACAAGAAGCCTTTCTCCGTACAATAAATACCCGTATTGCGGGCGGAGGACGTTTGGCCGCTACTGCTCAGCCACCACGGGTCGTAGTTGATGTCCGAGAATTTCGTTCCTCACTTCCATCCCTACTTCACGGTCGTAACATAGTCGTAGTGCCATGCATGCTTACTGTCGGAGATTATGTTCTTTCTCCGAACATTTGTGTAGAGCGCAAATCAATCAAAGACTTAATCTCTTCATTTAAAGACGGTCGTTTGTACACTCAAGCCGAGACTATGCTCGAACATTACAGGTCACCAATGCTACTCATTGAATTCGACCAAGGCAAATCTTTTACCCTTGAACCATTTGCTGATCTCTCGGGATCATTATCGTCCGTATCGGCTGCAAATGCATCATCTGACCTTCAATCCAAGCTCGTACTCCTCACTCTCGCCTTTCCTAAGCTCCGCATAATATGGAGCTCTAGTCCGTACCAGACTGCCGAGATATTCGAAAGTCTCAAAAGTCAAGAGCCCGAACCAGATCCCATACAAGCCGTGAAAATCGGGCTGGAAGGTGGTGCAAGTGCCGAGGATCAAGCTTTTAACCGGGAGCCTCAGGACATGTTGAGAGTTGTACCGGGGGTCACAGGGAAGAATCTGAGTAATCTGGTGGTGGAGTTGGGGAGCATCAGGGAGGTAGCTAATGCAAGTTTGGAGGAATTGGAGCCGGCGGTTGGGAAGGAGGCTGGGAGGCAGATTCATCGGTTCTTTAACAAAAGTGTGCTCGAATGATGAGGCACGCGATGCACGAAATAATTCGCAGGCTGTATCCAACTCAAATACAGCTACTAAACAAATATCTAGCAGGCCTCCAACCTTGCGCAATAATTCAATCCACGTTTGATGGTCCAATTCCTTTGGGCTTAACCTGGAGTTTAGGAAAGAATATGTTTCACTGTGCAGTATATTTCGTCTATCGCTTATGTGGCCGAGTTTTGGAGTAATACGAAGGAGCCAGCCAGCACCAGCTAATCTAATAAATGCTATGTATGATAAGTGATCGCTTCCACTACCACCATTTGACATGGCATGCTGAGTATTAATAAATGCTACCAAACCCATCGTAGATACCAGACCACCATGCTTCGAAATCAACCATCCTGAGTTTCAGACACTGATACCACACTGATTATGTTTCATTTTCGAAGCACAAGTACAACTCGATGTGGTGTTTGCCAACGCCCACGCTCCGTTTATCACCCTCCTATCGTTTTTCCCATTAAACATGTGAAAAATAGGGCGGAGCAATGGCCATTGTCACATACTATGTAGTGTCACTTCTATATTCCGAAGTGTGGTTTGGCGTTTATGAAACGGATGAAATGGATGAGATAACGTGTATGCACTCATGACTCAAGAAATGTTGGGATACCGCGATGTAACCAGATGTAGTGGTGCGCGTATGCACTTAGCTGCGCATGGAAAAGTATTTATTTGATGAAGGGATTGAAACATTATGAAGCTGGGAAAGAAAGCTTGTATTGTATTTTTCCATCTATCGTATGTATCAAGATCAGACACCCTGTTCAACTTGTCTTGTAAGGTAACACGGTTGTACGAGAAATCTAGATCCAAGAAGATTAGATTGCCCGACAGGGAGAATGTGAATGTACGGATAAACACGAGTAGATGACCTTCTCTTTCATGTTGTAAGATCTTACATTCATTGTATTTAAGATATCGGAGAAATGATTCCATTTGCTATGCTATGGAAAAAATAACATCGATGTGCTCTCCCCTCATCGCCATTCACGATCAGCAAAACATGTCGATCAATAAAATTCTCAACATCCATTTTCTTGGATCATTTTCTTGGATCATTTTCTGTTTTTTCTTTCTCAATCTTTCCATGTTGGGATGGAGAAAAGGCAATATTGACAGGGGACCTTACGACGTTACGACCTTACTGCACTGATTAAGAAGGAATCAAAGCATGGACTTGTTGTCATTGATGGGGTTCATGTAGACAATTTTACAATTTTTTCCGGGTAATGGCACGTAACGAACGGTACGTCGTGGTACACAGTGGTACACAGTGGTACACATGAAAGGCAGGTCTGGGGAACTACGTCATAATAGGTCAATTAAAATTCAACATACCTCCCTCGTCGTTGATGATCAAAACATGGAGAACAACCTCATCTCGATCCTTCCATCCTTCCATCCTTCCATCCATTCATCCATTCATCCATCCATCCATCCATCCATCCATCCATCCCACCCTTCTCATCCTTTCCCTTTCCATACGAATCAGAATCACAGAAACGATAGAGGAAAAATGGTGCAAAATCTGCATCAGATCTACAAACTCGATTTACTTCCCCTCCAGTAACATCAAAATAAACATTAAGCAGGGGCTCTTGTCCATGTGGCTGGTGACATCAAAATATGATGCCACTGTGGCTTGACGTCAGCTTAGTTTCTTGTCAGACGCCACAGCTAGCACTCTAGACCCTATAACGGGAACTAATCCCCGTACTCAGCGGCAATGCATTCCCAAAACGGCACTTTTTCATTTCGACGCCATGCCTTGTTTTTCTTCTTCATTTCAAAGTTGGTATGTGATATACGAAAATATGAAAATACGATATATGATACAACACACCACCAATCAAATCAAGGAACTCCAGATGAGATGTCTACATTTGGCAGGGAGAAAGAAGCAAGGACCCCTGCTTGGCCTTGGCCTTGGCATGGGCGAGCGAAAAGCGAATAAAGAAAAAATTCATAGTGACGTCACGCAGAGATCATTTTCAAAGAATTAAATTCCCGAACATGGCACAGAGCAGGAGGATCGATTGTGTGTTTGAATACCGACGGGTCTTTTCCGCCGTATAGTTATGGTATGACGCGATGGGGTGCTTCTGATTGGAAAGGATCGGATGCAATGTCAGGTTTTTGGCTTTGAACGAGGTCGTAGGGAGGAAATATATAGAGCTGTGTTTCTCGTTGATTTCGTTTGCTTTTCTTCTCTCCATATCAAATACACAAACATACAATACAATACCATCAAATCGATTCTATCAACAAACACAACCACCAATACACAACCACCAACACAATAATCTCGACTTTCACTTGACGTTTAATCAACTCAGTACAAATCAATCAAAATGGGAGCCGTCGTCTCTTGTGTATGTCTACCTTTTCGCCCTAGTCCTATACGCCTTTCCATCATGCCGATCTAATCATATTATATCACATTCTTAAGAACACAAGCTAACATCCTCAATAGATCACTGGCATGTTCCGCGCCATCGGTGCTGGTCTCATGTAAGTTCACTCCACAGATCCCACCTCCAAACCAACGATCTTACATCATCCCATCATACCACAACCCCCTACAAGACCAACATAATCCTAACCAAGCACCACAGGGCCGTCGTAAACGGAATTGGAGCAATCCTCACCGGAATCATCAACGCCATCGTCGCCTTCTTCGACGTCCTCATCTCCTGCTTGACATGCGGTAGCTGCGGCGGTAGACGAAGAGGAAGACGAACGACGAGTACTGTTTAGAGTGGTCCCTTGCCTTGGCGCAAGGGGCTGACTCTTTCTTACTCTCGCCAACATAACCATAAACATAAAATTTAAACTTTATGGGGATGTGGAGGAGTGGAGTGGAGTGGAGTGTGCATGCGTGCGAGTTTGCTTTATGATACCTGAGGATGGATAAATGGATGAATGGTGGAGCACGGCAGATGGGGAAAGGGAGTGAAGAGCGTTTTGCATTTGTATTTTTCGATTCGCTTCGATACCCGGTTTCTTTTCTTCTAATAATGAATGGTGAGATGAGAGGAGTGGAGATCATGGAAGGATGGTCGCTTGCGCTTGCGCTTGCATGTATTATATAAAGATGAGAAAAGAGGAGCGGAGGTTTAATGATTATGATACACTACACATATCTTACTTTTCAATTGTTTTATGTGAATGTGAATAAATGCAATCGATGGGAAATACATCAACTCCAGTTCTTGCGGTATCCTCCCATGCCCGCCATCCACACGGCGAGATACTCCACGAATCACCTTTCCTCACACGTTCTAAAAATTCTTAATGCTGTACCCAATAACCCCAATGGTCCGCCCAAAAGTTCGGTAGATTTCCTCTCAATACCCCCAGACCCCTCACTTGTACCACGGAAAAAACCTACCCCTATCCTATCCATTTGAATAAACCATACCGTCACATTCTTTCTTATCTTCGTTCCAGCCCGATCAAACCAAGCCTAGCATGAAAACCAAAACGCTATATTCGCTGCCTGCCTTCCGATGTCATATTTTCCCCAAATTCACTTGTACAAAGTCGAGCCATACGAGGTGATAAAATCTTCAAGTGCGATGAAGTTTCCAATTCTTGGGTATATTATAGCATGGCTACCCAATAATATGATATCTTCCTTTTTGAAACTCAAAGTTCACTCATATCCCTCTGCAAGCAAACATCCATCTAGAATCCGATGTTACCTAAGATTTGTCTCATTCCAGCCCTAATCCAGATCCAAAACGCCTCTTCTCTATCCTGTCCATATCGCTCACAGAAACACTGCAAACCCATCCTCTCCCACTTATCTACCCCGTACCTTCAAAAACTCATTGCTAATATTCGATGCCGGTCCGTGAATCCCCCTCATCACCAGATCCATATCCCTGTCCTCCATACCTATACCCATGCCCATCCCCATCCCAGTAGTAGCCGCTCTCCTCCTATTCCCCACATTCCTCTCCCCAGAACCAAACATCTTCCCATTACTTTCTTCCCTTGCAACCCCATCAATACCAATAACACTAGACCTCACCCCTCTATCCCTCCCATTCACACCCTCCCACCTCAATCTAGCCACCTGTCCCAAACCATCAAAACTTTTCACGATGCCCGCTAGCGTACTCAAAAGTACATCAGTATCTCTCTCGATAATCCTCATTCTAGTCTCGAGTTCTCTTTCTCTGGAGCTTCTCGGCCCTATTTCCCTTTCTTGCACAGTATCCATGTCTATATCTAAACCATCGAAATTATGTCCATTAGCCGCTTGATCCAATGGTGGATACACGAGAGGCTCACTACTCAGACGGGCATGGCAGGCCTTTTGAAATTGAGGAGAGGGGCGGGTGTGAGTTAAAATTGTTTGGGTGGAATGGTGTGTGTAGGTAGAATTTCCTTCATCAAGCGACTGAAGTGGTCTACTTAAAGTAAACTTTGGTCTTGGAAGACGTGATGGCGAGGGAACCGCTGGAACGTGAGAAATAGGACGTGGAAGTGGGATATCAGATTGATGAACATGATTAAAATAAGGTGGGAGATCAGCAACAAGCATGATGTCAGGAGTGGCCAGAACCACAGCGTTTCGCGAGGGCCGTTCTGTCGAGCGAGCTGGAAGTGCGATGGATTTGGAACTTGAACTTGAGGGAGATGATGGTCCAACCTCGGTTTTGGGAGATTTTTCTGAGAAGGATTGAGTGTATATTTCGTTTGTGGCTATTTTATCCAAGTTTGAATCCCCGAAGCCGAGCGAAGCTAAGTCTCTCTCCTTTCTTGCTCTCACTTTCTCGCGAAGACTCGTTTTTATTGTCTGATCTGCTGGTTTCTCACTACTACCACTTTGCGAACTGTTGGGGGACGAAATTGCTATAGGACGTGTAGCTTGATTCGCGAGACCATTTCCAGGCTCTGCTGAACCAACCGCAGGAAGCTGTACTATCTTTTCACTCTGAAGAGACGGTCTTGCTGTAGTCCCTCTGAAGTTGTGAAGATCGATTGTCTCAGCTGTACCAAAAACTGCTGGCATCGATGAATTCGTATTGATACTATCGGGCCTAGATTGTAGAGATTGTCTGATGCCAGTTCCAGTGGTTGCAACACTATGAATAGTGGATATCGATTTGACTATTTTGTGGGTCTGATGAGTAGACTTGACATCGGGAGAGGGTGTTCTGTTTACTACCCTTAGTGGGCGATCAGATCTGTGTCTCCACAACATTGGACGGCTCACGGAGCTGAGCGAATTTGCTCGACAGTCATCTGTCAAGGATACTTTGAGTGGTGAGACAGGCGAGGGAATCGTTTTCGATGAATGGAGTAGAGGTCGTGTCTCTAAAGCATCATGATAAATACTTCCAGTCGGGGTGTGTACCTGACTAGTTCGCTGAATATATCCATTTGAAGCACGATCTCTTCAGATCCTGGCTTCGTAATCACTTTAGTCAAAGTTCCTGGTCCCCAGGTACTTCTTTTGGAGATTGATGTTTTACTTCCGAGCATAGGAGGATCATGTGAAGCTTTTGCCAACTGCCCGGCATCATAAACCGGTTTGTGGACGACAACTGGCACCCTATCAAGTGCCGGAGCACGCTCAAAACGCGATGCAGGCTCTGGAGGAGTTTGCGTCTTTCCTAGATAATCGTGCTCTAGTGGTATTGAAATGGCTATATATTGCACACCCTGACGAGTTTTTGCAGCAATAGCAGTATCGGGAAGTTTCAGGAACTGGTTAGGTTTTGGCTCTCTCTTCTGTTTCCTGCGAAGGAGGCCAAACCTTTTCCGTGCAGTGGCTTGTGGAGGAGCGACTAGATTATGCGCTGGAGGATCGTATGACATGAGAAAGTCAGACAAGTCCTTCATCGTGCCTCTTTCACGCTTTGGTGGTATCGTATCCGAAAATCCATAACCTTGACTAGTCGGTTGGTGAGGTGTGATTTTCGCTCTTGATTTGGTACCTGGGCTATTAACTCTCCTCAACTCTGAAACAGTATCAATCAAGCCATGATTATGAGGCCTACTCATTTGGCGGCGTGACAGTAGTCTAGGATTAATAAATGACGGTGGCCCCATGGACTGAGGCCTTGTGGATTTAATATCTACCAAACGTGGTGGTGGGGTTCTACTGCCAATTGCTGAATTCATTCCGGTGGATCGTCTATAGTGAAGTGATATTAGACAATAGCTGTGAGTTTCCGTAACTGGGGAAGCTTACCTTGAAGTAGACATACCAAAATCTCATCACACCGACATAATTTCGCTGCAGTTCTAAATGTACTGAGCTACTTCAAGCGACATCAGCTAACAAAACAGTTTAGGAAACGATGGTGATAAGTTCTCCAAATTGGGAATGAAATCAGATCTTAGTTAGAGGACAAGAAAAGATACCAGCATTGTTATATCTATATCATTTCAGAGGTAGAGGTTGGTGGCCCAGATTTACCCTTGCGACTCAATGCAAGGAGAAAGTATGTCCCTGCAACTTGTGGTTGTTCGGGCGCTGACTGATCAACGGGACAAATTAAAAATGACCATAAAAGGGTAGAGCATAATGACCTTTGAAAAAATCGAAATTAATGTGTGAGTTTAATGCCATCGAGTGGAGTGGGCGCCGACTAATGGGGCAGTAAAAGTACATCTTGGAGATCTGCCACTTTTCCGTTGACAAGTTATGGATAGATTGTCCCGACAGAGCTTGGAAAAGGGACGGGATGAATGGTAGTGATGGCGAGGCGTTGCATGGCAATATGTTGTATATATACACCATTTTCGGTTGTGATTCGAGGTCTGTCTAATGAAGTCGCCCCTAGTCATGCATTTATTGCTCTCCCTCCTTTGACGACTCTTATACCGAATATTATAACAGAAAAAGAAATAAAATAATAAGAAACATCCTATCACTCAATGGCATCTCAAATATCCAACTTAAAATGCCTCCCAAAACCAGAAGTCCCCTCGACTCTTAGTGAACTTCATGGAGCGAAAATATAATATCTGACAAGGCAAGGTTTGATCTACAACACAAGAACGCCAGAACGCCAGAACGCCAGAACGCCAGATAGTGCCCCAAGCGACTTTTGTGTGTCCGTGCTAGCTTGCAATGGACTCGACAGAAAAGTGGATTATCAGAATGGTAGAGCTATCCACTGTACTAAACCATACCCCTAAGGGTATGAAAACCCATTCATTTATAGACTATATACCCTTTCCGTCCTAGCCACTGTTTCTTCGACCCGTCATTGAGACATCTCAACCAAACTTACGCACGGTCTTACCTGTTACGCATATGTATGTGTGAGACTTGGGAAAGTGTGAAATCGTGAGATATGATATCAAGCCGAAAGAGTGCTGCAGGCAGTAAATAGCCTTTACGGAAGACTACTGATGAGCCGCCGAATGGTTGAATTTTCGTGCAGAGATTTTACCTTGAGAGTCTTATCGTTGGCAGTATTAAGGGCAATTAAATTGATAGAGATCAATTTAAGCTCTCTCCATTTTGGATTTCTAGCATGTGTATTAAAGCTGTCACAATCACCAAGCTGCAACTATTTTCTACCATCTAAGATCTATCACATCTACGAAAAAGATTCTCACTTTTCTCACACGTGCGCCGTTCGCCATGCTAATATTCTGTTGCGCCAAGTTATGCAGGTTCCCAACCTTCAATAAAGATATCAATAAATAAATCCATGCTTTCCTCACTTTCTTTTTGCTGGTTTACGCTGAATAAAGGGGTCTGCCGGCGCCTTTCTGCGCGGAGGATGGGGTAGATTAGACTTTGGTATACGCGCCGCTGCCGCTGCCGCTGCAGCTTTAGTTGCCTGCTGTGCTTGAAGTGCAGCTTCCAGATCAACTTTTTGAGCACTTCGCTGAGGTTCGGCTGAGCCCCGGTTGATTATAGCAGGTGCATGATCGACTTCCGGGGGTGGAATCTATTCGAGTTAACAAAACATAAACCTATGCTGAAAGAAATTGCGAATGTACCACGCCAGTCTTCGTTGGCTTACCTTCTGCTTTTTCGGAATATTCTCTTCTCGAGGCTCTTGTTCCCTGGGCCTCTTTCTCTGCTCAGTCTCGACATTTGTCGGTGTCATCCTATCATCACTATCCGCGGGTGTTGTGCTACTACTACCCGGTCCTGATCCGCGTGAACTTTGATTTTGTGGCACATCTGTCATGTCGATATCGCTGTCGCTTTTCGCAGATGACCGCCTAGATATATTGCCGTTGACACTAGAGGATAATTGTGAATAGTCTATCGCTGGTGCATCCTTAGACGTCGGCTTTGACAACAATCCCATGATATCGCCACTTGTATATCTGCTACGGCTCCTGGCGTCTTGAATAAGTTTGTTCCAATATTCACCTTGCTCCAATGCCCTAGAATCTCCAAGAACCCACAAGGACGATTTGGCTCTAGTCAGGCCTACGTTCATGCGTCGGATATCGTTCAGGAAACCAATACCTCCTGAAGCCTTGGCACGAACACAAGAAAATATGATGATCTCTCGCTCTCGACCTTGGAAAGCATCAGTCGTATTAAATTCAATCTCTTCAAAAATTTCGTCTCCGAATTTCGCACCAAAACGTCGTTTAAGCTCGTTCAATTGAGCCTTGTAGGTTGTAATAATACCGATTTTACCTCTAAAATCATAAGATCTGTAATCTATCTTAAGTCGTTGATAAATCTGGATAGCAGCATTCAACTCAGGAACGTTGATGAGCGAATGTCCCTTGGTTTCCTTGCTTTGTACACCCACAACATCAAAAAATCGATAAGGTCCCAGAATGGAGCTTGCGTGCCATGGCTGGACCCGTAACTGTGCCATTCCATCACCATCAATAAGACGGCTGTTATAAAACTGCTGACTTGGAAATCGACTGATCTCGGGATGCATGCGGTACTGAGTGTCGAGTAGGTGAACATCTTTAGGATGGTTCCGCTGCATTCGGACGAAAAGACTCTGTTCGTAGCCATAACTCTTTGCCAGTCGTGAGAGGACTGTTGGAGGCAGTTGCTCAGGATCTCCGACCAAGATACATTTCGTAGCACCATACTTGAGAGGTATAAGAGCGCTGAGCTCAATACATTGAGCAGCCTCGTCAATAACGACTGTCTCGAATTCAACATTGACATTCCTTAGAAAATCGTGTCCAGATCCACTGAGCGTAGCACAGAGAACGTGGGCGCCATCGATAATTTCCTGCGTAAAATGACGTCTACTGATCTCATTTTGTCGAACCTTGTTGTCACTTTCCTTGTCCTCATCGATTTTGTTACCAATGTGTGCTTGCTTCCGCTTAAGCTCGTCGAACTCTCTTTGCAGTTTCTGTTCCGAGGTTCTGTCACCTTCCGCACGGCACTTCTCCATTTCAGGCCTTATGACATTGAGCCTCTCTTTTATAAGCCCTGCATCCCTGTGTAGCTTCTCCCGGTCATTCAATTGACCCTTTTTGGACTCTTGGTCCCCTTCGAGCTTGATCCTAACCAATTCATCAAGCGTGACATCCTTCACGGTAGAATTGATGGCATCACTTCGTCCGACACGGATGACGTTAATCTTTTGATGAGAGCCGGTGAGAGGCAATATTCCCTCCTTCAACCGGAGGACCAATTCATCAACAGCGGCGTTACTGGGAGCGCAGATAAGTAGCTTTTTCTTAGGAGCTTGGGCTTGGGCGCCTACGCCGCCATTTTGACCTTGTGGCCTGAAGCCAACCTGTTGTGCTTGCTGCTGAAGCACTTGGGATAGTAAAGCACCAACCATCGCAATAATAGTTTTGGTTTTTCCTGATCCGGGAGGACTGGTACTGTTAGCAGTGTGATTGGGAAGCAGAATATAATGCAATACATACCCTTGGATCAAAGTAAAACCATCATTATCATTTGCGGACAAAATTGCTTTGGCTTGCCCGTTATTGAGCTTATACCTAGTCGAAATCGAAGTAACCTTCTCATCCGAATATTTTTGTAACGGAGAAGGCTTTGCCTCCAGAATTTCGGTGCATAAGTCGTAGTATTCGAGACTGCTCAGGGCTGCAAACTCTCGCAGTGTTGTCGTCATATCAGTGATTTTGAGGGTGTACAATTTGCCGTTAGGCACAAAACAATTCAGAAGTTCAGGGCTAATATCCCTACTGACTCTGTATGTGACTTCCACTGCATCACGCTTACGGGTTGTCCTAAAAACGCGTGCTAGGCAATGTGGTGCTTGCTTGTCTTGAAGCGGATTTGAGCTTTTAGAAAGGAGCACAATGTCTTGTTGGTACACCATGAGGTCTCTTTGGTTGGAAATCGACATAGTAGTGCTAACTTCCATAAACTTATCAACAGATAAACGATTCAGAACCTTTATTTCTATAGGCTTATAGTTGTTCTCTTCTTTGGCCGTTAGCAATGATCGCCATACTTCTGATATGAGCAAAGGCTTGAAGGTATCCTTATAGAGTCCGAGGTCGAGGAAGCTGTTGGCGATCTTCCTACAAACATTGTTGCTTGGAGGGTCCTCGCCCTCATGGAAAATGTCCCAATTGAGTAGCTCGAGATATATGATATCCATGTTTGGCTCCAAACGAGCACGAAGATCCTTCTTTGAGTACACCTTCTTGGTCTTTCGTACTGGGCCCGCCGCCGCTTGTAACAGAGCCTTTTTCCTGCTTTCTTCATACTCTTTGACTGCCTTAGAAGTCTCCCGGCTTTTGCTGAAAAGTAAGTTCGTGTCGGAACCATCGTCATCATCATCATCCGAATCTTCGTCTGATGATCCCACCATTATCTCACTTCGAACAGGCGCATGATCTTTACCTGCTACACCACTCAGGTTCTTTAGACCAGATCCTTCACCCTTTACTAAAGCCGTTGGGGCACGAAGGGCTTTCGCTTTCGCAATAGCTTCTGCGTCCCGCTTCTTCTTATCCTCTGCATCTTTACGGCGTTTGTCCTTCCAATCTTCAGTGACTTGGACGTTCTTCAGTGGTGGCTGTGCTCTCATTTGGTCTATAATACTCTTATGATGCTCAGAGAGGGTGAAGGGAGCTTGTGATGCCTTGTTGGATTGAGTGATGACTGGCTCGTATGTTTTGCCGTCTCCAGCTTTTGACCAAGTATCGAGCGACGTTTGAGTATGGCGTCCCTTGATATTGATTGTCGGCTCATGTTTTACACCATCTGCTGACTTAGACCATGAATCAATTCTTGATTGCTGTTTCTTAGCCGTTGTAGGGTGGATTTCTATAACCTCCACTCCTTTATGCTCATCAAGAGCAGCATGTAACTCGGCTTTTTGTTGATTAGTAAGATTGGTCTTTCTGTATCTTGAATCGCTGTCGTTTCTGCATGCATCTTGTATATACTCTAGTGCGTACTGATGGACCTCAACATCAAACTCTGCTAATGATCTAAGAAGCTTTCCAAGAAGACTAGTGATCACACTGACTAAATAGATATCTCTCAGCCTGAGCATCATGGTCAGACCGTTCACATTCAGGCAAACGACTTGCAATACCTTCTTCAATGCCGACTTTGACGAGCTGTGGGGTGTCGACTCATCATTAGACAAGCCAGGAGACTCGCTTAGAGCAGAAGCGATGATACTATATTGGTTGAACAAAGACTCTGCATATTCCATGCCGTCTCGGCAAAAATCTTGCAAGTATTCCTTTGAGCGTTGTACACGACCTCCCCATGATTCTGTGTTAGAGAATGTCACATCAAGAGCACGCCACTGGTTAGTCCACCAAGACATTACAGCGCCTCGTTCTGTGGAATCCAAAGAAGGATGATTTCGTAAATATCCCGTGTTTCCACATAGAGCATTGAGCATGTCCCGCCCAACTTTAATTAGATATGGAACAGGGGAGAAATTTTTTGCCTTTGTGACTCGGACGGTAGCAAATGTCAAGGAATTTAACATTGGTACAAATGCTTGCTCCAACAAGCTCGACATAGCTTCTCGCTTGCTTACTTGGCCTGTTGCAGCTTTAACAACCTCAACAGCAGCTTCGAAAATCTCTTGGTCAGCAGAGACAAGGGCTGCAAACAGTGGACGAGAAGTCTGAGGATCCCGGTACATCTCAATCAAATGAGATGCATCAAAATCACTAAGCCGCTCAAAAATTCTAGACACGTTCTCGGTGAGTTGATGAAAGTCCTTGTTATATTGTAGATGGGAGGGAGGAAGCGGTGATTTCTTCGTCTGTGGTGTGAGTTCATCCAAGCCGGTTAGGTGAGTTGTTGCCGCAAGAATACTCTTGGCTAAATCTACGTTTCCTGGTCTAAAAATGTCAAGAACAGCTTGCCAAATTGGTTGAGAATGGCTTCTAAGACCCTGTTGTATCGGGATATTTTGCGCGAGAGCCTGGAACTCCGCACTCAAAGATTTGCAATCGAGTGCCAAAGCATCTCGTACCACTAACATACCAAGCCTCCTCATTTCTTGATGTGTAGCGTCGGCCATATTCAGATCAGCAGATCTCGCAATCGTCTCCTTGTATTGGTCAACAAGTCCCATGATGTTATTGATGAATATAAGAGACGTCGACGGGTTGATGTTGTATTCCGAGTCGACAAAGGTGTTTAAAGTGGCACGGAGAGTATCGAGCGCTACGCAACAACAAGCAAGCCTGGTATTCTCCGGCCACGTCGTCTTTTGATAACGTCGTAGAAGAAATTCGAGCAGGAAGCTGCAAGCATCATATTGACGATCAGAAGGAAGTGATTCCACAAGTTCAGGTATCCATGCCAGAGCAAAAGAGATTTCCGGGTCTCCAAAGTTTATTCTGCAAAGCATTCCCTCAAAGCCACCACTCCGGAAAATGTTTTCTGCAATAGTGGCGGGCGAGATTGTGTTAAATGCAGCCCAGAAGTTCTTTGAGGACCTTTTGAGTAAGCCTCGGAGTACTTCGATAACTAGCTGGCCGATCCTTTCCGATTTACAGGCCAAGTGGTTGAGTGCAAGCATATACACATTTGGTTGAACCTCCATTGCTCGGAGAGAATGTGTTATGAGGTGTTCATCTAGTTTGTCTAAAATCAAAAGGAATCCTTCCCAAAAGCGTATGATATCATCGTAATCGTAATTTCCTTGAGTCACAGAAATAATTGCTTCCGACAGTGTGTCATGTACGACCCATTCGAATGACTCGGGGGTAAGCATAGTAGTAGCTTTCTGCCAGGCGCACCTAGCGAATCGCAGTCGTATGACATTTTTATCGAATAAAAAACGTCCTGTAGCTGGTAATATGTCGCTAATTCTCAGGACTTTCTTTGCTTGTATTTCTTCAAAGACGAAATCGAAGTGCTTTGATAGGTTATCCTCAGATTTATGATAATCGACGCAACAAAGTGATTCGTAGAGGGACAATAGAAGGGAGGAGTCGTATCCAGCAAGCAGTTTCTGCGTCCTCATTGGAGACTCCACGTCGGATATGACTTTCTTGCTTGACCTTAGCCCGTTATCTATACGTTGAAAGTCGATAGCGTTCAGGCGGTTCGAAAGCTCTGCGACAGTTTCATCATCGAAACTCCTAAGACATGTTAGAATCGGAACGAAGTGCATGTGGTGGAATTTTACTCTGCTAGTTCCTTAAGATATGCCTTGCGACCTATATGCCAATTATGCACACATTTATCACAGCACGTCAAAAGTTTGTTTAAATGTTTAAGGTAGTCTTCTACCATGGGGCCACCTGAATCGGGATCTAATCCTATAATGAGAGAAGATTTATATGCAACAGTCTGTCTCCGCTGGGCATCTTGTATAAGTTCTTTCTTGGTTTCTGCGCTCATATCTTCCTCGGCGTCGTCTGGGCGGGAATAGTCGACATAATCTTCGTCATTCCGCTTGGGACAGAACCAATGCGCACCGGCAGGGAAGCTCTTCAGTTCTCTAACAAAATTAGTCAGTTAACTCCTACATAACTATATCTCGTGGTACAAACCCATTGAGCCCGTGGAGCTCGTCCATTATATCCGCTTCATCAGGCATAGTTGTAGGTATCGTATAAGACGCGCATGCGATTCAAGGGGTATGTTTAAGAGCCAAGGTAGATGCAAATAGATGTTTTATAAATAATATTAGTAGTAAATTTTTCAAAAGGTAAGAGTTGGGAGGTTCTGAAATTCTTAGCAGCTGGAATAAGAAGTGGTCCAGTGGTCCAGTGGTCCAGTAGACTTTGAAATCGTTAAAGAAAGTGAATGTGAAGCGCAAAATCTTGCATCAGAAATTGACACTAAGACTTTTGGAAGTGATATGTGATGGACCTTATAATCAGATTTTGAGAACATATACACAATTGTGTATCGCATGTAAGGAAGGCAAGACAAAAATTCGAGGTAAGGGCAGATAGAGAGCATAATGGGACGCGCAGCGCGTAGGACAAGGATAAGGCTAAAACCATTTCACGTGGTTACTTAAATTGATTTTTTTGACAGCCTCGCAGTTCTACATACAAGGCTGCCTATTTATTACCTTAAGCAAGTTCTTTAGATTTTTCAAAAAATGTTTATTATTATATATTTTATGATTAATTATTATTATTATTATTATTATTATTATTATTATTATTATTATTATTATTATTATTATTATTATTATTATTATTATTATTATTATTATTATTATTATTATTATTATTATTATTATTATTATTATTATTATTATTAATTAATTAATTAATTAATTGATTTAAAAGTTTATTTTTTATATTTAAATTTTAAACAAAATTATAAAATTATAAAATTAATATAAGTATTTTAATAATACAATATCTAGTGTTTTCATAATATAAATCACGCGATGATTATCAAAATACATCAATGAAAAGTAGATTATACTTCGTTCTCTATATTGAAGCTTTGTGCACTTATTTGATTTGCAATGGCTATATACAAATGGACCCCACTGATCCTATCACCACTGTCGAGCATACACCATCAGAAGTGAAAGATCTAGAACTATCTTCCAAAACAACACGGCCTCGCCAGCAAAAACGAAGAATCAGGAACAAAATAAGATAATATAGCCTAATGCCTTTTCATGTCATTCATAACGCCCATAACACCAATGCGAAAGAAAACCAAATGTAGAACACAAAAGTCGTAGATCGCTCCTGCAGATCATTATGCTTAATATCTCCTGTATCAACAAAAGAAAAGAAAAATGTATGGTACAGTTCTTCGCAGCCTCCCAGATTAGAAATGAATGAAAATGATGTTAGGGTATCATTGTGGAATGTCCTCGTTCCTCCTACTTCTTAGCGGTTGCGAATGATTGACTTGATTCTAATCGGGTTAAGAGGGCTGCTGAAGTAAAGTCCTTACTAGCCTCAAAACTTGGTCTAACTCGATCACACGACGTTCGTAATCTATCGAAGGAAGGTCGCGGTCTCTCTACGGAAACCCGAGGACCAAGTTGATCCATCGAAGGTCTATGTCGTGTAAAGTCGGTTCCATCGCTACCGTTTTGACTTCGAGGATTATGCGTCGTGTTCGTTGGAGCAACTGAAGGGGGGTAAATGGGTCGTTGGTCTTCATCAATGCTCGGATAGTGGATGTGCTTACTCGGCTTCGTAATCTCAGAGGAAGTTGCCGATGAACCATCCCTGGACATTGCATCTATATGCTCATCGGGTTTATCAAGATAATCAAATTTCCCTTGACGGACTTGCTCGCGAATGATGTCAACATCGTATGGGAAGTAAACTTTTTGCACAGCCTTGACGGCGAAGCGCGGTAAAAGGGCGATAACGACAGAAAGACATGTGACTGCCCAGAAGGTGGCTTGGGAGAAGATTTGGGCGGCGGCTTTATAAAAATAGTCTGACGAGGTAAAAGATGAATAGACTCCAGTCCAGAACCATACCAAGAGAATGCTTATAGTGACAAGAAGGACCATGAGCCAATCCCATCGGTAGCTATTGATCAGAATGTATACGTTGATGGCGACGACGGCCGCAGGTGCTACGTAAACTCCGAATCGCTCTCGGTCATCAATGTTTTGGCCACTTGAAGTAACAAAGGTGCCATCCTCGAATAAGCAATATGCCATGAAGAAGATTATGACTGATTGGTACAAACCATCAGCCATGTAAAGCCTAATTTAGTTAGTCCTGCATGCTTTAGGAAAGGTTTCATTATACTCACCAGAACTTTCTCTGAGTCCATTCCTTTCGCTCAATTCCACGTCTGTACAGCTGGGGAACCGCCAGAGAAACCTTGTCCGAAACATCTTGATCCAAAACACCCATGAAGATGACGGGAACAGATGTAAAAGCCAAGTTGAACAAAAGGATGTAAGTGTAATCGTAGAGGTAGGTCATGTCGAAGTTGGCGAAAATCTGGTACCAGAAAATTGTGAAAGTCCATACAACGTTCTTGTAAAAGAAATTGGCAATTGTTTCCCCTAGTCTGCGATAAGACCATCTTCCATGGACCAGCACAAGTCGCTGTAAGAAACGGAATTGTCCAATAGCATAATCTGAAGACATCACAGCTTGTCTTCCCTCTTCACCAGCAATACCAACTCCAACATCAGCCTCTTGAATCATGGCAACATCGTTTGCGCCATCACCAATGGACAAAGTCATAACATCCAAGCCACCTTTCACCATTGCTACAACGGCAGCCTTTTGAGCAGGACTGACTCGACAACAGAGAACCGATTTGCATTCTTTACACAAGAGTAGGAACTTTTGTCGCAACGTATCGTCCAAGACAAGTTTGAGAGAATCCCCGTCAATGACAATAGCATGTGTTGGTGCCGGTGGCTCGTGGTTCTTCTTGGCGGCTTTGAGCTCCGCATCAGAGCCAGTCAGGTTGAAAACCGCCAAGTGCTTGTCCAGCTCAGCTTCCGCAGTAGATAGTTGTTCGTCCTCGATCTTCAAGAGAATAAGCTCCATATCGTTATTGAGTAAGTTGCAAGAAAATCCGATATTGATGGCAGTCTCGACCTTGTCACCAGTGAGAACCCAGAGCTTGATACCCGCTTCGGCTAAAAGTGCTATGGTATCAGGTACCCCCTCTTGCAAGCGATCCTCAATAGCTGTGCCCCCAAGCAGTGTGAGATCGCGCTCAATCATGTCAGACACCGCTTCTAACTTATCTTCACGGTCTTGAATGGCTGCAGCCGCAATCTCGTGCTTCTGGTTCCAGTCTTGATACTCTTGCTCACTAAGCTCTCTTTGCGCGATGCAAAGAGTGCGTAAACCTTCTCTTGCAAACAGCTCCAAGTGTTCTGCTGTGGTACGACGTAACTCTGGTTGCTCTCCTCGCTTTAAGCGAGAATATATTATGCTGTCGGCACCTTTGCAGAAGAGTATGATTTTGTTGTCCGGCATACGGATAATGGCACTCATTCTCTTTCTGGTTGAATTGAACTCGAGTTGGTTCAGAACTCTATACTCTATATCTTGGCCTTGGATATTTAAAAGGATGCCGTTTGGGGAATTGCCCAGAACTGTGAAACCGACATCACGGGCAGTAGCAACCAATGCCGCTTCATCGGGTGACTGAGCTCTGAATTCGATCCTAGGCGGGTCTCCTGGGATAGTTTCTGAAATGACCGAGTGGCAAAGAGCGAGTGCCAACATGAATTGATAATTGGCGTCTTGTTGCTCTTTCCCACTTTCACCAGCGAGATCGCTGACGAAGTCAGGAGCAATAAAAGTCAGGTCGTCGTCGTGGAGGTAAGGATTGTCATGAAGTTTTCTGATGTCCACCAGCATTTTAGCTCGTGCTGCCGCAATCTGCTGTTTAGCTCTTGCCCCCTCTTTTTCCACATCAATACCTTGACGTTTCTGCATGCCGGCCTGGGCTTCAGTGTATGCTTCTCCGTAGGGAACCCCGTTGATGCTGGCCTTTTTGAACTCCATGACGTTTTGCGTTAATGTCCCTGTTTTGTCAGAAAATATGTACTCAATTTGTCCCAAATCATCAGAGATATTCCACGATTTAGGCGTGCAAGGATAATCAAGTTTCTCGTAGTACATTTCGCTGTCGCTGTAAATAAAGAACGCCTGGCAAGTCTTGATGATTTCAATTGTGATGTACAATGAAATTGGTACCAAATTCTGGAAGAGAATGAGAGCAGCCCAGAAGGTGATGAAACCATCAAGGGCTGGGGATCCACCGATAGAGCCGAATTCAAACAAATCAATGGTATTATTTCCCTGTCCCCAGATGATACCTTCAACGAGACCAGACGCGAAACAGATGGTGAACAGAAGAACGAAGTTGTAAACGACATTCCAGTTGAGTTCGCGGGCGATGCGTGAGCGTTTACTGGGCGTGATTCCAGAGTTCAACATGATCTTGGTATCAAAACCCGTAAATACGACAACTCCAAGAATCCAATCTGTGTTCCTAAGATTACATCCACGGAGGAGCAAGTTGTTGATTGAAATCGGCTCAACCATCTCTTCGCCTGGTCCATCCTTTCCGCTATGTTGCGTCCAGCGAGCTACAGCACTGTATTGATAAAGATTTGGGTGCGGTGCTTCACTGTCTATGGTAAACTCCGTTCGTTCACAGTCGCGGGCGTGTTTGATGCTTCGACCACTGCGGAGAGCGTGTCGCACCTTCAAGTTCGTCTCTCCGTCCAAATTTTTCGTTTCTACGTAGCAAGCTCCGTCAGGATCCGAGGTGGATAAAATCACGATATCCGCGGGAATCTGGTCGTCGTTGTAGATACGGACGAAATCTCCAACTTGCACATTCTTCCAATAATCCTGATGGAACCTGGGCTTCCCAGTTACTGCACTGTTGCGATTGATCAAACTTCCAAAGCTCTTCTCCGCTGGTGGACTTTCGGTAGCATCGTATGAAAAAGCCGTATTCGGGCGGTCTGGGACATCAAGGCCGCCGTCTCGGGGAAGGGGTGAAGGCACTGGTGTCATTTGGATATCATCTCGCGCAGCCCTTGACTCGAACGACGGTCTAGGTTCCTCCACATCTATAGCACGTTGGGCATACGTCTCCCCGGGTAACTTTTTATCCTTCTTCACTTTCTTGAGGGTCTTCGCAATCCAACGCGAAGTAGCCTTTTTGATTCTCCTCCATAGTGAAATGTCGTCATCGCTAACGTTTACGTTGTTCCATTCAACTAGGCGATGAACAGGCGAATTGTTGAGTTCATTGTCAAGAATGGTTCTTCGATAATCTTCGATGCCATCTTTGATGGCTGTAATCGTGACAATAACAATCAAGGGAACAGCATTGAGACCTGGATTAGATGCACCAAAGATACTAAAGATCTACACGAATCAGCCTCACGTACGCAGGCCTGCAAGATCTGGACTTACGGTGAGAATGATCAAAAACAAGAAATACACGTTCGCGATGTTGTGGAATTGAAACCATATATTCTTCGGTATGAAACTCAAAGGAGTGTATTTTGCAGTTCTGATTTTGTTTCGTTTGTAATGCACCAAGGGGTGACCCGACTCGTCAATCGCCTCCCGTGGTAATGGAAAATTAAAGAAAACCTTTCTAGGTCCTTGACCGTCGTTATCGTCCTCCTCTGCTTGTTCCTTTGCACCCTCGTTAGGCCGTTCTTCTTCTATCCTGCCGAGATCCGTTCCCATTGAACTTGCGCCGACAGAGTCCCTCTTCTCACTGCTTTGCGATTTACGCGGATGTAGTCGGCCCATTATCGACGTCCTCTTTTTATCACCCTTTGCCGGCGCTACTCTTTGTGTAGCCCATCTCATTCGCCTCGTCCCTGGCTCAGGTGCATCCTCCTCGGGTTCTGCGTACATATCGACGCCCGGCATGATTGCGATCGTTTGTGATTGGGGCGGAAGCCCAGTGTGAGGCAAGAGCCCACAGGCAAGGTGAATATGCCCGCCAGTGTTCGAATGAAATCAGATGCTAGGGTGTATTCTCTGAGAAGACCAGACGATTAAAACGATTGAGACTCGACTAGAACTTTCGAAGATGCGGAACTAATCGATGAGCAACGGTAAGAAGGATCGTTGTAACAAAAGGTCCACAAAGGTAGAAGGTCTGGGACTTTTAGAATGGTCGCTTATGACAACTAAATTTGGTACCGGAAGAGTCGGCCAGGAGGTCGCGAAGAAGCGGTAATTTTTGAATATCTCACCCCCTTGCAAGGTTAGATAGAATGAAGAATACAATTGAAAAGATTGTACGTGACCAAATTCCTCATAGGAATATTATTCAAATTGAAGGTTTACCGTGATGTTTCGAAGATACTATGGGGAAATTGCTGATGTTGAGGAGGGGAAGAGAGAGAGAGTAAAGGACGGAGTTTATGTTTATGGTTTGAGTTGAATTGGGTTGAGTCTGAGCAAGTGAATGAGGAAGTTCCGGGGGTAAGAGGGGAGTTCGTAAATGCTTATTGAGCAACAGTGTAAAAAAAGATTAGCAGCAAAGAAAACGCCACTTGAAACCCGTTCGAATTCGGAGAACGGATATAATGGATAATGGGTAATTAATATCTAATAGATATTAGATATAAACGCGGACTGAGGCGTGAAGCAGTCAGTGCCTAGGTAGTAAGTATATGGACTAGAATATTTTCATACATTATATCACGTATCTGAGATGTCTTCCAAAACTTGAGAGTTTGAAGGGGATTTACGGAGGGTTGAATAGAATGGAATTGAGGGATGATTTGAAATGCCTTGGCTTTGAAAATACCGAGGAAGGGAAAATATGGAAATACGAAAGAAAGAGAGAAAAGGATTATCGTAGAATAGGTGATTGACCTGTCCTTTAGGATTCAGAGAGCAAGGGAGGGAATGAGTGAGCCGAATGTTGTAGATACAACAATATCTCTCGAGGCAATACTGCGTACACGAAATCCAGGGCAAATGGTAGGTAGGTTCTATAGGTTGGTGATGGTAGGTGATGGTAGGATGGTAGGATGGTGGGTGAATAATACCTACACTCACTCATTTCATGCCTGTGCAGTGTGCCGCCATACAATTTTTAAAAAAGGGCTGAAATGAATTTCCGAACATCCTAAGGAGGGTTAGGAGGAGGATCAGGTGGGTGGTTAGGATTGACATTTACGCCAATCATTTTCAGAAACCGAGTTCAGGGGTGAACCATCGACATCAACAAACTGTAGCTCGCAAAAGGAGTGAGGCGTGAGATCTTACTTTCTTACGGAAAACTTACTGTGCTGACTGACTGTCCTGTGCGGTGCTTGTTGGAACTTTCTGTAGTGTCACTGCATACATGGCCACATATTTATCTAGATAGTCTGAATGAATGAATGCTACATGATGAAATTCCGAGTTGACTCGAGGATCGCATAGGTACGTAGGCACCTCGGTAGTATTTTATTTTCATGGGTACCTACCAGGCAGGTACTTGCCAATTCATCCGATTTGTAACCACCTACTGGAAAGAGAAATGATATTTGTGTGCATAGAACCAACAACAAACCGACAGACTGACAAACTGACAAGACAGATAAATACCAAGAAGGCCAAGAGGAAAAAAGTTATAACTTGATATGTGTAATCGTAAGCATAAGGCATAAAGTTCAGAAGATGGTTGGGGCTGGAGTCGAGCTGGAAACTCGGTCAAAACAAAGAAAGGATTTTGGCAAATGGAGATTTCGGAGAAAAGTCTCGTCTCGGTGGACGACGTATGTAATATTCTGACCGTGAACGTGAACGGCTGGAGTTGGAAGTTTCAGCAGCATTTCACACCCGCTTTACCTGTATCATCACTGTACTTTATCTGCATCAAAGGGAAAGAGTGTAAATGGCATTACTTTGATAAAAGTTATGTATTTGTATGATGTGTATACCTTTTCATTTACCTCCATCGTCAATCTGCAATTTCATTGTTCTGTTTTTAAAATGCTAGGCTGGGCTGGATATTTGAATTTCATCGTAAAGTCCGTGGATCTAACCGAGTTGGATAAAAGCCTTATTACTGTGTACGCTGATCACTCATCTCATTCATCCCTTTTTAACCTATCCGAAACCAGCTTCCACTAAGGGATCCGGAGTTTAGAAGAAGTGAGATGCTGTACATACATAGATAGGTAGGTAGGTAAATTGTGAAGAAAGCACCAAAGCACTCGGTACCTGATACCAAACGGCAACGACCAGATCCAACCTTGATAGAGGGAGGGGTATCATCAACAATATCAGCCATGGCAGCACTATATAAACTTCCCATCTTGTTGTTTCTCTAATCTACTTTTGAGGCAAAGTTAATTGCACACTGCTTCCCCGGCTAAGATAGCATGCATAAATATTTCAAGGTTATTCTTAAAATCCAACACGAGGCTTAGACGCTTAGAAGAATGGCCAGCATCCGCACCGGGCTATCGAAGTGTTTGGACGTTTGACATCTGCAACAAATTGCGAGTTAGATGGATGTGCAGGGACTTGCCAGATTGGGTAGTGAAGCAGGGGACGGAATTCGATGGATGGTGGAGTGGTAGCTAGTATGAGAATTTGATGGTGGACTTGGAGTCTGGTACTGCAGAATGATGTCTTCCGAAATCGACACAGTGTGATCTTTTTCGCCCAGGAACTTACGAAAATACAGGTGACTAATAAGTCGTGACATAGTTTCATCTACACTGTAGATTGTATTAGCTGTTGATCGTAATGCCGCGGCACACCCCGTGAGCGCTTACATAATACCCAAAATAGAAACAAGTGAATGCGAAAATTGATATCCCGTGATGTTCGTGTCTGCAAGCATTACCTATCACGCGGCAGACGCGACTTTATAATTTTGATATCTACGGGACGAGACTGATATGAGCTTTTGAGAAGAGGATTCTATGCAGCAAATACAAACACGTCTTGCTACATCTGCTATATCCTTTTGAATATTCCAGACATGTCTTCGTCAAAGAGGAATGGAAACATCCGCCAATTTTTCCAACAGGCCTCACCTTTGACATCTGCTCCTCCTACCAAAGCCCCACGCAATACTAGCCAGATAGCATTTGAATCTCCACTTTCAACCAGCCCACAATCATCGGGCCTAGACTTAAATACTGCTACGGAACCTATGTCTTCTCAAAAATCTTCCCCTTCTTTGTCAGAACCACCGACAAGCATTCCGCAATCCTCCTCAAACATTTCAAATGGCGTTGTCCCAGGTTCAGACGATGAAGATGAGGATGGCTTCTCTGACAGTTCATTGGAAGATCTTGACGTTATATTCAAAACAAATCGCACAGCTTCAGTTACTACCTCTTCCTGTGCGCCAGCTCCAGCTACTCCCAGAGCGTCTAGATCTAGAAAGCCTCCTGTCTCGACTGCTAAGCTTTCTCCATTGACCCTTAGAACACCACACTATAAATTTGACTTGAAACATCTCATGGGAAGTGCAGCTGCAGATGCAGCACTCGAAGCAAAGGAAAGAAGGTTAGAGGAAATGGTTCAGGAAGACACCGAAATGGGAGAGGACGAGCCCACCTCGTTCAAGGATGATGTACATGGCAATATTCTACGAGAGCTGAATGAAGAGAAGGAAGACGGTGGGGGGAAGGAAGTTCAAAAGGTTTTGGATGCTGTTAAGAGAACAGAAGAAATGAATGTTGGCAATCGATGGTACTTTTTTGAAACCAAAGAATCTCCTATGCTGAAGAGACAGCCATTTCCAACTCCCTCACTGCCAGAGAATTGGAAGAATGATCTCTTTGAACCTCAGACTAGACACCAAACATTCGTGTCAGGATTTGCCGAGAATATGGTTACATATGGAAAGAAGTTGCCCGATGAGATCATCCAATGGATTCTCAATGACTTCTGTATGGAAGAGCAAAATGACCTTCAAAATTCTTACCTCTTCCTTCTAAGAATATCAGGGAGACAAGTCCATGGCCTTGTCACTCCAGAGGTCATTAGGAAGATGTTCAGGTCTATTGGTGCCACAACTACAGCGATCACTGTATCTGAAAAAATAAAACCACGTCCGGAGATCGCTGATGCATATTCACATCAACCGTGGCCGAAAGTTCGAGCTTTAATTAGTCTCATAAATCTAATAGCCAAGCCTCTCCAAGAAGCATCCAGACTAGAAGTTATATGTATACTTTTAAGGCTATGCATCGACCCAATCTTACTAGAAAGAGTAGACCTCTTATCATTAGTACAGAAAGCACTCCATAACCTTTGCCTTTACATGGATCCAGACTCCTGGGAACAATCCGTGAGCCACCTCCTCCATTTCAGCCCAGCTTAAACACAAACTAACCTCTGAGCAGTACCAAACAATCTGCGCCACCCTCTTCAACACCGTTCAACTTTCCTCCCTCCGCCTCCGCATAATTAATTCCATCCCCCCAACCCGCTCCTCCCGCCTCCACGGACTTCGTCGCCGTCTAGCCCTAACATTCTACTTCTCCTCCCTCTCAAAATCCCTTCACCCACCTCAAAAAATAATTTCCATCCCCGCCATAACTCTCCGCCTCAGAGAACCCCCATTCCACATAACCCCAAGCACTGATTACCACGAGTTTGGTGCCCTGATTCTCCTGCTAGATGTCGCTATTGACGATGGACGACCCGAAGATCTGGATCTTGCGGATGAAGATGTAGAGAAACAGTTTAATAAAGACGTAGATGAGTTGACTAATAGACTTACTACTTTTGATATCAAGGCCTCGGGTGCACAACATTCTTCGAGGATGGAAGCAAAGGAAAATCTAAGTTTGGTGGAGAGGAGAATCGAACATACGGTTCGAACTAGACCGAAGCCGAAAAATATGTTTTATGAAGAGACGAAAAAATTCTATGAGAGACGGCAGGAGGCTCTAGGGGGGATGCAAAAGAGCATGTCTAACTTTGTAAAGAAAGCAAATTAAGCAGGTACCGGCCCCAGAACATAGCCAAGTCACTTCTAAACGAAGCCCTTGGTCATTTGTATATTCTCAAGATCAAACATATTGTATGCAATCTTCATAATGATATTGATGTTAATGTATCATACACGCTCTACCGACAAAACCTGCAATATTGTATAATTTGAATGTGCAAAGCTCCTTTCATACCCCTCTTCAGACTCGCAAAACACAATGCTCTTCATCCATTAAGCACCTAATCGTAGAATTTTCGGTTGACATTAGGTCCAAATAATGTTGTTCGAACAGAGGGTAATGCGTTGTCTTGGAGTAACTTCAGGCGCTCCTCAAAAGTATTGTTGATATCGATCTTGCCTCCACCGCCAATAATGGACAAACCACCAGCACTGTTCGGAAGTTAGCTTACGCACCCGGTCATACCATAAGACTAAACCTACGATTCCTCCGGCAAAGGATTCTTCTCATCTATACTCGCCACAATATCCTTCTTCGTCTTCTCTTTGTACTCTTTCTGCGCATCCTCGATCGCCTTCTTAATAACATCATAATCCTGTTTTCTCCCTCTAACCTGCACCTTCCCCTCATTCAACGCATACATTCCCTCCAACAATAAGTTCTTCAAAATCTCCGTATATTTGCCCTTATCTTGCGTAGCCTCCTTCAATCTACCCTGCGCCTTTTCGAAAATACCATCGAGGAGCTCTTGACGCGCAGAAAGGACCTTGAGACGAGTCTTATTTGTGACGGTCGACTGAGTGATTTGCTGGGACATACGTGCGGTCTTGAATTTCTTCTCGTATTGGGTATCGATAGCTGAAGTTTCTTGACGGACTAACTTAGATTTCTCAATAGCAAATTCCTGTTTGAGGATGTTAGGAGGAGTGAGAAATGGTTGGTTCTTGGTGGTGGAGACGTATCATTTGCTTTGAGTTCGATTTCACGACCTTTTTCCATGGCTTCTTGTTTGATGAATGCAGTCATCTTCTTCAGCTCCTGTTTTCACATTATGTTAATGGCGGAATTTGGGCATGAAACCCGTGGGAAGGTGGAAGCTGTACCTGCGACACCTAGGATTATAACATTAGTATAACACCTTGAGACTGATATAATTGTTGGAAATAAGTTTACTTACCTGGTCGTCCGACAAAGCGTGTGACATGATGGGCGATTGGTATGTGTAGAGCTGGGGGAAGGTTTGTGTGAATTCAAAAGATGTTGGAGAAGTTCGTTGACTTTCGTTGGAGCTTCAAGAGCAACAGCAAGGTTGGGGATGACAACCTGGGATAGCTCCAAGGTACAGAAGCGATAAGGGAAGCGACGTCCGATTAACGGTCATGTGATTTTGTGGCGTTTACGTATTTCGACGTTTTGAACGGTGAGGAATGTTTTTTGACTCGTTGAAAATACGTTTTCGCTTTCATCTGAAACTGTATGTTTGCACTGTCATATTTGCAGTATTATATTTGGTATGAATCATTGATTGCGATTTCTTGGAGCAATTCACACACGACTCAGGATATCAACTTGCGATTGTATACCTCTACCGAGACATCGCATATGACTTTACGTTGACCGCGAGTTGGAACAATCACCTCACACAACAAGTGCCTTCCAAAACAAACTATTACATCATATAACCTTTTTTTCAAACAGAAAGCTGTGCCGTATTATACCAAATGAAGCCTTGCAATATATCGTGATGGGACAGCTCGGCGACCTATCGCCTGGGGGAAGTGTGGCTGTAAGTCAATGTCTCCCGTCCTCGAAATAGTTCTATGATTCGTCGTACAGATCTCTAACTACCAGTTCTATATATCGACAGGTTGGAATATTAGTAGGGCTCATATCCACGAGCGTTCAAAGCCTCGGCTTGACTCTTCAACGCAAATCACATATTTTAGAGGACGAGAAAGGGGCACATCATATTCGAAGACCACCGTATAGAAGGAGGAGATGGCAGTTGGGCATGGGCATGTTTATTATATCGAACCTTGTGGGTAGTACGATCCAAATAACAACTTTACCTCTTCCTGTATTGTCAACTCTACAAGCTTCGGGTCTGGTCTTCAATTCCATCTGCGCCACTTTGATATTGGGGGAACCATTTACAAGATGGTCTTTGGGAGGGACATTATTGGTTTCGACAGGGGCGATACTGATTGCCATATTTGGTGCTATTCCGGAGCCGGCTCATACGCTTGATCAACTGCTATTACTTCTCGGACGACGGACCTTTCTTATTTGGATGATAATGCAAGCATTGTTAGTTGCAGGAATAGTCGTTCTTGCATGGTTTCTAGGAAGGGTTCCAAAGATTTCTGCAAGTCCTCGAATCCGACTCCTCAGAGGATTGGCATATGGGTGTATCAGTGGAGTTTTGTCAGCCCATTCATTACTGGTAGCCAAATCAGCAGTTGAGCTTCTGGTACGGACGATCATCGATCGACACAACCAATTCGATCGGTGGCAATCATGGGCTATTGTTTTTAGTCTCGTTTTCCTAGCCCTCACGCAACTATACTTCTTACATCGCGGTCTCAAATTAGTATCCACCAGTGTCCTTTATCCACTTGTATTTTGCGTCTACAACATTATAGCCATCTTGGATGGCCTCATATACTTCAAGCAAACCGATCGATTGTCAACTTTCCATGCAGGTCTCATTGCCCTCGGAACAGCAATATTACTCTCGGGCGTCCTGGCCCTCTCCTGGCGTCTCAACGAAGAACAAACTCAACCAGCCGTAGCCCAAAGTGCGCTAGCCCCCGGCTTGGGCTTAGTTGAAGATACTGACAACGATTCCTCAGAATCCTATGTCGCTGATGAAGAAGCAGCCATCGGGGCCGAGGATCAAGCCCTTCTAAATGGCGAACCCATGACCCCTACCACCAAACTCGATACAATTATCGGAGCTACAAGGCATGTTAGAAAAGCAGTCCGCCTCTCAGAAGTGGATGAGATTTGGGGAGAATTAGAAGATGATGATGCGATTTCTTCGCCTACGAGAGCAAATAGACCAAGACCAGATTCAGCATCTACATTCCCGAGATCGTCAATATACGACGAAGAAGCGGGCTCCCCATTTCCGGATGAAAATACATCACTTCTCCACCGCCAAGTATCACTATCCCGTCGACGTCGGAGACGCTCAACAGGTTTCCCAGGCTTCACAGCCCGTCCTACACCTCGTAAACGTCGCTCCACGAGATCAGAACTTCGAGATGCAACAGGCGGCTGGTGGAAAATGAGGTGGTGGAGGGATAGAGATAGAGATTATGAAGGGGATAATGGAAAAGGACCTGGTCCTCCTTATGCAGGTGATGGAAGTTCAGGTACAGGATTGGGTATTGGAGGTATAGGAGGATCCGACGCTGGTCCATCTGATATGAGTACTTAGTAACACCTATTATATACAAATACTGCATTTCCTACATTTTCGGTTTTGAAATTTCCTACCTAACCTCCTAAGCTGTTGGGATTGGTACATAAGAGAGATTGTTTTTATATGGTTTTTATTATACATTGATTAAATTCATGGTTTTATTTCTTGTTCTTGCTCCTGTCTGTTCCTTTCTTTTGTTGAACTTGTTTGTTTATTAGCATGCGAGGCGTTTAGAGGATGTATATCACATCGCATCGCATATTGTATATTGCACATCTGAGAGTATTAGCATGGATGATTATATAAGAATGAACGAATTGAAATCGAGAATAGAATGAGAAAGGAAAGATTATAATTGTGATTGTGATTTAAAATCTTGAATATTTAAATGTTAAAGTAAGGAAAGAGTAAAGAAAGAGTAGAAAAAAATATATATATAATAAAGATTCTATTTATTTATTAAATCAAATCAAATCCGTTCAAATTTATTTAAATTAAAATTATAAAAATTTTTAAAGTTTTATATTATTATATTTTTAAATATTTAAATTAATTACAAATAACTTTATTATATATTTTACATTTAAAGATACTTGAATTATAATAAAAGAAAACTAATTTATATTTTGAATCAGAAATATATAAATAATTTATATAATAATATTATCAAAAAGAAAATTAATTATCTTATTAAAAAAATAATAATCATTATTTATTATTTGAATTATTATTTAAAATATATTATTATTACTAAAAATAATATATCTCAAAAACAAAAACAAAAATCTCAAAAAAATCTCAAACTTAAATATATATCAATTACTACTACTACAAAAAGAAGTAAATAAAATAAAAAAATATAACTCTAATCAAAAATCAATCCCGATTCAATCCCAAGCCTAACTCAAACCAAATTCAATTAAAAAATCCGAGATCAAGGCTATCTACTAGAAAAAACTTTATGTTTCTTCTTTTTTCCCTCTTATACTTAAGTAGTTATAATTCACTATTGTATATATATATATATATATATATCCACTAGGTTTAAGAACTCCTCTTTTATTATTTCACATCATATAAAAGGATCATCCACTTCATTCACCAAGTATACGCATTCTCCCAAAAACTTTCCTTAACAAACCGATTATTTCATTTGGTTCTCCCCGGGAATGATTTTTTACTGTACAAGAGAGAGCTACTACAACAACCTCAAGCTAGAAAATTCCTGACTATCCACTACCCACCACCATCCTTTTGATATCATCCCCATCATGATGCACCATGTTATCCTTTCCCATACTCATCCACTATCACCATCACCATGCTAGAACCCAACCGATCAGAGACGATAGACAGAAAAGTATAGGGAATTTGCAGAACCAAACTTGGCCGCCCACCTCGCCTGCCAAAGCTTCCCCCCACCAACAAACAACCTTACACGCCCCCTTCCCCTTTTACCATATACGAAATCTCGAATTATGGCAAGGTTATTATCTCATTATCGCAAATTTTGTCTGCTTAGGTGATACTGCGAACATGTGTCTGCAGATCAAATGAAAAACCCCCATATAATAGAAAATAGACACCTTAACACCTTCGGAAGCAACGTTAGAGAAAATTGGACCCCGCAAGACACGATTGGTGCAGAACACTCTTATATTATGTGCCGGGTATCAAGTTTGAATGACTTATTCGACCCGTTTCGTGTACTGGGACTCCGCAACGGTATTATGATTGATGTGCTTGCGGTTGTGGCATGCCAGCTTGTGGAGGCATATACCCCCCTCGCTGTTGATGAGCCATATAATTCTGGTACGCAATAGCTTGTTGCTGTTCCTGCGATAGCCCTTGTACGCCATAGCCTGGGTGCATTTGTGGTGCCTGTTGTGGCATTCCAGGGCGGCCTTGTTGTTGTGGTGGCAGATGTTGTGGAGTTGGCTCCTCTGGCGATTCAACTGTGTTTCCATCATCAACCCCGTTCTCACCATTTCCGGTAGGCTCGGGTGCGTTCAAGCAGGCCTGATTGATGTTAGCATGGGATCTTTATCAATCCAGGTGAGGCTGAGTGATTTGCGCATACTTGAATCAGATTCTTCCCTTCCGCTTTTGTGACCAAAGGTTGCAGCTTTGGTGTTGTGAAAGTGTATACAAGGCCGGTTTCGGATACGACTAAGAGGAGGACTTGGGTTCCTGTTAAGACTGATAATTCGTATGCCTAAAAAATCAATCATAAAATCAGCTACCGCTCTTCGCACAGGATAGGCGCGTCGCATTGCATTTGACGCGTATCGTCATTGACACAAATAACGATTGAAACTAACCTTCTTCATGATACCAGCCTTTCTTTTGGAAAATGTGATGTGGCGACGCGATTTATCCGTAATAAACTTGATCTCGATTTTTCTTCTTTCGCGACCGGGTTTATCATCATCATCATCGTCATCTTCTGCAGTGGCAGGTCTTGCGCGTTTAATACCACGAGCATCGGATCCAGCAATTGGGTTACCGTTACCGACAGCATGTTCATCAAGAGTTGATGGTGAATTTTGGTCGTGTTGATCTGTGATATCGGCCATTTTGATAAGAATTATAAAATATCTTAATTGAGGTAAGGTATGACGAGAATAACTGTTTTGAGGTGGTTGCCGACGACCTTACTGCTTATGGGGAGGTGGTGGAGAGGCTGTTGTCCTGCTTTGTCGCAGAAACCTGGTTAACGAAGACTTGATTAAGAATGGTGTGAAATTTTGGGTTGAGCCGAGTTTATTATCTCAGCCTCTGAGAAAAAGATGGGCTGAAATTTAACTGGAAGTGGAAGAGCAAAGGCGCGCTCTTCTTTTGCGGGAAAGTTGCCGAGCACCGAGAAACGCGGTAAAAAGGATGAGAATGGTTGGATTGAAATGAATTGTATGTATGTATGTATGTATGAATGTATGAATTCGAGGAATGAATTTACCTGATGGACGGTGAATGTAAATTGTCTAAAATGTAATAATTGATTGCGTGTTTGTATTTGTAATTGTGAGTATTGTAAATAATTGTCCGTAACTGGTAATGGTAGCTGTTAAATAGGATGAGAATTAGTATAAATTATTTTTACTCCATTTGATCAGATCCATGGAAAAACTGATTGGATTCGATCAAAACCGTAGTTGAATTTTTTGGAAAATGTTCCAGGTTGAGAAATGGTATGGTATGTTTGCGGAATTCGGGGTTGATGCTTGAATGCGGAATTTGAGGTAGTGCTTGGTTGCTTTTTTGGGTACGTACCTTTTTATTTTATTTTCTGCTTTGGTTCGGTTCGTAGTTAAAAAGTGGTGGTGGAATTTGGCTGGAACAAGTATCTTGTGGTTCGTTCCTGAGAAGGAGACTTTTTTTGAAAGTAACTGTAAGAAGAAGATGGGGATTAATAAATTGATCAGGCAAAATCGCTGCAGTACGAATGCGGGATGATTGAAAAGAGGATAGATTAAAGAAGCACAGGCGAATTAAAAGCACCAACTTGTACTGGCACACTTTAATGTATCTGTAATGTCAACTGGCTTTGGATAAGGAAGGAGAGACACACGCTCTCTCACACTCATACATACATACACACCCACATCCACACACAGATCCTGACTGTACTTTCCGTACACACAACCGAGTAGAGGAAAAAAAGATGGAACACTGGGGGAGGCTGGGGTTCTGGTTGTGTGAAGTGAAGTGAAGTAAGATGAATCAAGTAAGGTGTGCTCGGTGGGATGAGTGTGCTCGGTCGGGAAAGTGTGCAGTGCAGCCAGTAGTTCCGTGCTGAAAAGTGGTTGGCCTCTAGTAAAAGTGGATAATGTCTTGTACTGAGTACTGTAGTCTGTACACTATTGTATGCGGGAAGGAACGGTGGGGTGTTTGACTGGGTGGGTGGCAAGGATAGAGAGGGTAGATAAACAATCTTATGGTGGTGTGACCGATGGAGAAGTGGTGGAAGATGATCCAATGAAATTGTCCTGGTGAATGAAGGGGAATGGATGGAATGGGTAATAAATGAATTTATCCGTGCTTTTCCGTGATTTTCAATTTGAATACTAAAATCTAACTGGTCAAAATGAGTTAGTTGCAGTTCCACCCATGTCATATTAATCTTTTCCAAAAATGCACAGACGATGAGATATTTTGGAGGAGAAAAAAAAAGCTTTTTTGAAATGATTGTTCTTAAAACATCAATGTGCTAATGTGGGTGTAGAATTTCAATAAAGTCTGCCATCAACCAATTGAGTACCATGAATGAAATTGATGTAATGTCATTAATCCCAACAGTCTTATGGTCAATGGTCAGGTACAATTCAAAAGGTACAGCTTCACTCTTTTCTTAGCCCAGTCCCCAGTCTTTACTCGGCTCTGGTAAGCTTTTAGTGATGGGATGGATTATTGAGGAATGAAGCACTTGCAAGCATCTTGTTTTGCACCTTCCACTCATAATCCCTACGTTGCTCAAGGTAAATGAGATTGGCAAGGGACCTTTTTAACGAGGAAAATAGCGTGCACCGGTATCAAAGCCGGATGCTTCTTTCATCCTTGAAAGTTGAAATCCAGATGAGGTGCTGCGTGCTCAAATAGTGTGAATGGGTAGTGAGTGGGTGATGATTGATGAGTAGTGATTGGTGAGTAGTGATTGGTGAGTGGGTGAAAGTGATTGAAGGAGTGAGAAAAATGAATTTGGCCGGCCTCCCCCCTTCAATCTTCAATCTCGTACCATTTGAGAAGGCGATCGTAATTTTATTTTGTACCTTGAAGCAACTTTACTTCTCAAGTACCCGGGGACAATGATATATTTGAACATGTGGCTCATGACCATTCTTTCAATTGACCAAATTGCAATTTGGCATGCTCGAGCCCTATTCAATCATCGACTCAAAGCAGTTTTACTCGAGAAGGATTGACAATATCTTGGCAATGGGGAAGGTCTGCTACAAGCTTGACCCCTTCCTTCCATTGTCTAAAAGCGGTTTGAGATAAGGTAACTTGGCCTGTTGGCCGAAGCTCATCCTTGATCACTGACTCGATAGTACTCTGTATAGCTGTAACTTGTATGGCCCATGGGAAATGGAAATGTCTTGTGTGCTCTCTCCTGAATAGATGCAGAAAGCTCTGCAGTAGTGCGAGAAACAGATAAATTGTAACCCGAAAATGATTTCCCGAGTTGTTGGTAATGTGCAGTGTAGGAATTATGGTGGTGTGGGGGTGGGAAGATCAGTGCGACCGAGTGTTGAAAATTGGTAACAGTACTCGGTAAGAAGATTTGAAGCTTTGATGACATTTGAAAATGGAGATGGTAGATCATAGAAGAGATGATGGACATTGAAAGAGCAAGGAGTGAGTGAAGAAAGGTGAAGAAAGGTGCAGTACAAGTAGAAGCAAGAGGGAGGGATATCTTGACAACATGAGATTACTCGATATGAAAAATTTATTGAACGTACCTTACCAAAAGAGTGCTTTTTGACACCTTTTCCGGGTATGTAGCTAGTATCGCCAAAGAAGTAGGTCGGCTACTTGTTGATACGTTGATACGTTTATGTTTGATGTTGTATGGTCGGTAACTTGTGTTCTTCGGGGGCGATGCAGGGGTTGGAAGACTTGATAGAGGATCGTTATTTGGGCAAATGAGTAAGATAAAACCTTTTGAGGTCAAGCGTTGGAGGAACAATTCAATTATTCATTATTCTGAATGAGGGAAGTGCGACCCTTTAAGCCTTTAAGAGGTTTAGGTACGCTATCCATATGGTGTCACTGCTTAGTCAGCCACGATGGAGAGGAGGGAGAAAAAGAGGGGAAGTTCCATGTTCATTGGAGGACAGAGTGTGCTTGAATACCTTAGGTACCAAGGTATCCAAGGATCCGTCACTGGTAAGTAAGTTGTAATGCTATTCAGCTACCTCTAACTAGGTGTCTAGTATCTATCAATCATTCGACTAAGTACGGTACTCATAGAGCCCAACCGATGCAATTGAGAAACCTTGACGATCTCATTTCTTCAAGGACAAAGCTTTTGTTGAACCGAACTGATGGAAGTGGCAGCGGTGCGAAGCGGAGTGTAAAGTACAAGCAAGTAAGTTGTACGAAGTATTGGATTTGCGATTGCTACTCCGTATGTATACCGTAGTGCGTATGTTACTCTACGCAGGATATCGGTTAGAGGTGATTAGAGTGGAACTGAAGACTGACCAGTGACTGACTGACTTGCCCATCTATCTCATTTCTCATTGACCAACTGGGAACAACTGACTATCAAAAATGGGCATCTCTCGGCACATATTTAATTATACCTCCGCTTTCAAAAGTATTGTTTGTGTCCCCCATGAGTCCATCCATGTCCATTGTCCATCCATGACTGAGAGGAGAGCAGTGAGAGGACAGATCTAGAGTCTGGGCTTACCTGTTACCTGTTACCTGCTACCTGCTACCTGCTACCTGCTACCTGTTATGCCTTGACAATCCATGCCATGTACTACAGTGATACAAATGACCACTTTCCGTTTACCCAGAACAACGGCCATCTCAGATGTCTGCACATAGCCGTGCATTGGATCTCACTTGTATGTATGGTATGACCATCAAGGTTACCAATAAGGATGCTTTACATTCTTCAGCATCACGTCAAAAACTCTCTGTATGAATAATAAGTTGGGAGTGGAGAAGCACGTCTACGTCCATCACAATTATGGCTCAACTCCGACGGAGCGCAGCGAGGAAAGAGGAGGCGGGATGGGGGATTGCCCCGATACATATACTCTGTACAAGATAGAAAATACTCTAGTAAAAGTTCTTTTGATCTTTTGAAGTCGAACTGTCAGTTTCAATCTCCGATTCAGCCTCAACGGTTATCGAATAATGCATTGCGTTATTGCGATTGTATTGTGCCTAGTACCTAGTTACACTCGACCTGAACCAAGGTTGAAAGCGGATGATGGATGCTCTGTGGAACAAGGTCAATTGACAACTGAGCTTTGCCATTTCTGCCTTAGGTTTCCGAGGATATTTTTAAACCCTTGGGGGAGATCATGAACAGGCAATAAAGCACAAGCCTCGAGATCTCACGAATGACCATCTCACCCATCTCACCATCTCACCATCTCACCATCCCACCATCTCACCTCCTCCAATCCAACTACCTATACATAGGTACATACTACATACTGCATAGTCGTAAAATTAGCACCTTTGCGATATCGACAAATACGCATTATTAATTAGTCAAGAAACATTACTAAATTTTGTATTATTCATCAACTTCATCAACTTCACCAACTTCATCAATAGATCGATCCATCATCACTTGGTCCCGGTCAGGTTACAATATTCGCAATCCGTACTCTGTACAGTAGGAATTCTCCTTAATCGTGGGAAATATGTTACATCCCCACCTCATCATGAGGCAAGACTTGAAACGCCAATTGTAGAGAAGAGTCACGAAAAATCCTTGAACTCCTTGAACTCCTTGAACTCACTCACCACACTTACCACCCTCACCACCCTCACCACCCAAAACTACGGATAAACACGGCCCATCATAGATAGCTGCTAAGATCTTTACTTCACTACACTCACCATTCTGCTACACCATCCCCCCTTCAACTGTCGCAGCATACTTTTGTTACAATTTCTTAGGAACAATCCGAATGCAACATATTGCACGGCCCATTTCATGAAGCAACGTTATCCAGATTTCTCATGCTATGAATGGATGGTGCTGCTAAAGGAAGTGTTTCTGTTCTATACTAGGACTTGTAGGATCATACCATACATCCATCAATCGTTGACTTTACCTCTTACCTTGAGTGTTCTGTACGGAGTAGGTAGTAGGTAGGATTCATTCTCTTTTCTTGTCGCATGAAGTTTCTTAAAACTTTTTTTTTCTGCTTTATTCTTTTTCATTCTATTTGATTTGATTTTCGTCTTTTCTTCGTCTTTTCTTCATCTCTATCTCTCATTTTGTGCCAAGCACAAGTTCAATTATTGGGGTCGATCTCTTGATACATTTGTGCAGGGCATTGATTGCTTCATTTTTTGATTGTTTCTTTTTTTGGTTCCTTCATTGCAATAGGCCAACCAGCCAGTCTACTATCACAAATTTAGACGCCGGTCGTCCTTTTCACCAAGACAGCTCGCTCTTTTTTCCTGCATCTACATTTAATTAAATATCAATTCCGATCTTAAGTTGATATAGCTGGTACTATTCAACAAAACAAAAATGGCCGACAAGATCCTTTGGACATACATTATCCTAGATTTACTCTTTGTAGGTTCTGGCGCACTATTACTTGGATTTGCCTTGAACACGAAGGCGGGTACTTCACAAGCACTGAGTATTGCGAGTGTTGGGACGAATCTTCTATTGGAAGCTACTCCTTTGAATGGTTAGTCTAATACCTCATATCCCACATCCTTTCTTGTCGATGTATGTGCAATGAGCTGACCTAACTTACCCATCAAAAGCCGCCATTGGCAATGCAGTCTTGATCTTCATTTCCTTCCTCCTCTCCATTCCCGCCATGACCCTCAGCACCACCCGAGGCTGGCTCAAACTCCACGGCTACATGGTCGTCGTCTGCGCTATCTTCACCCTGGTCATAGGTCTCGATATTTGGTTTGGTACTCTTCAATCCAAGGAATCTCTTCTCGATACATGGAATGCACAAGGCCCCACCACGCAGAGTTTATTGCAGGAAGAATTCGGTTGCTGTGGTTATTTCAATAGTACGAGCGCTCCTGCTTTCGTCATAGATTCTACTTGTCCGAATGCTATTATTGCGGCTACGATGCCGGGATGTAGTGGCGCTTTTGTTAAGTTCGATGGTTTGTTTTTGGATGTTATTTTTACGGCGGCTTTTGGTATTGTTGGTATGTTTTTCCTTTTCTTTCTTTTTTTCAGAGGTTTGCTTTGAGGTACTTTGTATGGTCTAGAGTTCAGAGGCTAGGGCTATAAGCGGAGAATGAATGGAAGAGCCGAATAGAAAACTAGTTCACTGGAAAACTAGAAATAAAAGCTAACGAAAATAATGCATAGGTCTCGATGTAGCAGTTATCTTCGGTATTGCCATGCTTAACAAAGATCGTAAGGAGAGGGAACGATATAGGTTTATTGATGAGAAGAATGGGATGGGATCCTTTTAGGTGTGATTCAAGGCTGGATAAATGGACGGGGTGATTGGACTTAAAATGGGTGGATAGGTTATGAGATGGATTGGCGGAATAGGGGAGAGCTGCAGAGGAACGTTGAGAAGAGTGGAGTGAGGTAAGGGGGAGTGGAAGTATATGAAGTATGGAGGAGATTGTGGTGTAAGAAGTGGCGTAAAGTGGCGTGGTGATACTTTCTTTTACGATGATATGCTTTGCTTTCACAATGATGAGAAAGAGAGATGGGCAAAGTGAATTTAATTTAAATATGGAATGGAATGAAATGAAATGAAGTCCCTTGTTCGAGGAGATTGTCATCTCTCATGCATAAGATTATTATCTACATATATCTCATATTATTTCTGATACCACTCAATTTCTGTAACTCGTGGGTTCGCTAGTTGAATTTGAATTTGAATTTGAATTTGAATTTGAATTGATTTAGTTTTTGAATTTAGATTTGATTCGACTTTTTGAGAGAATATAATTAATTGATTTTAATTTACTTTATTAAAAAAAACTAATTAATAATTTTATTAAATTCTATATTATATAATTTAATTTTTTTAATTTTGAAAAAAAAGAGATAGCATTTTTATTTACTATATTAAAATATTCATATTTATATTTAACTTTTCAATATAATTTATAAATTTTGATCTTGATGATTATATAAATTGAATATAATTAAATAAAATTAAATGTTTTTAATACAATCTAAAAAAAAAATTCTAAATAAATATAAAGTTAGATATTTAGATATTTGATTTGAGTTTTGAGTTTTGAGTTTTATATATAGTTATAGATGGGGTGAGGTGAGGTGAGATGAGGTGGTGTAGTTTGATAGGGTGTGATGTGAAAGAAAGTGAGGAGTGAGAGGAGTGTGAGGATATGAGTAGATTAATTTATTAATTTTCGAAACAAAGGTATATATTGTATAAAATGAATATATATATAGATAGATATATATGAAATAGAGAATATTAAAGAGGTTAAGAGGTTGAGAATTTAAGATGGTTTTTATTAGTATTATTATTATTTAAGGGATTTATATCTACGGGGATAAAGATGAGATAGGAATGGATATAGAGATGGAGATGACGGTTAATGTTTATTCAAATTTGATATAGGAATGTCAAGATGTCTTATCTTGTTAGTGTTGCAAGTATTGATACTGGTATGATATTGACATTAGTATTATAACCCTAGCGGTTTCTTTACATTGCATTATCTCTCTTCTTCTCCCCCTCTCTCCTCTCCCTTCATTCCTCCCCCTTCTTCTCCCTCCCTCCCCTCTTGTCAATTAAAATACTAATATATTTCATCTATTTATTCACTCATCTTTATTTATATTTATATTTATTTGAATTATATTAAAAAAACTTTGTTAATACTATAACCATATTGGAATAATACTTTGAAAGATATTTAGACTATGTTTTACAGTTCTTGGTAATAAAATGGTAGTGGACTGGATATAGGGGTTATTTTCTATACGAGCGGAGGGAATTTTGAGGTGGGATGGATGGGATGATTTGGGAGAGATGATTGAATAGGGAAAGATAAACGAGTTGGTGGTACGTGATATCGTATTGTTGTGAAAAGATATAAAGAGTGAGGTAACAGTGCTTTAGTGATATGATATTGGTTATATTTATAGAGAGATATATAAAATAAAATAAGCAAAAATAATTTATTGTTATGATTATAAATTTATAACTATAGAAGTGATTAACGAAATGAGTGAGAAAAGTATCAGGAAAGATATTTCGGGGATAGGAAGGAAATGAAAAGAAAGAAGTGGGTATAAAAGATGAGGGAATGAGGGATGGAGACTGGGATGTGGGATAGATGGGCTTTAATAAGATCGTTAGGTATGTAGATAGTATAATGAGATGAAGAAAGCTTAGGTTTGAGAAATGGATGTTACCTACTTGGAGAATAGGGGGTGGGAGTAAAAGTGGTTAGATTGGGAGATGTTTGATGAGAAGAGTATTTTTAGATAAAATTGAGTAGATCTTGGAAATAAGTGAGTAAATGTTGAGAATTTGTAATAAGAGATGGATCAATATTAGAGTTTGAAAGGATATATTGTGTATTGATGTAGTGAGTGAACTTCTGTTTTTGTAAGAAAAGGATATTATTGCGACGGACGGGGTATATTGGGTGTGTTTATACGATTTTGGTTGGTTAAAGGTTGAGATGGAGGAAAAGATGGAATAAATGAATAGTGTGGAATTTGGGTGAAAAGGGAATGAAAGTGGGAAAGATTAAGTAATGGTATATTGATGGGAAGGGGACAAGGAAAATGGATGTAAAGAATGGAAATTGGTTATTTAGATTGGAGAAGGACTATAATGTAAGGTATGAAAAGTGAAGTATAAAAGAAGCGGATAGATATTGAAAGATTAGTAAACCAATCAACAGGATAAGTTTGAGTGATAACTTTGGAGTATGAAAATATTTAGGTGAGCATGCGTATAATGAATTGGGTCAGCCTATTTTTTGTGGCGAGGTAGTTGAGAGAGATGAATTGTGATGGAGATAGGCTCTTGATTGAAAAGAGGGATATTGACTGGGTGGAAGATAATGAACAGAAGAAGATATAAACGGGTAAATTGTATAGATATAAAGAATAAGAGGGAGTTGGGAAATAGGGTTGGGGATAGAATTGAAGGCTTGAAAGATGAAAAATGACTAATGAAGCGAGCGTCAAAGTGTAGAGGGGATTGCGAGGTGGCTGAAATAGGGTATTATCAATAAATATCTAAATTTTGATCAACTAGAGATGAGAGAGTGATGAATATGATAGAAATGAAAGTCAAATAATGAAGGGAGGGAATGGGATGAACTGGTCATTATCATTTGTTTTAATATTAGATTGAGGGGTTATTAATGTAGATAAATTAATAATTTAGTTGGAAAGGAGGAGAGAAGAAAGAAGGGGAGGATTAAGATAGAGGAAAATAATGAACAAGAAGGAGGGAAAACATGAGAAGTACATCAAGAGCGTTTGGAGATCAGAGAATAAGGAGAAAGGTTTTAAGGGGACAAACAGAAAAAAGAAAGGATGCTTATCTAATCACTTATTTTCAACCACTTAAGTCATTCAGAATACATACCGGCCATATGATGCGAGTGTAGCTGAGGGTTTTGAGCGTGAAATGCTACGCCAGAGCCTTGACCAGTAGTGTGTTGATGTATTTTTCGAAAAATCCCTCAACACTTACGGGTTCGCAATCGAATGAGATGAATGTGAAGATTGCTGCAGTTGCAGCTAATTGAGACCCAAATGCTACCTTCCCCTCTTCAGACCAGCTCTGGTGTAGCTGCGTTGGCTGGAGTTTTGCATTGATAGCACTGGTAGAAGCGGGATTTGTTCGCTTCAATGTGGTATATGGATATATCATATGATGTGAAGAGTATATATTCGACTAGAGAGAAATATAATATTTTTACTAGCAAATAAACTGACTACCACTGCAAAAAGAGGGCGCAAGACTTCCCTCTCAAGAAATGACAGATAATTGGGGAAGCCAAGACATCCTTTTGGCCGGTTTATGCAGAACATTGTACAAGTCAGTCCCAAGACATCACTGGAGTCTTGGGATAGAATTTGTTGACTTAGTTTCAATAATTGGCGCTGGATGACTGAATTGCCACTTGGCTGCCAAAAGAGACTGCTAGATGTTCTTGATGAGGTCTTTCCTACAGTACTGTGGATTTGACATAGAATTCTAAGAAGAGATGAGGCCATACTTTGTCTAATAGTCTCAAGCTATCACCAGACATATGATGATCGATAGTCCAGTCGTCCAGTCTCCCCCAAGCAAGTGATCGGAGAGATTATTCCAAACAAAGCGTATTTCGGACCTTGAACAAATGTACTTAACTAGTAGGTAAAAGCGTAAAAGCGACCTCGGTATCATCTTCCTGTTACCCGGAACTCTCAACACCAATAACATATCGAATCCGATCATCGGACATATCTGGTACGAAATTCGGAAACATTTCCAGTCGCAGAAGAGGTCATTTGCTTATTCGTTTACTTGAACTTCATCGAGTAATGCCTCGGCTTACCAAGTCTAGGCGATAACAGATAAGAGGTGATTTCTGTTGTGCGGTTTCTCGACCCGAGGATAACCAAGGGTAGCCTTTTAGCAGAACGGAAGCTCTCGCTCTCTCCACCTCTCCATGTACTACAGAATAATAGGTAATCTGGACATTTTTATTGTTGAGGAGGATATCCCATTTCAGAGCTATACCTAGTACTCAACACAGTATTTCCATATTTATATACACATTACCTTTACGATATATGCTGAGATAGTGAACAATGTCTTTGACTAAATAATATATAGTATCAAAAGGACGACATCATTTATTTGTCACAGTATATGTCACAATGAGGAATGAAGTACAAACAAACAAACAAACAATCAATCAATCAAAAAACGTAAGGCGGCGATTACCGAAAGAGGCATTACCCCACATTCACAAGCTTAATCCTGAAGCCTTGTAACCAAAAACCATCTTTCCCCTCCATCCGAATGCATTGCTGCTCTTGGGAACGAACTTGCATGCCGAGTGGCTCCTCATTGCCGCGACCAAGCAAAGCTGCTAATATAGTCATATTTTCCTCTTATTTCCCTCTACATCTTGGATTCTTTGACTTCTTCAACTTCTTTTCACATCAACTACATCTTTTCAATTCTTTTCCGTTGAATATCTACAAATCTACAACATCAATTCTTACGTCTTTCAATATACCCATCAAATACCTTACAAGATGTCTCTAATCGATGCTCAATTGCAGGGCGTGAACATCTCTGGAACTATTACTGATTTCAATAAGAAGATCCTCAGTAAAGATGCCGTTGCATTCCTCGCCCTCCTCCACAGATCCTTCGATGGTACCAGGAAAGAACTTCTTCAACACCGTGTAATCAGACAAGCAGAACTTGATAAAGGTTCTCTACCAGATTTCCTTCCGGAAACAAAACATATCCGTGAAAATGATGCTTGGCGAGGAGCACCACCTGCACCAGGGTTGATCGATCGTAGGGTGGAAATCACTGGTCCAACTGACAGGAAGATGATTGTCAATGCTTTGAATTCAGATGTTTGGACATACATGGCAGATCTCGAGGGTACGATTCATCTATTCCAATTTATTTCCTGATATCCAAGTGCTAACTTTTTCAATAGATTCCAGTGCTCCAACATGGGATAATATGATCAATGGACAAGTCAATCTTTACGACGCAGTTAGAAAACAAGTCGATTTCAAAATAGGAGAAAAGGAATACAAACTTCGAACCGATCGTACACTTCCCACACTCATCGTAAGACCTAGAGGCTGGCATCTTGATGAGAAACATTTCACAGTAGACGGAGAACCAATCTCTGGCAGTCTCTTCGATTTCGGCTTATACTTTTTCCACAATGCTAAGGAATTGATCAGCAGTGGACTTGGACCATATTTCTACCTCCCAAAATTGGAATCTCATCTCGAAGCTCGTTTATGGAATGATGTTTTCAACCTCTCTCAAGATTTCATCGCCATCCCAAGAGGAACTATTCGAGGAACAGTTTTGATCGAGACGATCCTTGCTGCATTTGAGATGGATGAGATTATTTATGAACTTCGTGATCACAGCGCTGGTCTCAACTGTGGAAGATGGGATTATATCTTCAGCGTCATTAAGAAATTCCGCAACAACCCAAATTTCGTTCTTCCTGATCGATCGGCTGTAACTATGACCGTTCCATTTATGGATGCATATGTTAAGTTATTGATCCAAACATGCCATCGAAGACAAGTACATGCTATGGGTGGAATGGCCGCTCAAATCCCTATCAAGAATGATAAAGCTGCTAATGACAAGGCAATGGAAGGTGTATATGCGGATAAAATCCGTGAGGCCAAAGCTGGTCATGATGGTACATGGGTAGCTCATCCAGCACTTGCAGGTATCGCTTCCGAAGTATTCAACAAACACATGCCTACGCCAAATCAAATGTTCGTTCGTCGCTTAGATGTAAAGATCGGACAAAACGATCTTTTAAATATGAATGTACCTGGCGCTGTCACCGAAGAAGGTATTCGCAAGAACCTGAACATTGGATTAGGATATATGGAAGGATGGCTCCGAGGTGTAGGATGTATACCTATTAATTATTTGATGGAAGATGCTGCCACAGCAGAAGTTAGCCGATCTCAATTATGGCAATGGGTTAAACATGGTGTTAGTACGGCAGAAGGAAAGAAAGTGGACAAGGCTTATGCGTTGAAATTGCTTAAGGAACAAGCAGATGAGTTGGCGAGTCAAGGACCTAAAGGAAATAAGTATCAATTGGCGGCGCAGTATTTCGCAGGCCAGGTTACTGGAGAGGATTATGCGGATTTCTTGACTACGTAAGTACAAACCTTTATTTGATGTTTTCCGGTAGTTTTCATTTGAAAACAAATTACTAACATAAATGATTAGGCTTCTTTATAATGAAATTACCGCGGTGGGACATTCATCGCCTGCTTCTAAATTGTAGTTTTGGTCATGGGGGATCTAGTAGTTTATAGGCGTTGGGGTTTGATAATATCAAATTGTAAAATGAATTACGCAAAATATTAAGAAAAATTGAATTATATGAGATATTTATTATAGTATTTTCGTGAGTGAGTTGTTTACCTTTTGCTCCTACTCCTACCACAGATAAACAAACCGATTGTGGTATGCACTTTGATGCACTTTTGATGCAGTGAGATGCAGTGTATGCATGCACAGAAGGTTAGCGAAACGTGAAGGTGGACATGAGATGTTACCTAGTCAAACGGCCCGATGTAGGAGAGCAGTGGGGAGGGAGGTAGGTGATGAGGTGAGGTGTGGATGGTGGAGGGGTGGGGAGGGGATTGAAGGGGAAGGATCGGTGGGAAATGAAAAGGAAATTCAAAATGATAAAATAAAGAGAGGAAAAAAAAATAAAATATCAATGAGGAGGGTAGAGGAGAGGTAGAGGGTAGAGATTAATAAAATGAGAATGAGGTTGTATGGGTATAACTATAAAATACGACGCGGGAAGCGAATATTGTAGATATAAGAGTACTTGGTACCTAGTACCTAGTATCTAGATAGTTATTATTACTCTGTTAATAAGGCTCTGCGACTTTAGACTTGGGAATGAGAAATGGGATGAGAATGGGATGAGAATGATGGTTGGTGATGGGGTTTGAGTATCTTCGGATGATGGATTAGGGGATAGGGGTTAAGGGTTAAGGGTTAAGAGTTCCGGATTATGGGTTACTAGGTTGTAGGCAGGTAGGTATGGATTTTATTTTTAGATTTCTGTCGGTAACTTGTTATTATGTGGAAGAGGCTTGTGGTGTGGTGTGGTGTGGTGTTATGGGTTGTGATGAGTTTAATTTGGGGGTTTGGGGTTGGTTCTTGATAGTGGATGGATGGATGGATGGGTGGATGGATGGGTGTAATATGTGAGAATGATAGTGTTGGGTGAAGAGTTGAAGAGGGGATTAGGGAGTGAGGGTTGAGGGGCGAAGGCCAATGTGGAGGGAGTTGTGAGAATTTGAAGGGGGGGTGGATAGGGATATGGGTAATGGATGAGTAATGGGATAGGGAGTATATAGATGGATAGATAGAGAGATAAATGAATGGGTATATGAATGAATGGGTTTGGATTATTATTTGTTGTTTGTGATGATTATACAGAGAGAATAGGTAGGTAGTAGGTAAAGAGATATACCTCACAGGAATGCCATCGTTAGCATCCATATCTGTGTACGATTATATAAAAATTTGAGTAGATAGTAAACACACTGAACTAACGATATAGATACAGATGCTTGCATTGGTAAGTAGGACTACCTATCTAGCTAGGTATCCAGAACATATCTAGAAATCAGCCTCATCTCCATTTCTATCTTCATCCATGGAAGAAACATGGCTTCTATCATATGAGTACCAAAATCCACCATCAGCCCATCAGCCATCAGCCATTAGCCAGCCCATCGACCCATCAAAAGAATCCATCATAAAGCCTTCCCTTTCCTTCCCTTTCCTTCCCTTTCCTTCCCTTTTCTTCCCTTTTCTTTAGAAGTGTCGTCAGATTTGTGTTACTCTCGGATGAAGTTGCGCATGCTGATGGCTTGGCGAGCCTTGCGAAGATTAATTATTTTTCTGGGGTGCCCCACTTGTACCTGTACTTGCACTTGTAAAAGTCTGTCTGTAGTTCAAAGTCTTGCAGCTGCAGATAGATACACATATTTATATTCTATAATGTTTTCTGTATGAACGGTTTGTCCGTCATGATGATATTTGGAGTTGGAGGGGAAATCACAGGTCGTTCCTTTCATCATTGCCCATCATTGCCTGCATTCCCCGGTCTGCCCTGCCCTTCCCTGCCTTGCCCTGCCCTGTCCTGCCTTACAACCTCATTATCATCCGGCGTGCAGCACGAGAGCTATCTCAAGTGACTGAATGGATCATCTTCCACTCACTCGGAAGTTTTCTATCACAGAGTACGAGGAGGAGTACAGCATGATGAGATGTGGTACAATGTGGTCTGGATGGTTCATAAACTTCGTAAGTTTGTAAGATTCGGTGCAGTTTGGACGGTGTGTTACGTTCATGGCTTTCACTACAGCTGCTTGCTGTTCATGTACTACCTCCCCAAGACTGCATTTTCATATTTCAAGGTTATTGAAGATTCTCTTGGTCCGTAAGCAATATACATCTTCTTCGGAGGGTTCTTTCTTTTGAGTGGTTCTACTGGAGTATATTTGACATTGTTCTCTTTCTACCATCACACACATATGTATCTATTTATTTACCCTCCTTTCACCTTCTCCTTGGATTTGGATTTGGATTTCTCTTACTCAATTCTCTTCCCACCATCCGAATTAAGATAATTCGAATCCAATTTTGACCTTTGCGGGGATTACCTAGATATCTATTAGTACTAGTACATAATGCTAGGGAGTATATATTAAAAGTCAACAACTGTCTCACCTACCCATCTAGCAAGGTAGCCCTATCCAACGTCAACAATTCTTTCCTTTTTTTTTTTCATATTTGACTTTTTCTTATACGACTACCAAGTCCGGCATTCCCATTCCCAATCCCAATCCCAATCCAAATCCAAATCCCAATCAATTGAAAATTCTCCTCCAATCATTTCATTCTTTTACATCCTTCCAGCATTTCTTGCACAATTACCTCACCCAGATTCCTACTGTGAAAAGTGGAAGGGGTATCCAACAAGGTGTTTTGCTTCACCTTTTTGATTCACAACATCCAAACCCACATCACCAAGCACCAATAAACAGTCATATAAACTGGGGAGGATCAGGTATTTTAATTAATATCTATCTACCCATCCGATCTAACCTGGTATTTTCTCCCAGTTTTTTATTCCCTACACGGAAAAGACGGCTTATTCAGCTATCAAGGTGCTCACCATCGCTCATCGAGGAAAGACTTTTGTACTTGTTAGTCGATCAGGATTTCATATTTTGAAACTTTGATTGCTCCTCTTTAAATCCACACCACACAAGACTTTTCCGTCACTTAAGCTTTTTTCTTCTTTTTTATCCACGTTGTTGTGTCCGTCGATCTTGGATCTTGGATCTTGGATCTTAGCTATCACATCATATCAACCGGTGCTGATAATCTATCAAGCCTCCTCTTTTCAAGTACAATCACAACTCAACGCGACAAACCTCTCCCATCGGTTTCTCTCATCTTCAATCAACAGGATGACTGACTTCAATCCCAAGATGGTTGATTTGGACACGGTTGATCCAACAGCTGTTATCTGCTATCTCGAACTTGGTGAAAATGAGTATAATGGAAAATTGGGCGCGTAGGTTGATTCCTTCCTTTCCGTCACTCTCTTCACCAAGTCCTAACAAAGTTCTTCATAGTCGTATCTCTGCTCTTTTCGTTATCTTGATTGTCTCATCGGCTGCTACCTTCTTTCCCGTCGTTGCTGCGAGAGTCAGATGGCTTAAGATCAATATCTATGTTTACCTCTTTGCTCGTTACTTTGGTGCTGGGGTTATCATCGCAACTGCATTCATTCAGTAAGTGCTTCTTCTTCTCAACTCCCCCTCTGCTAAAGTGATTCTAACGTTTCTTTTAGTTTGCTCGACCCAGCTTATGGTGAAATTGGTCCAAACACTTGTGTTGGGATGACTGGTCACTGGGCAGATTACAGCTGGCCACCCGCTCTTGTTTTACTTTCCGTTATGTCAATCTTCATGATGGACTTCGCTGCTGAGCAATATGTTGAGCGCAAATATGGTTTCGCACATGGTCCAGCCATTGAGGATGTTGTCACCGACCAATCTGCTCATCACAACACTCTCACTCACAACCAACTTCACTCCGGTGATCAAGATCAGAACCTCTTCAACAGCATCGCACAAGCTCAAGAATCGAAGGACTGCCCAGCATCCAACTCCTCCTCTAACGAGAAGGATGTCGAGAAAGTTACCATCTCCTCCGAAATGTCTGAAGAACGTTCTTTCCGTCAACAGATCTCTGCTTTCTTAATCCTTGAGTTTGGTGTCATCTTTCACTCCGTCATCATCGGTCTTAACCTTGGTACTGCTGGCGATGAATTTACCACTCTCTATCCCGTCCTCGTCTTCCATCAATCATTCGAAGGTCTCGGTATCGGTGCTCGTATGTCTGCTATTCCGTTCCCAAAACGTTTCTCTTGGCTTCCATGGTTACTTTGCACTGGGTATGGTCTTACCACCCCAATCGCTATTGCCGTTGGTCTTGGCCTTCGCACAACTTACAACTCCGGTTCATTCACTGCTAGTGTTATCTCCGGTGTTCTAGACTCTATCTCTGCCGGTATTTTGATTTATACTGGTTTGGTCGAGTTATTAGCTCGTGATTTCTTGTTCAACCCAGATTTGACTCATGATAAGAAGAGACTTACATTTATGATCTGTTGTGTCTTACTCGGAACAGCCGTTATGGCTCTTCTTGGTAAATGGGCTTAATCACTTTGATCTTTTAATGGTTTTTCTGATGGACATGGTTTCTTATACTGGTGATGGATAGTTTATCTAGATGATGGTTTTCATATACCCAAATGATTTTTTTTTCGTATACCCCTTGGGGTATTAATTGATGGAATATCAATGGAGTTGCAAATGCGCAATTGACTTGGGTGGAATAATTGATTCGATGGAGATGATGGAGATGTTTTTTAGATGAGGTTTACATAATCTCGCTGAACTTGCATATTCCTGCTTTCTTCTTTCTTCCTTTCTCTAATGGACTTTGCCTGTTTCCCTTTTACTTTTACCTTAGTTCGGCATTCGTTTGATGATTTCATGATTCCATGATCGATGATTCATTAAATGATTTGAATGAATGAACTTTTAGATAATAGAGCTTATATTTTTGCTTGGATTGTAGTTTTGATGCTGTATTGTGATGCGTGAAGATGTGATATGATGGGTTAGAAGTGTGATATGATGTGATGTGATGTTATGTATATTAGTGGTAGGTGTTGATGAAGAGACTTGTGAGTAGATGGGTTGTTTGTTTGGATGTAATGGTTGATGGTGATGAGATGAGGGAGAGAGAGAGGAGAAGAGGAGAGAGAGATGGAGAGGAAAGAAGAAGAGGGAATCAAAGGAAAAGAAGATAGAAAGAGAGAAAAAGAGAGAAAGAGAGGATATTAAAAGAAGTGGAGGGAGGACAAGAAATAAAAAATAACAAATAGAAATTTAGTTTGTAAATTTAAAGTGTGTAATATATAGTATATAATATATGATATCGAGGGAATGATTATAGATATATAATATTAAATATAAAAGTTTTATAAATAATTTATTTTAAGATCTTAAATCTAATATTTTACTTTTCAATCATTTTTAATCTCGATTATTATTTTATATCAAAAATCATCATTTTCAGTTATCAATTATTCAATAATGAATGAATAAAATTAATTGAAATTTTAACTCTAGATTTTTTATATAATTCTTAATAAGTTCTGAAATTTTCATGTTTTTTATAATTTTATTGATTGGGAAATTGAAAGGTGAAATTACAATTTTTAATTTATATAGGATTTATATACAAATTTAAAACCTTTAAAAATCGTAAATAACTTTTCAATAAAAATTATTAAAAATAAACTATAAGTTTTTTTTGGAAATCTTCAAATTATATAGTATATAATAGATTAAGATTATGAATTTTAAATTATATAGAAAAACTTTTATTGATATTTTTAATTTTTACAAGAATTATAAATTTTAATATTTTGATTAATTAGATTTTTATGAATTATTTTTTTTGAAATAATTTAATCCATTCGATTAATCATGATTTGAAGATTTGATAAAAATTTATAATCTATTTTTTATTATTTTTATTGAAAAGCTATTTAAGATATTCAAGATTTTCAAATTTGTATATAAATCCTATATAAATTGAAAATTGTAATTTCAACTTTCAATTTCTCAATCAATAAAATTATTAAAAATATGAAAATTTCAGAATTCATTAATAATTATATAAAAATTCTAGAATTAAAATTTCAATTGATTTTATTCATTTATTGTTGAAATATTAATAAGTGAAAATCATTATTTTTGGTATAAAAGAGTGATCTGAAAGAGAAGTGGTCCAAAAGTAGAGTACTAGACTTATATTGTAAGAAAGTTGGAATTATAGGCCAAATACATAAAGATTTTAACTAGTCAATCACATAACCTTCTGTAGTTAAATATAAAAGAAGAGCCTTTTATCTTTTCTTTTTACAATAATCAACCTTCTATATATATACATTTGAATCTATATAACATCAACCCCAAAACTATTGTGAACCTTGTTTTACTTATAAGTAACATATTATAATATAATCTAATTCAGCTTTCTCTTCCAATTCCCTCCTCACAACGTGCTATCGGGACGCACGTATCTCGACCTACCACTTTTACAATATATTTTAATTCTTTATATTATCGATTATAATTATATATTGAGAAAATAGATTTTACAAATTATACTTTGATTAGTAAATTAAAAGTATTTTATTTAAGTTGTTTAATTAGAAATCTAATTATAACAAAGTTTATAAAATATAATCAGCCTTTTTATACAAAAGATATCTAATAAGGTAATACAAAACAGCATACAAGCTGTAGGATGTAGTATATAATGATAATAACAGTGACGCTATCTATACAACTCGAGAATACGAATACACGTATTAGTCTATAACAGGATATAAGACAGCTAGCAATAGAGATATTGGGTAGACTTAAAAAGCAAACAAGTAAAGGGGTATAAGGGAAAGCTTCTAATCCTAAGCGGAACCTCCAAAGGAAGATATCCTTTGGGAAATTATATATAGGTGTTACAAATCTATCTTGATTCTATTCTGACAAACCAATACTTTGTATATATAACCCAAACAAACCTATATAGAGAATCAATTCTTTACTTGTCTTCTCCACAACCAGAATTTCCTCTCTATATCATGTTTACGAGTACGGTACTATCGATGCCGTCTGAGCACCGGCCTTCTCTATCGTGTGTTGGGAGGAGATGACAGAATATATAGGAAGGGGTTAGAAAAAAAGGGATATTGAGGAGGGAGAGATGTTTTAGTTTTACCTGAGGCTAATCCTAGGCATCTTTACCATTGATGGCAAAAAGGCCATGTGTTTCTTTTGTACAAGGAATAGGATGTGAGCGAAGGAGGAAGACAAGGTTCCCCCTTACAACGTTTCTAAAAATCCCATACCTACTGTTCCTATTACCTGCTTGGTGTAAGAGACTAGCTACATCCTTTCTAAGTGTGAAAATGCTTAAGATTCTCACCGTCCTATATAGTCATAGACTGATATAGGACAGGAAAAAAAAAGAAAAAAGAAAAAAGGGCATCCTGCTTAACCAGCAGACACTTCGAAACGGTGGGGACCCACTCCCAAATTCAGGATATGCCATTGCATGCCTCCTGTCTCGTCGGTGATTTGGTTTTCGAACCTTGTTAGAACTCTAGGAATACCTTTTTTTTGCGGATTGATACGTAATTTGAACAACGAGCCCACAGCATAGCACGCCCGAGAAAGCTAGGCACCCGGTTAAATCCCATGGTATTACCAATGAGCTGGATGGTCATCATTCTGGTTGTTTGCCGACAACAGGCTCATTACCCAACCTCTGGTCAATACCGGTGATAGCTGATCGATCAGGCTACCAGCAAAATACCATCCATGTCGAGAGTGCGACTCCGTCACCAACGACCCATACCACAAGCCCTGCGACCCAAATATCTGCGCAACTGATGATGTGGTAGAAACAGATGGTTGGGAGGGAACCTTACCGGATTGGGTAAGACCAATGGCAATGCCAAGTAGATTAGATGAAGTAAACTCTTGTATCAGCAGGCCTCAATTTGCCGTGAGATTGCTACATGAGCTTTCATAAATTTTGGTCTTAGAGATAGATATTGATAGAGGAGCAGAAAACAGTACCACAATGCTACTGCATTAAAATATTAAGTAGAGTTGCGCGTTCTTTTCATACAAAACGTGCTTCGCACTTTTTGTATGTGGAAGCGGGCTTTCGCCCGCCTCGCTACACTAGTGTGGTATCTGGAGCCCATTCTTTCATTTGTAACTGCTGCGTTATTCACCCACGAAGTCCTTCAAAGCTTAGCTCTACGTGACACACACTACATCTGAAATTATTTGTAATTTATTCAGTATAAATAGCTACACCAAACATCGAAGTCCTCTCTCTACAGGGATCCGCCTCGATGTAAGAGGCATGAAAAAGTCTCATAGCCCTACAAAATCGATAGTGAGAAAATTTGCATCTGTCTCCGTGCGCTTCTTGACTTCTCCAGACTGCATCTCATTCACATCCCAAGCTGCCCAGGTAAAACGACCGTGTAAAAATGCAGCTTCGGAACTCGCCGCCCAGACAGCGAAATGCCCAGGTAGATTATCTGTACAGGATTGTCAGTCACGGCCAAACTTTCATCATGCCAAATTATGAAAAGTGCAGAGAGGGGCGGGGGAGTTATTTAAGTCAGGAGCTGGGCTCTTACCATCGTCCCAAGGAAGCGTGGTTTCGTCAAGGCCAGCACTTCTGCTCGTCTCAGAGAGGATCTGTCCAGGATGGAAGCTGACGATCTGCAATTTCTTCCGGTCAACCTCACCAGCTATCCTTTGCAACACGAGATGGCCAGACGTTTTGCTGAGAGAATAGGTTGGCAGGGCGGCTGCAATTGATTCACTATGGATTGCGGCCGTAGAGACATAAACGAGATGCTGGATGTTCTTGTAATTAGCCATTATGTTTCCTAGCAGGGAAAATGTCACGTGTGTAAAAATGGAAAATTAGAGCAAGGTCATACCTTTTGCCTGTCCTCGGGACCTTTTTGCTTATACAGTTGCTCGGTGAACTGTAAGAGCGACCTCACATTGGTTTCATACTGCAACCAAATATTCTCAACGCCCGCGTTTAATATCGACTCTTGGCCTCCGAACTTCGCTGCATTCAGCACGAGGACATCGACAAAAACGCCATCAGCACGGAGGCCGGACCAGAGGGCTGCGGACTCAGCCACATTTCCAACATCGCAGACTCGCGCATCAAACTTCGTATTTATGAACTCGCCTGACAGCCTGGAAGTCGAATTGTGGACGACGTCTTTACGGCGACCTATGAGGATCACTTTGGAGGCTGAGGCCGAGGCATATGCCCTAGCGATGGCAAATCCTATCCCAGCGGATGCTCCAGTAATTAGGACTGTTCTTCCGGCTTGGGATAACTCAGGGCGAAGAGGTGATATGGCGGCGTAAGAAGACTTGTGGTATGTCTTCACTATATCTGGAGCACCCAAATCAAGTTTTTTCAGCTGTTCGATATCACTCATGGTGAATATTTGAGGAATGAACGACCTGGGAAGCGAAAAATTGATGAAAAGGCTGGTTGCAGATGAATGCTGGCTTCCGTCAGGGTGTCTACGGTCTTTATATGCGGAGTTGCATACGAATGTGACTTTAATTACATCTTCTAGACTTTTAGCTGGGTTGCGAAAAGCTGCAGCTTGTAGAGATGGAGGTAAGCTGTGGGCGTCTTTGCTGAAGTTGGCGCAGGTTGATTCGAAAGGTGGGTTTCACTGTGGAGTTGGGCCGATTCTCCTCCGCATTTCCCAACAAACTCCGCAAATTTGCCCCGTCGCTTCCGTCGCACTCCAAGCGCTGTGAACACAGCCCTAAGATGTGCTTGTTGCGATAGGACGTTCGGATCTCTTTGATGAAGAAGCCCGCAGGAGTGGTGAGGTAGGGTAGAGGAGTACGGTGGAACGGACGTGGCATATCCTCCGCTAATTGTTGAACATTGGAAGTCAAAATTAAGTGAGCGTAGAAACTCCGCAAATCCACACACGCCAGTAGACTCCAGGCGGTTGGACACAGATGCAATTCAGAGTGGCCCAAAGCGAAATGCTCATTGTTTGCAGAGTCAACAGGTATAAAATGCGTTTTCTGCCTCAAATTATAAAATTCCAACCACGCTCTTCAGCCCCTCGCTTCAATCTAAACCATTCTCATAGGTGCGTAGCTTAATTGTTACCGCAATGTTTTGTTGACAATGTATAGCAACACACGATGCCAGTCCAATCGCAAACTCTCAGTGAGTGGGTGACAGAGCTCAACGATACTCTGTTCATTCAGCCGAATGACGAAATCGCCCTCAAAGCCGTCCATGAGCAAGTGGATCCAAGCTTAGTAGTTAAGTACGCGACCCGAACTTCATAACATCTTGGCAAGCACATCTGACAGAGGCGCACTGCCAGAATCAACCACAATGTCTACACGTACGACGAATTTAGGTCAGGCCTTCAACACGCCCGTAGTTATGGTACATCGACTCAAGACACCTTCTCTGTGATTCTCCAATGGGAGAACCCGGAAAAGCCGGACGGCGTGGTGGCAGTTCTTAGCAAAAGCACGGTTAAGGAAAAGGCAACGGGAAAGGAGACTAAAAAGACCAACGTGATTCTCTGGGAGGTTAAGTGGATTGATGGAAAGAGGAAGCTTACAGGGCAGACGGAGGTAGAGGCTTTATAAGAACAAAGTCCGAGAGGTTGCTATATGTAGAGGTTGGTGATGCCTCGGTGGAATCACATGAGATAGCTCATAGAGAGATAGGTATATCACGAATACTAAGCTTGATCGTTACTTGTATGCAAAGAGAATACTGGTAAGTCACAGCATGCGGGGCTTTTTGAACCAAGATAGCAATTGCAGCTTTGTTGTTGAGGCTGGTTAGTCAATCGTCTAATTAATTAAAATTTATTGAAGTTAAGACTTGGTTTATACGTTTCTGTATACATTAATACAAATGTGACAAATTTCGACCTAACCGCGGTCGTGGTGTTTCTTCCTTGATTTTCGGGGAGCTTGTCACGCTACCCGTCGTAACAATTTTGAAGTGCGCAGGGTCCTGTACAACCACATTAAATAAAATAACTAAATGTACTTCAAGTAGCAGAAATGGTCGATCTAGAAAAGGTCCGATTAAACCCTTCTGGAAGACGATTTTATATCACATAACAGGACGGGTCTTATGTAGTCATTGGACTACCTAGTCCCTGCGGCTTGCGGAGAATTGTGACGCTAGCGGATTTTCCACCGAACTATAATCCCTCCTCCACAACCTTGTTCCATCTCTACTATCGAGAAGGGAGCGTCTGAAATGGCGGTGGAACGCCAAACCCTCCATTTTCAACTTAAGTTATTAATGAGAATAATTTGTAATAGAAGCTTTTTTCAAGCTTATATAAGTAATGTTATCGAGTATTATAAATAAGTATTATGATGATTTATACAATTTAATTTTATTAAATGATAATTATAATATCTTTATTAATAATTAATAAGTATAATAATGATTTACTTTTTAATAAATTATATTTCAATTTTATTATTTAATTTTCTTAATTGAATGATATATTTAAAATAATAAAATATTATAATTGATAATTAATTTAACAAAAGATTAAGATTTTTAATAATTTGAAACCTAAATAATAATTTATAATTTATAATTTATAATCTGTAATATTTAATGTATAATATAATACAAGGAAAAGAAAAGTTCTATATCCTCAATTCTGAAGGTATAATATATAAGAAATATTGGGATATCGGGCCTTACTTAATCGGGTAAGGGCCTTGGCGTTCCACCGCCATTTCAGACGCTCCCCATCGAGAATGCACGCCAATGCCGCAAACGATCTACATTGACCATTCGCTCTCGAATCTTGCATTTCCTCGCCCGAAATGATGAGCCGAAATGTCGAGCACATCACGCCACAAGTCGTGCCTCGAATGCATCCAGACTAAACGAAAGTGCGACCGAACATGGCCGAGATGCCAGCGTTGCGTCGCGAGAGGCTCTGAATGCCAATATATCGGCCGGAATCGTCATCAACCATTCCGAAGCCCTGATTCCAACGTGGATCAATCTGTTCCTATCTCGGAGCGTTTGGGCGGACAGCCATCTAGCAACTGGCAGTTGGAGCAATGTCACGCGGAACCAACGTCGTTGCTCACACCATGCTGGGATGGTGCTCTGTTCGAATTCCCTAACCATTTCAACCTTGGTAGTCATGACAACTTCATCTTCAATAGCATACAAGACGAAGTTGCTCAACAAGCGTCGAGCAGTGCTGATCCAGGTATCGTACGAGCCATCACTTCGGATGCAAAACTCCAGGCTCGTGTGGAATTCGTAGCAAAGCGACTAGCAACAATCCCGAGGACATTCGCACAGCACGGCCACACAATGTTCATCCACCGGATACAGTTCCAGCAGAGTTGTTCCCCGGCTCTGCAGGATGCAATGAGCGCTTGCGCCTTGTATTGCATGAAGGGCGTGGCAAATCAAGCATTGGTATTTGGAAATTTAGAACATAAATGTCAGCAGCTAATTGCAGGCACCGATGCGCTGCTCACCTCTAAAACTGATCTTCTTGCGGCTCTACAAGCGCTCCTGCTTTACCAGATGATGCGACTCTTCGATGGCGACATTCGTCTCAGAGCCCATGCGGAAGCCGATGAAGCGATTGCGATCCTATGGGCGAGCCAACTCAGCGCTCTGACGAACAACGCAGCAGACACTACGTTGACTGCGCCAGGTTCGACAGACACGAGTATTGTGACAATAGGCCGCAAGTCGGACTGGCAGTCCTGGCTCGTTGACGAAAGCATCCGACGCACCGTTATAACCACATTTATGCTGAAGGGTGTATACAGTTTTCTGAAACTTGGCTACGACAGCCCCACAAATCTACATGTATGCTTCACTGCACAAGCAGCACTTTGGAATGCGCAGTCCGCAATCAGTTGGTGTAGGGCCCAAGAAGAGACGGAGCGACTCGAGATATGGGCTACGCGCTGGGATGAAACGATTGTAAAGGCGAAACCAATGGATCTGGAGGAGCTTGGTGTACTAATTATGACGATGTTATGGGGACCTGAGGCGACGCGGACATGGTTGGGAGAAGATGTTACTCTGAAATATGGGTTGGAGACGGCTTAGAACGATGTGGTACTCTATACTATTAGATGTAATATAGGGGGGCCCTCCGTACTTGGCCTGGATGTTTTCTGAAAGAAAATCTAATAGAGGTAAATAGACATATTGGTAATGCTTTATTAGTACATTAATTGAAAAATAAAGTAGCTATAGATATTTTTTTGAAGGTGGGAATAGCTTTAAATCAGTTAAATTATAGGTGATTAGAAAACCAGTTTTGCGGATGCGGATAAAGAATATCTCGAAAATAAGCTTCCCCTAAGCGATGTGGACTTCTGAGTTGTAGGAGCCAAAAACGACTCCCAGCTTCCTCTGTGCCGGATTGGATTCTCTGTACTTCTTGCTGAGTTGGGTGTCTATTAAAGTAACTACCGAAGTGTACCAGGATGAAAAGAAAATCGACGACGAGACATCAAATGCATCTTGAGACAACGATGCTCCAATGAGAATCCAACACCATTTCCCCAACCATCGTACCAACCTCGCATCTCAACACTCCCCTCATTATCAAAAAATTCTCCTCCTTCCTACTCTCTCACCTTAGCACGTCACTTTTCTCTCCTCCCAACAAAATCTCCATCCCTTCCCCCTAAGAATGGTGTCGAAAATCCCATCTCCCGTATTTCTTATTCAGTACATATTATATGATCCCAAATACCCGACCTAACAACCACATCCGAATTAGTGTAACGTGATTTATCTATTATAGGGTCGTCTTTTTTTTTATAAAAAAAAATCTACCATCTTTAATTTACAATATTTTGATTTTATAAAATATTTTAATTTTTATAAAATATTTAATTAATATTTTTATTCTTAATATAAAACTTTATTTTGAATTTAAAAAAAAAATATTAAAACTTAAGATTTTAATAAATTATTTATAATTAAAAAGTTGAAAATAAAATTATAGTTATTCTTTAATTAAGTATATAATGAAAAGTTTTCAAAACTTTTATAAAGATTTTTTTTAACCTTTATATTATATTTATATTTATATTTATATTTATATTTATATTTATATTTATATTTATATTTATATTTATATTTATATTTATATTTATATTTATATTTATATTTATATTTATATTTATATTTATATTTATATTTATATTTATACTTAGCTTCTCAAAACTAATATTAAAAATCATCACGTTGTAATTAATTGAGTAATTTAAAAATCATACTTTATTATCGAGTTATAATACTCAAATTCCTTTCTTTCAATCAATAATAATATATTTTCATCCATCCCATGATCATCATCATTAATTACCCAATTCCCATAAAGCTGCTTGCCTGCCGCAGTACATCTATAATGTTTATAATCTAGAAAGAATGTCTAATGATGCTCAGATGCAATAACATAGCGACCTAGTGCTAAACTTCCAAGAAATGTACCACCTAAGACAGAGAGGAAATATCCGAGATTCATAGTCATGACCGCGAGCATACTATATTCATTCTAATTAGTTATCGTTCGCGTCGGAAAGATAAAAAGAAAGAAGAAAAAAAGAATAAAAAACTCACAGTAACCATCCAACACCAGCAATAATAGTATCCATAATCGCTCTCACGGGATCAACACTTAATCTCCATGGTCGAATCCCCATCGATCTCGTCTTAACCACCATCACATTCTCCTCAACACCATTCTCACTCAATACCATATTCTTCGAATCACTATCCAACGAGACCCGTTCTGATTTTGGACCTTTTCCGGCAACAGTCACATAACGACGATTGGTATCTTCGGCGAGCCATGCGCTTTCTTTCCAGGCTTTGACGGCGAGAAGACCGCGGAATAGTGTTGCGAGTAAGATGAGAAATATACAGGTTCCTGCGTATCCGGCATCGGTGCTGGGTGTCCACATGTTGGAATAGAGGGCCGTGGTTTTAGAGATGAAGAATGTCATTGACATCATGGACATGTCCATTGTGCTGGTGCTGGTACTGTTGGTCATGCCCATGCCCATGTCCATTTGCATGTGTGAGTGTGACATATCCATTTTTGCGGAGGGACTGGTATGACGTTTGTGATTTGTAGTAGAAGGGGTTGATATTGAGTGGATAGAGATAGATGGATATTTATAGTGATGTTGGATTCGTGAGATGATGAACCGCCGGCGGATCGTGTGATGTGTGATGTATGATTGGGTATGATTGAGCTATTGTTGAAGTGTGAGTTGATTGATAGATGTTATCAAAAAAGAGGACAAGATCCTTCTTTAATACGATTGAGGCAAGAACGATATGAGAAGTTATGAGGTAGATATTTGCAAAGAAGTGGATCTGAGGTAGTTGGAGGGGTATGCTTCTAGATCTCTCTGCATGAGAATCCGGGGGAGAAAGGTATGAGGCTCTGAAGAGGACGAATTCGGAACGGGTGGCTTGCGAGGGTTTCAGTGTCACCAGTGGAAATGGAGTTTTGTAGATCGGATGAGACGAAAAGATGAAGCAATTATTGCTTTTAGTGAGTGAGACTGTCAAGGTTCGGTTTGACGAGTTTGATATTGGTTTTCTGGTTGTCTGGTTGTCTGTCTGTCTGTCTGTCTGTCTGTCTGTCTGTCTGTCTGTCTGTCTGTCTGTCTGTCTGTCTGTCTGTCTGTCTGTCTGTCCGTCTGGCTGGCTGGCTGGGTTGAAGACTTGAAGAGAATATTCATGAGCATGCATCGAAGAAAGATCTCAAGGTTACTCAGCAAGAATTACGGCCCGCAATTGAGAAGATTTCGTGTTCTGTTTTCATATTGACCTGCTTCTTTTCCCCTACTACACACTCTTTTTGCTCTATCTTGCTCAAATCATTATTCATGCTTGTTTGGAAGATCGTGTTGGAAAATGTGCCAAGGTGGGTAAAATAAAGTGCTCAAACACGCTCAGACTAACGATATATAGTTAAAAGGTTACCAAAACTCACTCGAATCATTGCTGCTTTAAGTAACTTTTGTATTTATTCTTATCTTATCTTTGTGAATTGCACGGTTGCTTGAACGATGTTTATTTTTGGTCGGTTGAGAAATCGAAAAGCGGCATGGGGAAATGTGCTCAAGATCTGCATTGACAGACACCATAGTGCGAACTGTGATTGTACCACCAGAAGAAGATTGGTAGTCGTTCTAGCCATCAGACTCTGGTCACGACTGAGGCCACGGATGATTTTCGAGCAGCCTTCAGAAGAAACAATACTTGGTCTGATCTACTCATCATCTACTCATGGACATGAAGACATGGGAACTCACTCAACAGGTCATATCTGAGTTATGAGGATATACTGATGTAAAGCTCTGTCTTGCACCAAATCAATGTGTTTAGAGTCATCGGACAGCGATATTATCAACCACGACTCGGAAGCATGGATACAAGTTAAGTATAATTTCTCTCAAACCCAAAGTTCGCCAATACAATCCTCGAAAGTATCTAAAGCTCGTCCTGGATTGTACCATCAAGGATAATATTCTGCCATGGAACGACATTCTATACCTGCCATCCCTTCAACACTGTTCCAAAACTGCCAATCCTTCGGAGTACTCATGGCATTTCCTCGATCAATCTTCTCCCGATATTCTTCTCGACTCTTCAATGCATAATGATGCAGTGCTATTCGGTTTTTCGTCGGTGGCCTTCGTTTTAAAGGTGCCTCAACCCCATTTTCATCAACAATTATTGCCCCGTCTTTACTCAGGACTTGATGCACGGTGTTTGTACCAGCATACATAGATAGTTTGGATATGGTTTTGCCTAGTATATTATGTCCTTCCCCATCCCATATACAATCAATGTAGGCCTTGCGGACAGATTTGGCTCTGCTTAGTAGTCCGGCAGAAGAATGCGTCATCCATGAAACATATACCGCGCCGACGTGTTCATCTTCCTCGAATGATTCTAGGAACTGAACCAAATTTTCGTTTCCTGTCATCTCCAGATATTCGTCGGCGTCGATGAAAGCCATCCAAGTGTGGTTACTTCCGTATTTATCGACGCAGATATTGTAAACGTGTTCTTGCATGTAGAAAGCATGTTCTGACTGGCTGAAGTATTGGAAAGTTACATGCTCTCGAGGTATACCCAAATCTTCCATCTCCGATAGAGGCGGGTCAGAACCATCATCCATGATGTAGAATCTCTTTATCCCAAGATGATAATAGTGGTGAATGAACCATTCTGGTAAGTCTTGATGCTGATCTTTAACTGCCATACACACGGAAACATATTCGTCTTTTCGAGTGTCTTGCTTAGATCCGAGGAAAGGTTTCTTGAACTTATGGCCAGGCAACGCGGTTTCTAAATCTGCATCTTCCGAGGTGTTCGGGTCTTTTGATTCAGATGTTTCCGTCCCACCAAAAACCCCAAGCATTGCCTTGAACTCTTCGAAAGTTCCTGCGGGACTTGCATGCTTCGCAGATGTCGGACTTGGAATTATGTCTGTTCCTTCATCCGCCTTGGATGCTTCTGGTTCGGGCTCATCTCTAGGCTTAACATCAACCAACATATAATGAATCATAAACAGAGCGGAGACGCATATAAAGACAAATTTCCATGGTAAGCCATGCGTTCCCGATAAGAAATTGAAGAGCATCTTCAAGAGATGGTGAAGCCAAGTGGTGATTTTCTGCAGATTGAAAACTTGAAATGGTTTATCTGGTCCCTATCCCTAAATTTTTTGCTTTTCTGCTGTTGTCTCAGCTTGTAATGCAGGGGAGACTTTTGAGGAATTGAGGTGGCGTTTTATTTTTTGATTCATCAGGTTTCCTAGAATAGCCCCTCGCTTGAGAGTTGCTTTTTCTTCCAGCTTTGGAATTGATTCTTACCATTAATTTTTTAAATTTTGTTCAGAAATGTTACTTAAGCTTTCTTTCTCACTTTGAGGGGACTCGAGGCGTTGATGGATTTGATATCTGCGACTTGACTGTAATTGTCATTATGCCAGACGCTACAGTTTTGCATCACAACATGTAAGATCGTACGTTCGAATTTATGTTTTAACGAACCGCTGGTACCTCTTCGCGTCGTAATTCTGCATCAGGATCAAATATATTCGACCTAGAAATTTAGCACTCACTCCTCTTAGTGCGATAAAGTTTGGTACATTTCATTAAAGTCTAACATTGGATCAATTCCGCAAAATCTTAACTTATACTCAAACCACAATAATTTCTCACCTTATCGGTACCTCATCATAATCGCTTCCTGATCCATTGTATTAAACATTGGGGTGGTGTTTGCGAGGTCGAATCGAACTGGATGTTTAGTATAAGTATATACGGCTACGGCTACGGCTACGACTTTGGCTTAGTGGTATCCGGCATGCATGGGTGAAATGGGAATTCTCTGTTTAGAGGATACGCCGAGACAGAGTAAAGAGTAAAGGGTATGAGGATGTGAGGGAAGGAAGTGCTGCTGGGGAATGGTTTGAGGTGGTGAGGAGGTGAGGAGGTGTGGGAGGAATTTCTTTTGAGAGGGCTTGCGAGGGGGAAGACGAGGGTTAGGGTGGGATTATGTTGAAAACCTTGCAATAGCAGGGAATATTTGGATTGAAGAGTATAAATGCACCGACGATTTCAATTTGGTTAGTGAGAGAGCTCTTGATGAATTTAGATATTGTAAGATTATGTGAATGTCTGGTTTCTTTCGTGTTGGAGGTAGATTTTGATTTGATTAAGGAGGTTTGTATGTACCCTAGTGTACAGATCGTGGTTTAATTATCTCCGAAGAATTTGAGCATTGGGAATCGAGTGTTCGAGAGCGGGCGAGCAGGTATACCCACTCCCCTCAACTTTACTCTCTTTATGGAGTAAGAGAGTGCTTACGCGCATCAAGATACGTAACGTGGCTAATTCACATAACACAAACGGGTCGTGAGTTCTTCAAGAAAGAACTTCGAAGCGCACGTAACAACATCACCGGTTTATATGTTTTTGTATGAATCCTTATAATTAGGCATAGGAATTTTCTCTACTTCAATCATTTTATCCTAATTCGCAAATTTTTAAATTCTTTAAATTATTAACGAGTTTTAACTTTATCCTGTGTGTATTCTCTCTATCATTTACTTGATTTCCTTCCTATATTATGCTCATGGCTGACAAGAGGTACTTGTATTCGTCCTTCTGATATCAGTAATCGTTCTTCGCATCATCCGAAAGACAGCCAGTTTCATCATATACCCAGAGAGACCGTATACCATATAGACATGGAAGTATGAGAACCCGGCATCTTTGGATTGAGGTGTGGTCGGGTTGAGTGCAGGACATTTGGCTGGGCTTTGTTCATGCTCACTTATGCTTTTGAGATAGGTCGTCTGTTAAGAATGGAGGTAGAGAATTGCCGGCGTGAGACTCGTGCATTCGGGAAGCATTATTGAGGCGTGTCGAGTAGAGGGTGGTGAGATTTATGGAAACTTAGATAAGAATCGGAATCGGAATCGGAACCGGAACCGGAACTAAGTTTTAACCTTCAAAATTTTGGTATGTTGCTCCGGCGTCTTCGAAGGCTCCTTTTGACTGGCGCTTAATTAGCTTCTAGAGAAAGATGATGTCTTGCAAGCGGCGGCCGGTTGTGTGTTGCCAGATTTCGCACATGTGACTCGGCCTATGAGAAAGCATATAACGAATCTTTCACATTATGTAGCTCTTTTGCGCGGCTTTCTTGGATTGTGATGATCGATATGTGGGCGATGTTAGAGATTTCTGCATATAACAAAAACATGCCTGACCCCCTTAACAACATACAACAGATATCAACTCATGTCAGTTGTGCGGGTCAAATTGCGTTTAAGAGATAGATGAAGAGTCCGCCAACATAAACCGCAAGTTCTCGCATACGAATATTGGAGTAATAGAATCCCATTGGGGAGTTTCCGGCCGTCGCGGGGACTGCGTTTTAATCTTTGCGAGTTTTCGAGCTGTATTTTTGGAGGATAGAGTTGGACGTCAGTTTAGTTGTAATGAGGTTGGGAATTTAGGTGCAGTGAGATAAGATAATATCTTCAGATTTGGAAAATCAAATTATGGATGGGTTTCCCGTCGATTGTTTTAACCCCACGATTATGGCTAGGATGTGGAATATTTTTGGCATTTTGTTCTTGAATTTGCATTGATGTTGTGTTTCCAGTTTTGGGAACGAGGAAGGGAACGAGGAAGTTGCGGCATGAGTGGTAAGCTAGGCGAGGACAGTAAAGTAGTGCGTAATGGGAGTGAAGTGAAGCTTTAACACCATATCCACGATCATGTACTTCTGGATTCGAAATAGTCTGGGCCTAACCTTTCCCTCGTGAAAGTTTCGAGCGCAGCGCAATTCAAAATGGCATTGAAAGGTACTACCGAGCACTCTATCGTGTCAATTTGTAGGTCCAGTAAGTAGTGTCCTTATGCATTATATATCTTCCCTGGACAAATGGGTATCAACGCTTCGCAACAATTATATTCCAAGATTTTCTCTTTCAGCTTTTGACTCAACGTCGACTTTGTTCAGAATTCAAATATATGCCGTGACCACCAGCCTCAAAGATCAAGGTTACAGAGCAAGCCCAATCTGACTTTCGCTCACATACCTAAACTCGAGCTCTATAATTCTTCTTTCCTCGGCCGCCTTTACACTTTCCCTCCTCTCACAGCCAGCCTCAATGGCCCATCCGTATCCGTGTTCTCCGAAATTCCAACGCAATGTATATACACTCGTCCATTATCCAAACCTTCATTATTCTCTTCCCCACTTTTTCTCAACAGCGCACTCCATCCCCTTACTCCCGTCGCAACACAAGATACTCCAAAAGCAGTCCATATCAATACTAACAATCCAGTTCCACGATGCCCTGCAATCCCAGCATCGTTACCATACTGATTTATAGTCGTAACGGCTTGGTGTTGCAGTGTCGTTGTTATGCTATTTCCAATTAAGAGAAAAATGGTCGTTAGCTGTTGTCTTGGTTAGTGTTCGTTTCGTGGCACAAGAATGCGGTGCAACGTGGATTCTGGCTCAAGATTGGTGGCTCAAGCGATGGGAAAGGAGAAGGCAAAATAATTACATACGATAGAGAAAATTCCTAGAATACAAACAACCTCCATGCCCAGAAATGATATAAAAGCTAAGGTTACCACAATAACCTCTAAGCATATTGTAGTGGCATAGATTATGAGTGCGGCATGTAGCTCTGCATGATATGATTTTTTAAACTCATTCTGAATTTCGCCGAGTTGATGCGCAAAGTTATTAGCCGGAAGTTGTAGTTGCACTGAAGAGTTAGGATTGAAGAGCTGGAAATGGATAATATTGGCGGGAAGAAACTTGACTTAATGATATTAGTGATCTTATTTAATTCTTAAAACGTGTCTTTAAATGAAACATACCATTAAATGAAGGTGCTGAGCAGCTCACGTTCTTTACCTGAGGGCTTATGTTACGCGTGGATACGTAATTTCCTTCACAATGAGTTTGAAAATATAGATTTAACACGTCGGTAATAGGTATTTTGTAGTTGCTGCTTTGAAAGATATCGTCTTTCAATTGGGTGGTATCAAGGGAGATGATAGGAAGGTCGAGTAAAAAGATTGCCTGTTGACCTACGTTGATGAATATCACCGTTAGTAAAAATATGAAGATTGTTAGTGCTGCTGATAAAACGATATGTTTTGAAGCCATATTGATGCTCCTGATATCTAGAATAATTGGAGACAAAAGGTGTTGTGTATTGATAGGCAGACAATACTGTATATTGAGGAGTCGAAGAATGAAAGGAGATGGAAGTAGATAACTGCTCTTTTTCATGATTCAGTAATTCTGTTGAGTGCCAATGGAGCATTATAGTCACGAGTACTGACAGCACCCGTCTTTAACTAGAATATATAGAAAGCGGGAATTATTCACCATCGGAGGTAAAATTTGAGCAAAGACTGGTTGTATATCGAGGCAGTATGAGAGCAACTCTTATACCGATGGAAGCAGCCATAAAAGTAATAGATAATACAATATTACTTCTGCATCTTTCACAGTAAAAGCCAATATAATATGCACCTGTGAAATGATCTACTCTTTTAGCAGATAACGTATGCTTCACTCAACGCGTCTCAAATCCCGTAGCCTGCCTTTAATATGCAGTTGGGTGCAAGTTTATACAAAAAGACGAGAATTTGTGTTTCCAAGTTGGGATTTGGTAAACCCATCTCCTAAATAATGGGATAGCAACGTGATGTCTTAAAGGAGACCTCTCCTGGCGGACTAAGAGGAGCGCCACGAGGACTAATAGCGTATTGAAGGCCCGGGAGCAGTGATTATGGCAACCAAATAAACCGGAAAGCATGATTGAGGTCATGGTATCAGAATTTTATAGCGGTAGCTAACGGGTAGAAAACGCAAAAGAATCATGCCTTGATAACCAGAGAGTATCTTCGCTTTCGAAGATATGGCTAAGGATAGGCTAAGTTTACCCTATTAGAGAATTGTCCCTTGTTTGCGAGTAAACCCTCAAGCAAGGAAGACGCCGCTGGTTGCTGATTTGAAGCTTACTTTACCAGGGATACTCCGAGGTGATATCTCTTGAATCAAGGCCCTGCCGCTGTGATGGTGGGGTCTGATATATATATGTGTAAGCAACACTAAGGTTACAGTAAAACCTGACTATATCGGACCAAAATATTTGATCAATCAAATCCGATATAAAAATAATTTCGATATGGATAAATATATATAAAAATCCGATATCCTTTTAAAAACATACTGTACCCGTATAACCAGTATTCCGGTAAACCCACTCCGGTAAACCCACTCCGGTATACTCAGTTCCTACCGTATATCCGACTCCGATGTCCGACTCGACTGCGGAATAATAGCCGACCTCCACTCTTGATGTACGCTATATCATCTTACGATATATAGGTCGGAAAGGGACTGAAATGTGTAAAAGTTAATCAAACCTTCTCACCTCGAACATCAATTGAAAATTCTGTTGGTCATCATGGTTCTCAAAGTTGAGGTTTGTAACGATGATGATATGCATCGGGTATTCGAGATATTTTGCCAGGCATTTGGTGCCAAACATCCCATGATTGAGGCTGTTTATCCAAATCATGATACTCCAGCTGGCCGGCTCGCTGGGGCAAACCGAATGTTGGAAACTAAGAATAAAGACCCTCACACAACATTTCTTAAAGTTGTGGATACGGACACGGGCGTCATGATTGCCAAAGCCAAATGGAATATTTGGAAGGGTGTCATCCCACCGGAAAAAGCTCTGGATGGTGATTACTGGGAGACTGAAGAGGAGAAGGAATGGGCTCAACATATGATTCGAGATTTTTTGATTAAACGTCAAACAGCCATCAAAGAATCTGGAGGCCATTTAGTTTGTAAGACTATCTATTGAGTTGTTGCTTGAGTTTTGCTGACCTATGATTAAAGCTTTGGATATCCTTGCTGTCGATCCCGCTTATCAGCGTCGAGGAGCAGGTCGACTTTTGGTGAAATGGGGAACTGCAATCGCCGATGAGCTTGGATACGTGGTATGTACAATCTGACGACGAGCTACCACCTGAACCCGTACTTTCATGGGCAAACTGAACTGACATGAATGCAATTTAGGCTATAGTTGAAGCTTCTGAGGCCGGTCGGCCACTCTATGAATCCGAGGGCTTTGAATATGTCGAGCACTGTACAACGAATATACCAGAAAAATGGGCCGGCCGAAAAGGAGAAGGATTTTTATGGATGGTGAGGCCAGCGAAGAAGTTGTTGAATTGAGCACATTCGACGACAAGTCTTCAGATCTCGTCTGAGCTCTCAATGAATCGAATATGTATTAGAATGTAATCCATCAGAACCTCATCGAAGTCTTGCGCTGCAGGTTTTAATGGAATCTAAAAATATAATAAGACAGGCTTGTCTAGAACGCAGAGTATTTGTGTGAAATAGAACTGTGGCGAGTGGTAGGCCCACGTGTTACAAGTTTCTGATCACCAGCCACTTTATCCAGAAGCAATATGTTTAAGGACCTGTTGAGCGAATCATTTCACCAAAAGAAGCCATCATATTCTATTCGATCTCAAATAGGAAATCCTTTTTTACGTCGTTGTAGGGATCAGAGGACCATTCCTGCCATATCATAAAATAAATAAAAAATTCTCCGCTTATCTTCTAAAAAGGGATATTTCGACGCGCATCACCTTGTGTTATTCCAACATACATCAACCACTGCCCGAATCCAACAGTAGTAGAAAAATCATGTATCAAAACAGATAAAGAGAGCACTTATCCCGGCTACTAATGCCGCAATCAGTAGTTCTCCTCTACTCTCATAACCCGAACAGTAATCCTACTGTATGCTCCCTCATCATTTATCAGCCTTGTGAATATACAGAAGCCATGATTATATATCCAGTACCCCGTATAAGCCTAAAAGGAAATCGAGAGAAAACACACCCTGAGATTGCAGAGTTACCTCAAGGTGGACATTATGATATGACAGAATGAATGGCGCAGGATTCTTGTGTGGTGGGGGGTGGGGGGGCAGGTGGGAATGGAAATGGGGTATTGTTATGAGAGAACAAGACAAAAGATCCGCTTGTACAGCTGGAAGAGACGGCGACGATGGCATCGATAAGTATAAAATGGTATGATACAAGCCCGGAGATCCGAAGGTTGCATGGGACGGAAAGGGAGGAGAGGAGAGGGGAAAGAAGTATGTAGATCTTGCTTTATTGATTTTGAAAAGGATGGAATAAGTTCCAGCGCGGTAGGTGAAATTATATGGAAACGGGCCTGGGAAGCCAGACTATATGAATTTGCGTGTAGTTGGATGGATGAACATACACAATATGGAATGTGACAAGGCTTATCACCTAAACTATCCCAAGAAATAATCACTTCAAACAAATTGCAAAATATCAAGGTCTTGTACTCGTAGTTAAGTTATAAAATCTACGAGATAGTTTCAGCACAACAGAGAAGAATGAGAATAAACCAAACAAACGATATAATCTTAAAAATGAATTAATACTTCTACTCTAGTATCCACAATATATGTACGTTGCTCATGTAATCTTTATGTTCGCATCTCCGTTGAGAGTCTACCATCCTCTCTCTCTCGCTGTCCATATTTCCTCTATACGCCTACCTACACCCGCTAACGCCTTTACCACCCAATGATTTGATTACCCTGAACCAGAATGCCAAAAGCATCTATAATACGACTCTTTCCCAACAGAAAACACACCAAAATAAAAGAATTTGTAATAATATAACACACGAGGCCAAAACAAGAAGTCTCCCAAACAACCTCTTTATCATCGTCCAGCTTCTAGATCATCACTACTTCCACTTTCTTCATCACTTTCCTCCTCTTCACTCCAATCCTCACTCTCTAAATCTTTTCCTCTAATTCCCCAACTAAAAACAAATCCTACCAAAGCGATCCCACCAAAAATGCCCCAGGTGAGAAATCCTCCATTATGAATTCTTGTTCCCAAGGTAAATAATCCTCCACTCAAGAAAGGACCTGCTGCTCTTCCCGCCGCGCTCAAAGTCTGTGCCAATCCATTCAATGTGCCCAGTACACCATGGTTAGGCGCAGAATTTGTAATAAGTAATAAGGCACTTGTTAATCCTCCCACGGCAGCCACAGTCTTCAATAGCAAGACAAAACCAAGTTCGATCCATAACCATAATTTACCATTCCCAATACCCAAAAATGCTGGGGAATCTTTATATCCCACCCAAGGCATGAGCATCATGGAAACGAAAAAAAGTAAAAGACCTGCTCTATAAGTTGCTTTATTTCCCATCTTTTCTTTGAGTTTACCGAATATGCCGACTTGGAAAACAATTGTAACTATTCCTGCAAAGGAGAGAGAAAGACCTATCTCAGAAGGAGAGAGCGCTCGTCCAGTACGCTCAGGTGCTGATGCGAAGATGGGGTAGAGAGAGTTGAAGGAAATGTTGGAAAGTTGAAAGATGAGATATGTACCGAGAAGTAGTACGGTATCACGATTGAGAACTTCCTTGTAGCTCAAATGAGCGTCGTTGGATGAGTGAAAGAAGTCGCCCATTGAAAGGAGTGATGAAGCTTCGGAGTCTTCTTCGTCCGAAGCATCAGAGTCATGAAGCAATGCGCGTTGAGAAGGGCTTCGTGTATAGGTTGGATGGCGAGCTCCTCCTGCAAATTGCCAGATCCAGGTGAAAAGACTTTTCATTCGGTGCTTCAAGGGTGGAAGATTTTTTGCTTCCTCTAGACTTTCTTCCAGGAAACAACCCGTCATCACTAAGTCGAGCAATAATATGGATGCCGCAAACAAATTCGGCAGTAAATATGGATAAGGGTTTGGATGCCCTCTGTCGAATGGATTCTCTTCGAAAATCAACAATCCACCCAAAGCCGGTCCGGTTATGCCTCCAATTCCATAAATGACAGGCAGATAGACAAATGCCCTACTCTGATTGCTGCGATCCGTGATCTCTCCCAAACATGTACTAATCACACCTTGATTCCCATTGACCATACCCATAAGCGCTTGTATCAAAACAGCTTGCCATAAAGTCCTACAGAATCCAAAAGCAATAAAACAAGCTGATGTCAAAAGAGTTCCAAGCATTACTACTGGCTTCCTCCCTATCCTATCAGATAACCATCCCCAGAAAAAATTCGTTGTAAATTGCGCGAGAGCAAAAGCTGACGCTATAGTTCCCACATATAATCCTATTTGACTCGGATCGACTTCTGGAAATTTGGAGGTCATTTGGGGAAGGTATGGAGATATCGAATTCAATGCGGTTTGTTCGGCCAGTGCGATGATTGCTAATATGGCAAGTTGTTTCTTTGGCAGAGGAGATTGATGATGTTCTTCTTCGGTCTCTTCTTCATTCGAATTCGGATTCGCAGATCCATTCCCACCAAATGAAGATGTTGATGTCATTGGAGGTCTGCCGCGAGACTTGGGTGGTGGAGTAGGGAAGGTATGGTAGTGAGGAGTAGAGGACTTTCGACGCTCCATCCCGCTAGGAAATCGTGCTCGTTTCATGGCGATTGATGTCTCAAAATGATTATCGTGTTGGCGTATTCGATTATTATACAAAATCTGGGTTGTCTCTTATGAGTTTTGTTGGACGAAAGGTCTTGTGGAAGGTCGTGTGTTAAGAATAGTTATGAACCAAGCTCTGGGAAGATCTGGATCTTGAGGATAGGAGCCACTGTGAGCTTACTATTACGTCTCGAATGAGGAAACTGAATAAGTAGAATTGAATATTTTAAATGTCTATTATTGAATCATAATTATCGTTATCGTCTTCAGTTAAACAAATGAATGAATGACTCTTTATTTTGGCATTATTTATCTTACAGCAGATATGAAAAGGAAGCAAATTTTATCATTAGAAAGCCGCGGGAGCTCTAGCCCGCAATACATCATCAAGTTTTGCTCTGTTCTTTCCAAGTTCTCGCCCCTACTCGCTTCCACCAATTAAACTCTTACATTAATGTCAGCCACTCTAGCCACTCCAGCCACTCCAGCCACTCCAGCCACAGACTTCAGCTCTCCACGAAAGAAAGACAAGCCGAAGTTTGCGCGGGAGAAGAAATGGGAATGAAAGCTCCAGATTACGCGTTGGGACCCGGAGACCCAACGACTTGCCTTTTCTGGCCGATCGGCAAGTGACAAGTGACAAGGACGTCAGCGGAAATCATCACGAGTCTGAATGACGTTGTCTATTGCTGTCGAGACATTCTCATTGCAGTCGTCAATTCAATGTTTCTACATGTTTTTTTTTCTTCTATCTATCTATCCATACTAGTAACGTTGTGGTGCTACACAGCATCATATACATCTATACCATCTGTACTAATTTCGACGCCAGAGCCGGGATCTGAAGAATCTAAATCGCTAAAACGGACTCTGGAATAGAAACGACTTTCAATGAAAGGACGAGCAATGCAATCGGCCCCTAGATCAATAAGATCCATAATGACAGTACAGATGGACCGTGAATACTATCGAAACCTCCAAGGCCATTACCGGACTCCATGCAAAAGGAAGGATGTCTCGCGTCGGTATAATGCTGGCGTGTTGATAATTACCTACGATGAATGCACTATCATCAGCACTGGAGCGGCTGCGGCGAAGATAATAGATGTGCGAGATTGATCAAGACCATGATGATGCCGAAGCCGAGATTAAGGGAAAGTCGAGAACCAAAAGCCGAGAACCCAGCAAGGGGTGAGTAAATGAGTGCTTTTGCTGATGCACTGAGAAGGGATCAAGACCTAATGCGAAATAAGCCAGCCTTCGATGCCCAAAGGAATGCTTGGTGGCTTGGTTAAATGGTGAAGGGGGCCTTGGGATCCAAATGCTGAGAATGTGTGTTAATTATATCATGATTGAAGAGATGGTTTTGGGATATTGCTGAAGGAAGCTGAGACCAGAATGCCAAGAACGTCAGTTAACAATCGAACATGTCACATGTGTGTTGTGGAGGTGCTGAGTGTGGTAGCCAAGAGTGATAGTGAGTCTAAAGGCGGTGAAAATAAGTATTAAGCGATTACGTGGAAGAGTTCTCAAGGTCGAGTCGACATTGAAGCCAAAAAGGAGTGAAGCTGAGACGGAAACTGAGAATGTGGTCGGCAACAAAAGTCAGACTGTACCTAGGGTTATTGCACGTCTCAAAAGGTTCGTATAAGCAATTGTGGATGATAACAGTATGTGCTTTGAAACGTAGTTGGATATATCTCGACAACTGTCGTATTATCCCCGGCGGTGCACATTGTGTTTTTATCATCTTCCAAATATCTGCAGGCTTCATCACAAGGGAACGTCTCGCAGCCAGCCTTCCTACCCCTTCCTCAAGTAAGGATACACAACCTGTAAACCACTGTTAAGGTATAATATATGAGTTGCGTACGATGATCTTTTGCCTTTGGGACCGATGACGAAGACATTGAAGTTACCTCCCTATCCGGACGGAACTTCGAGCATCCGACCTAGTCTGATCGATCCAATTTGGGTGTTGCGATTCAACATACTTGTATTTTGTCCATTGCTCCGAGATTTCTAACCTGAAACGGGTTTCCGAAGCATTGTTGCTGAGATTCTTGACTATGAACCTGTTGAAGGCACTTTGGCCTCTGGAAGAAAGGCATAGGATAATCAATAATTAGATGTTTTACACGAAATAGTCGGACTTAAGTCTATTGGGGAGGTTACATCATCGGTCTGAGATTATATAGATCCCAGCAAGCTAAATGAAAATTCAAATAGAATGAACTGAACTGAGTAATAATATCATACAACCCAAGTACCATACAATATATCTTACAAGATTCAAGATTTTCAGGATTTGTCAAATCATATAATAAATTTATTCAATCCAAAAAATCCGGGTTGCAATCGAAGCCTTCTTTATTATTGGATTATCTGATCCAGATTTTTATATTGGAAGTCCCGCGGCAGTCCATCTATTTCAGTAAAATCACAGACTAACCGTCGAGACGGTCATCCCGTCGGAGTACGGCAAGACTGCTCGACACACTGGAGGAGCACCAAATACTGAATTCACAGCAAGGGTTCCGAGGTCAAGCTAACCATATAAGAACCTCATGGTTTGGGAGATTGGAAAAAGATTGAAAGTGGAAAGAGTCATGGATTCCGAATGGATGTTGAAATGAATGAAGGACACATTGGGTTGTATGATATCCTCAGTTTCAAGTAGTGCTTTACTAGACCCAATGACATCATCAGAAAACTAGCAAATCGTCTTGCGCTAGGAAATCCTTCCGAGTTAGATAGGAAATTCTTCAGGGCTAGAGCTGAATCGGATCAAACAGAAAGTCAAATCGAGTCAATGGAAGAGGGGGCAAGAGCTATTATTCAATCATTTACACGAAAAAAGTTGAGATTAATATTTATTGATACTATCACTAAACCACCATGCCTCAATAGGCATCAAATCCTATTCTAGTCATTTATTCATACTCTCGAAATTCAGTCCTACTGCACTCACTCACTTTACCTACTTCTTTAATTTGATCTTACCGGTACGGAGATCTGCCAGCATTTCCATCGTTAACAGAGTTCAGATGGCGAAAGAATTATTCTTGTAGATATCAAAAAGGTTGTCTTATTATTGAGCCACGATTTTCGGTTATATAGAACGGCAATCGTACTTGTCATGTTGAGCTTAACAACGGATCTAATTTAGAGTTTAAACGGTGTAGGGTGGCACAAAGACTAAAGACTGCCCTATTATGTTGGTATAGATGCCATGTGTGAATATTATTTCAGAAATATGATGGGATCTTTAGAGTTTTAATCGGGAAATGTTGATTTTTGCTAGCAAGGAAAATGTACCCTTGATATCTGGATGTCCCTGTTTTGCGAGGCAAAGGCTGAGTTCATCTCACTTTATCTCACATTAATGTAATTTTCAGTTTGTAATATATGTGTGTTATCAAATTTCTCTAGATGATGTGCATCTCTGACAGGCAGCACATGTGATAACTACAATACCCCGCCCTTTTGCTGATGTGAATTTTTAAAGAAAGGAATATCTAAAAATATTCCTAATTCTAAATCCAACGCAAAAAAAAAACCCCAAGAACTAAGACCACAACCAAATTTCTGGCAAATTAGACCTGATTTCAGGGTATATCCCCGAGCTTCAATAACCCCAGACTTATACCACTAGAAGAACCGTCCGAAACGGCAGTGTACTTGGACGATGTACCGAAGCCGACAGCTTGACTAGCCGAGACTGAAGGCAAGCCGAGACGAAAACGCCCGCGAATGCTATCATGTGCTCGCTGAAGAGCTAAGCATTGGTCAGTAAGTAAGCAAATATATAGCAGACCTGATAGGAAACTTACGTCTAGTTAATTGGAATAGACCTCGCAGAGGAAATCAGTTGATCTGCTGTGTCTGGTGTGCTCGTCATCGGGATTAAGATAGGCGTTGTCGCAAGGGAACACATCGCAGCCAGGTTTAAGCCACTTGGTGAGGCTTACTCCAAGGGGAGAGAGGAAGTGAATACCAGAGTTGTCGGTATGGTTATCAACGGCGCTGACATCGTAGAAAGTAGGATTGCCAGGCGTGAAGTTAATCTCGGCAAGAACCCTATGGACAGGGACAACGGAATCATGCTTCTTGGCCATGATGGTACCGATCCAGGCCGCGGGGAAGTCAACTCTGATCGTTGTTCCTTTGGGGAAGTCGATGTCGCTCAAATAGTCAAATTCTGGATTGTTGGTGAAGGACAAGGTCCTTGCCTCATTATCGTAGGAGGCGAAAGTGATGGAGTTGTGCGCAAGGGCCGCAGTTGCACTGAGGACGGCGCCAACGCTCTTTAAGACGGAGGAGGGTCGCATGTTTCAGGTTAGAGAGTAACTTTGATTCTGGAGTGCAATGAAGGTTAGGTATTGATTGTATAGATGTGACGAGAAGGGATGAGGATAAGGATGGGATGGGATAAGGATAAGATGGGATAAGGTTTTGAGGAGTGGTGTAAAAGGTGTAAAAGGTGCAAAGGTGAAGCTACTGGAAATGTAAGATGCAGATCTGTGTTGAGGAACGGGAGCGGAAGGAGAGACTAAGGATATGGACTAGGATTTTGTATGCATGAATGACATTGCATTGGAAGTGATGGAGGCTACACACCGAAAGTGTAATTAGGATACGAGGTAGAAGACAGAAATGGAAGTGGAAGAAGTTAGGGAAAGAGAGGATTGAGGGGAGCTTTATATACGGTACTACCCTTAAAATCACGGCTGTGACCGAATAAGCTAGGAGCTAAATTTTTAGAACTACAATCAAGCCTCCAGTGACATTAGGAACTACCAGGAGATACTATTTCATTTATGCTACGATCGGCGATGTAGTCAATGAGAAAGATGAGCTTGGGAAGTTGAGTAAAATAAACGGACAGAACTATACGTGGAGTTCATGAGAGTCTATGACGCCCACCTGACGTAGGAGGGAAATGAAGTGACTTTTAGTCTTGTAAACTTCAAGTGTCTGGAACTCATTAATTCTAGTTCAAGAATCAGCAGATAGCGGACTTCATCAGCATCGTCAGCATCAACCATTCCAAAACTTCGTCTACATATTTGCCTGAATCTAGACCTCTGAATTTTGCGTGATTTTAAAAGTTCGAAGCTTATTAACTTCGTGATGACGAGTTTGCTATAGCTGCCCAGAACTGACCGGCAGCCCTACAATCAATAGCAGATTTTCAAAACTTTGGCAGAGTCAAAATACTGCCGAAATGCCGATCACAAGTTAATGCTACTACCACGACGATAGTTAGGAGTGATAATTGGAAGCGAGATTGGCTGTCCATCCTGCCATTGACTCTACTGATGACTTGCTAATCCCTTCTGGCTCAGTTTGAAGAGGCGAATGAGGACATGTAGTGGAGAACGTGGCGCCCGGTGTCAGTATCAATGGTCACTGAACATACCACTCGACACGAACTTTCCTGAAAGTTCAAATGTTCGATGCGCTATCAAAGTAATATTGATGTGACGTTCAACATTTTCAAATTGATCGACAACCTTAGTTGAGCCTCAACATGAAACGGTTATCGTTACGACAATCGTAACCTAATTGAGTTAGGTTCTGGTAGTCGCTTCCTTTAAAGGCCAATTACTTTGTAGTTTAGAAAGCATTCCCCGAATCAGTCTCCACGCCGTTTTCGACCGATGTTATTCTCGACTTAATCATGTCGTCCATAGGCCATTAAACTAGTGACTAAATCGCATCATCGAGAATAATATTTCGAAGTTCTAGATTAAATATTAAACTCTAAGTCTAGTACCCTACTTTCGGACCAGCCACCCTTCGGACCACCCTTTTATATCAAAAATAACAATTTTCATTTATTAATAATTCATTATATAATTATCAATAAATCTCAATTTCCGAGAGGTCGATGGTTGTGCGAAGACTTTACGAAGCGTTCACGAGAGTTCTACGAAAGGTTTACGCATTTGAGAAATTGGAGATTACAAGAAGGCTCTACGAATATTCGACCCCGAAAGCTTTCGAAGACGAAAGCTCTGAAAGGGGAGGCTCTGTTACGGTTTCCAAACACGGAGAGTCGGTTAGCCGAAAAGGGGCCGATATCTACACTAATTTGAAGAGTTTTCACCTATAAATAAGGGTTCTGGAATAGAATTAGAAATGGTTTTGGTCCTTTTTGATTATTATTCGAATGCAACCGATTCTTTGCTCTTTCGGTATCTCAACTAATAAAGTTGTGAAATCTGAAATTCTTGAAAATCATTATTTTTGATATAAAAAGGTGGTCCGAAAGGTGGTTGGTCCGAAAGTAGGGTACTAGACTTAATTGTTCGTTAAGTACGGAGGACGGCTCGAAAAGTAATGTGACAATAGGGCCTTACAGGGTGTTAGCACTATAACACGCTGTAACTCGACCTCCAGCCCTGAAAATTAGTGGCCAATTAGGCTTTAAAAGAATTGTTCTAGCCCTGTAGATTTGTTCGATTAGGATTAGGATCCAAAAAAATATTATATACTAATTCTTATAGGTTCGCTAAACGTTAGTTAGCGCTAGTTCGGTGGTCCGGGTGTAAAAGTACAGGCCTTTTATAGTACTAACACCCCATAAGGCCCTACAGTCGCATTAGTTGTCGAGGTGAAAACGTTTCACAGAGGCATCTAGATGCGTCGATGGCCGGGTCGATCAACATCATAAATCGCGCAGCATCTTAAGTCGCGCAAGGAAAATTCAGTCTGGCGATGTATCTAGCGATAGCGAGGGGGCGAAAATTGTTTTGGTGGTCAGGGGGGCTGGTAATCTCGATTGCAATAGCTTGAATTGTGGAGGATATATAACACCCCCCTGGACCTATCTGGTTAACCCTCGCATGCGGAAATTATTGCGGTCAAAATTACAGTCTTAATGCAATCCCAGATGTATTTATAATGCTCCCTCGAGTTATTTATGCATGTGAATTCTATTTTCATCAGTCGACTCTAACTTATTTCGGGATGGAGCAAATGGAGGAATTCCACCCCAAGGCACCTCGTGTCACGGATCTCGTATAAGGACGATCACGTGATTCCAATTGATCGACAATTCCTGTGCACTTGCGTTTCGATTTACCCTTTTAGTATGGGATTATGGTCACCTTAATAACCGATGTGCACAACCGTGCAGCTACCGTATAGGTATTTTGTATATATATATGAATGCTCCCTACGAGCCGTAGCTTTTCAATTGTAGATTCTAAGGAATATAATTGACCCTGTTTATTCAGCTCTTATGAGCTCCTGTACGCCACACCTCGATCCGACAACGATGCACCCTGACCTTTCCTCGGCACAAATACAATTGTGCTCTCTACCACTTAGTGATTGGTAATGTAGTGGAACTAGAATCAAATCTAATCCAAATTTAGTACATTCGTGGTAGGGTTGGGCTTTTAAAGTTATATAATTCATAATATAAAACAAAATTTTGACTTTATTATTATAATCTAGTTCATATTGTAAAAGTGGTAGGTCGAGATATATACATCTCGATAATATATTGTGAAGAGGGAATTGGAAGAGAAAATTGAATTAGATTATATTGTAATATATTATTTATAGGTAAAACGGGATTTATAATAGTTTTGAGGTTGATATTATATAGATTCAAATATATATATATAAAAGATTAATTGTTATAAAAAAAAGAGACAAAAAGTTTTTCTTTTATATCTAATTATAAAAGATTATATAATTGATTAATTAAAACTTTTATATATTTGGTTTATAATTCCAATTTTCTTATATCTTTTTTTTTTAAAAAATGTATATCTTTTTTTATTTATCAAAAAAAATAATTGTTTAGAATATAGAATATACAAAATATTGTTGTTAATAGTTTTTTAGAATAAATATAAAAATTGAATAATGAAAAAGGAGATTTACTAAATTTGAAGATAATTCTTTATTTTTTAATAAATGATTCAATAGAAACTTTGCTTTTATTAATATTCTTATTAATTTTCGAATATTTGAGTTTTGATTTTGAAGATATATTTAAAAAGAGAAAAGGTTTGTTAAATCCCAAATAAAAATATTTGGAGATTTGGAAAAGCAAAAACAACTTTTTTCTCGATTTTGAAGATGATATAGAGGAAGCTAAACTTTATTATTTTTGAATGAAGAGAAGAAATAATTTGTAACAATCTGGTCGAGGCAGCGGTTGCCTCAGGTTTTTGTATGGTTGGTAATTATAGGTTAAGGTTAATAATCATTGATTATCTATTTGAAGATGAATATATTACTAGATTAATTGGAATGTAGATAAATTAATTGATAATTAAGTTGAGTATAAAGCTTCTAAATTATAAAACTATTCTGATTATATACTAATCCATTTTGAAAGCCTTCAGGAGTCTACACTTTTAAGAGCTTCAAGGAGTTTATAAGAACCTATGCTTCTGGAGGTTTTATCATATAACTAGGATCAGACTATATATTTGAATTTGCTGAAGATGAGGAGATTATACAAAATAATTGCTATACAAATTTGTATATAAATTGCTTTGTTTTTCAACAAGGTCAAAGTTTATAAAGATAGATTGATTATTATCTTATAATATTCTATAAAATGATTTTGTAATACTATTTCTTTCTTAATCAAATATTGTTCTTAATCGCTTATAATTAATATATAATCTATTAATTTTTCGTTGTTTTATATTTTGATTCTTTTCTTTATTATAAATGATTTATAATCTAACAAAATTCGTCGAAAGAATAAAGAGAAGTTCTATTTTATAATTGAAATCGAGAATTCTGATATCAAAATGATTCTGTATATTCATTATCATACAAAGAGTTTTCGTTATATAAAAATTCTGAATAATTCGCAAAAGACTTGTTATTCTGAATATATACAATCTCGTATTTCTTATAATATAAAATAATATTTGAAAGATAATTAGAATAAGAAAGTTTTTCGAATAAATGATTAGGAATCCTTAAATAAACAAAAGAAAAAACTTTATAAAAAAGAAAAAGAAGTTATAATTAAAATTCTCTATTTCCAAAAACAACAAGATTACTTATAAGATCGTTATAAAAAGATAATTAAGCGAGATCTTAAATATCTTAATAAATTGAATACTTTGGAAAAGAAGAAAAGAAAAGAAAAAGAAGAAATTGTTATATCCTTGGCATCCATTATTAATTCCGATTTTTCTGATCAATTTGATCAATTTGATCAATTTGGTCAATTTGATCATTTTGGTCAATTAATCCCTAATCAATTTAATCAATTACTAATTGATTCTATTAACCTCAATGAAATTCCTACAAACAAATTCGATTCTTTTGATTTTTTTTTGTAGAAAACGATGAATTCTTCTTTTTTTTGAGTAAATCTAGATTCTATTGATGAAATTTCTAATACTTTTTCAAATGTTTAATTTCTTTTTTAAATTCCTATATATTTTCGGAATTAAGATAATCTTCTTATTTCATTAAATATTTAATCTTGTTTTTAATATATTTATAATCTAATATCTTTTCTATTTTGTATTCAATATCTTAATCTATAAATATAATTTCTATTTTAGGGATTTTAAATACTTTTAAGAATACTAATTCAAATAGGGATATATAAAACATTGAATATATATTTATACTTTTT